TCGAGTTTTCTTTACCCTATATGCTTTTTATATGAAACTGTAAAATGCCCATCCATAGATGCAGAACGAACCCCGGCAAGCTGTATTTTGCTTGATCGGCCTGCATGCGTTCATATTATAAATATATATTTTGCATGCGTTCATTTATGCAAAGTGCCTCACAGTAATATCACTGCCTATTTGTGGACGCACGGGGTATCATGAAGTTTCGCCCCATTGCATGCTATCTAAATTTGTAATGATTTTGACGGGAAAGGGGTATCATACATTCTGCCATAAGGAGACGAGATAAGGGATTTGGAGGCGAAATGGTTAGGGTGGTGGCGAGTTTGGTCAAAAAGTATGGCCAAAGCCTCCATAAACCACGCACATACGTACACGACATCTGACGATCACACCTTCTCGACTTTATAGGTTTCCAAATTTCAAAATACTTATTTAGTATTTCCATACCTTTGATTTGTAGGGTACTGGCGGCCTTGAAGAATCCATAACCAGTAAATACTGAGCATACATACGATCCAGCGTGGGATTTTTGGACGTTGTCAAAGTGGAGAGTGTCACCATTTACGACACCTTTAGCTAAAGTATTTCCAAGCTTACGCCAAGTCGTTTTCGTGGACATATGACCATCAACCCAGCAGTGAAAAGTTGCTGATTTGTTGACGGGAACTACCTGCGATTTGGGAAAAACATGGACTTTTGGTGCAACAACAAGATGTCCTTTCGGTCCACGAATTCCATTAGAACCTTTTATTCCCTTGCTGCCCTTCAAGCCAATAGATCCTTTTTTCCCTTGAGGACCAGGTAAACCGGACTCTCCCTTAATCCCAGGTGCGCCAACAAAGCCTACGTCACCTTTCTCGCCTTTTACTCCCTGAGGTCCAACTGGTCCTTGCTTGCCACTCACGCCTGAGGCCCCACTTAGATCCATAAATCCTCGTGGGCCAGTGAGCCCTGGAGGTCCTGGCTCTCCTTTGTATACCCGTGAGCACCGGGAGGGCCTGGAGGTCCCTTCAGGCAAATTTTTTTGTGGCGTTGCAAGCTCGATTAAACTGATTGTTGATTTCATGACGAACATCTTGTACAGTAATCTGAGCACTGTTTCTTTTTCTTCTCTGGAGATCGTTATTTCCTTTACAGTTATTTCTTTACAGTTCTTTAAATCTAAAAATAGTAAGATAAAAAGCAGTTGAAAAAAAAAATGTCACTGCTTACGACTGTAAAACAAACTACTATTTAGTTTTTGACAGAGTGAAAGGGCTGGACCGGGAACTATTTAGCTCGAGGTCATGAAGAAGTCAAGACCAGTCAAGAAGTATTTTTTCGTATAACTGTCGTTCTTTCTGGCGGGGCCGTACGTCATATAATAACCAGAACTGGTTTATCATGTTAGATTTTAGCGTTTCCACATGAATGCTCCCTTACCTCATACTACAGGCGGAACACTCTACGAGTGTGTTGACATGCAAAACAAAATTAGTCAAACCAATGAAAGATAAAAAATAAAGAATCCTTTGAAGAATCGAGATTTTCGGATCTTTTAGTGTCATCAAGCAAATAATACTAACAAAATTTGACTCATTTGCCTTTGCTTGACGTTATTTTCCTTGATTGATTCAAAGAGGCGAAATTTCATGGCCGCAGTCTGAGATGACAAGACGCAGAGTTTGCGCTGAAAAGAGACCAATGTGTCCACTAGATTTGGCTATGGACGCCGTTTTAACCTCTTCTTTGATGGACTGCTCGATTCATAGAAGTCTGTGATATTTTCATTAAGAGCGCAATAAGAGTTTTCTATAACCTTAATACTCAACAGGGAGACCAAAGGCCTACTTTAATCCTGCAGGAAGCGCAACCTAACACCTGAAAGTAAACAGCCAGGTTTGACCTTTACCTCTTTTATTTTCATCAATTTTACTTTGCATCGTATAGGATGTTTCGATTACGGTTTTCTTAGACATCGATAGTATAGGAGGTTACTATATTGTTGTTGTACAACTCGGTCGCTTTTTCAAAGTCAGTGTTAGGTTATGGAAACATCGGGGAATGAGTTTATCTAATCACACGGCGTATTCATAATCCTTATGTAAACAATGACTATGCTGGTAAGGTATCGATTGTCCCTGCTTGACTTATTCTATATCAATTTCATTGTCATATAAAAGAAGGGGTGCAATATCCTCATAAAGTTAAATTTTTCTTTGAAAGTGTTGCCATCATGGAGTGAAATATGGAGTGGAAGAGAAATAAGGCTTCAAAAGCATTAGAACATTGAGTCTAGATTAGTCCTTAGATTGATCAGGGCTATGGTTTGCGAACACTGACTTCTTTACATCAATGTAACAACCGATTGTTTTTTAACCTGATTCAATGACACGTAAATGAGAGGTTAGATTCGCAAATAGCTGCTCACTCACCCTTCAACGTTTCCTTTTCGTCTTCATCGTTTTCGTTCTTTGATGGTCCAGTGATTTTCATGTGACTTTCCACGTCAGAGATTCGCAGCTCGTTCATTTTTGTTCGTCTGTTTATTGTTTCCATCCTCATGAAGAGCGCAACTATAAGCAGCATGGAAACAAAAGAAAGAATCGTAGAGGTTCTGTAGAGAACGATCTCTGAGCATATTTTTGAAGGTTTCTTCGCAGAGTCCATTGTAGTTTTTCAATACTTCTGGTAAACAACTTGCCTAATAAGACGACATGGGGAGTGATCTTTGTATTTCAACTGACTGCTTCAGCTTCCTGTGTTTCTGATCACGTCTCCGCTTGATCTGATCCCTGCGTGTATTCCTGTGTCACGAGACCTGATACGATAAAGAAAAAATAGCCTACTCTGTTTGTGTTGCGTTACCTGTTACTTGCGACAGATATCGATTTTGATTTGCAAGTCGTGCTTCAGTATCATTCGATAAACCTGAATAGCCACTAGTTTTGTTATCTATTTCAAATACAAGGTATACCTTTTAGAGAGTAGAAATTAATTTGCGGAAAAATTGCACCAAAACTATTTCCTGTAGGTCACATAAGGGCAGATGAAGTTTCATGTTCAAAGTCCTTCGAATGCCGCACTTTTCTTCGGCAGACTGCTGCAAGAACTCGCGTCCACTCTTGAGACAGCTTTCAGTCCATTCTGAAGTGACGTGAAACACGCAAAGCTTGAGCAGTAAGGTTCACGCTATTTTACGTGAAACGTGAAAAGATAAGCTAACGTTTGCCGTCCCACGTAAACGCAGTGCTAAATCTCTTTACTTGTCAATCTCTGGTTCTCTCCTATCGACCATTGTAAGTAATACTAACAAATGTGACTTAATACATTCCTCAGTCTGCCTACTCTCTCTGCACGGCATAGGGGTCGATAAAGGAGCAATGCACATTTCGTCTTAAGTCAGAAAATCTACTCTATAATTCTCGTTTAATTCCTTCGGTTCCTGTTGTGCAATTTACTGTACAAATGGCCAAATTGAACAGACTTGCAAAGACTTGAATTAGGACTGAAAACTTCGTTTGCTGTTTTACAACGAAGAAATTGTTTGAGAGATTTCAGTTGTTGGATGAATGAAAGTTCCGTCGCTTAATTCAGTTGTAAACAAATATCTTACAGTTTTAACCTTATGAGTCACTTTTTTGTGAAGGATAACAGTTAATTAAAAACTGTTTATAGGTCGCGTGTCAACCCATTAAATGACACACTTGCTACCACAAATTAATTTCAAAAACAATTTTTTGCTGGCAAGCAAAGTGATTTGAGAGAGAGAAAAGAGAGGATTAATAAGTTATTAATCGACTTGATTTGCTTATAAATACTACCCAGCCGGCAAAACAAAATATATACATGAAAAATGGCAAAGAAGCTGGGGATGTTCTCGGCGACTCACGAAAGCGTTACCGCGCCCGTGGGCAGAGATAGGAAAATACGGACGGCGGTAAGAGCCAATCATATCGCGGGATTCGTTACCGTGCCCTTCGAAAAAGAAATAAAAGATAATGTGTACAAAAAAGCTTACGCAGTTTTCTCTTTTTACTTTTTTCCTCCAAAATCATTTTTAACCAATCTGTTCACGGATCAAACTGACATCATCTTAATGTCCAACGTAAATGGTGAAATAATATTTTCTTTAATTAGCAATGTTCCTTTATATTTGTTGGTTAAGTCGGAATTGAGATATAGCTTTCGCAATTTTTATTTGTAAGATGGGCAGACTTGTTCAAATAAAACATTTCCACTGGTTTTTTCAATTGTCTGGCGCTCGTAATCACAGATATACTAATTATAATAATTACATCTACTTCACGTAGAAGAAAAAAATTACACAGAAGAGGAGTCTACAATTATTTTTGAGTATATTCAATTGCCTCCTAACCGACATTGAAACCAAATTTTAGTAGTTAAGTTTAGGATCAAGTCAATTGGTAGCAAGCGTATCTGAAGTATTTTTCCATTATCAGTTCGTAAAGATAACAATTGACCAAATCTAAAAAAATACACCTGCTGATGATATGTCAGAGCCTGTGCAGTGTTGAAAGAGAGCTTGCGTTTGGTTTAAGAAAATGTGTTTATAATGCTAAATACGCCCGAATGAACTGAAAATGATCGATACAAAATAAAATCAATTCAAATACAAGGATTTCGAATTTATTTTTCGAAGCCTCAATGTTAGAGAAAGAATCGTCATCACTTCTTATATAAAAACGATACTCATTCGATTTCAGTTTACAGAGAAAGTGAATATGATTCATGTCAAGCCGATCAAATGATAAATTATTATTGACAGAAACTCGTGGCTTCACAGGATCGAACAAAATCCATCCTACATACAGCTGTCGATTTTGATTCCTTGTTGTTTGCGAAATTAAATGGGATGTTTGCTCTCTTAAACTAACAGTCAAGAATTGCAAGAATTAAAAGGAAAAGATACCAACGAAGACTAATCTCTACCTCACTAAAAAAGAATCTTCTGGCAAAAATATATGTCACGAATATCATTCCTTTCAACCCAAATGGAGAATGATTTCTATGATTCAACGGGACGTCCTTGGAAAGAAGCAAACTTTGATCTTAAGTATTTCTGGGCAGTGTTCGTTGCGCTGACAGCGCTAGCTACAACGTTTGCAAACGCGTTGGTTCTTCTTGCTGTATGGAAAGATCCTAATAAGAATTTGCAAAGATCTCCGTCTAATTTACTTATCGCGAGTCAAGCGATAGCTGATTTCTTTGTAGGTTTGGTACAAGAGCCCTTGGGTGCCTGGTGGATTTTAACGTTTTCTTCCATAGCTGTTCACGCAATCGAAGCCGTGAGTTCTCTGTTTTTAGTTTCTTCCGTTTTACACGCTGTGGCATTGTCCTTCGATCGATACGTGGCTGTAGCGAGACCATTACAGCATAACTTTACTATTACGAAGAGACGAGTCTTTCTATGGATTCTGGTTATCTGGATAAGCAGCATCGTCTACATGTCGTATCGGACGATCCTGAGAGAGCTCAACTACTCGATCACGCTGATTAATATCATATCTGGGGCTCACACTGTGCTTCCGTCAGTTATCAGCGTCTTGTTCTATATTCGCCTTTACTGCATGTTAAAAAATCTTCGTAAGGGGGCAAGAGACCTTGACGAATCAGGGAAAATGGTCATCAATGCGTACCAAAGAGAACGCAATATGACAAAGGCCATGGTGGTTGCACTGTGTTTGTTTTTATTCTGTCTGACTCCCTGGTTTGTGTTCTACCAAGTCATTGGTGCATGTCCCACGTGCGAGGAACACGAATCTTATCAAATGTACTTATTTGCAATATTTTATTACATCTTTACCATGAAATCTTTGCTGAATCCATTCTTGTACGCGTGGCGCCTCCCAAAATACAAAGCGGTCTTCAAAACTCTGTTAAAAACGGGAAGAAATAACCATCGACGAATCGAAGTGATAAACTTATCGGAAACAAGCTGAGATGTAAATATGCTCCACAAATGAGACCCCACGCTGAAAAACAACTTCAGCACAGGAAGGCTTTTAGTTGACGAGGCAAAAATCGTTTCCCAAACGAGGAAAATAAAAACGTTTCCGTTGATTTAGCAAAAACATATTTTTAAGCAGCTCAATATATGGTATGATTCAGACTTGCTTCAGTTCAAGGAGATACTAAGATATTAATTTACAAAGTTTTATTCTGTACTTTTGAAGTGTGCTAACAAGCTCAAAAGCAGTCAGCAATGAAGTGAAATGTTAATAATGCGATATCTATTGCATATTTCATAAAGTTCAATGGTAGTGGGGAAAATTCTGTCAGTTAACTAATTGATTCAGCTATAAATGTCGAGAAATACCCAGTAATTATTCAACGAAGTAGAGGTGAATAGTGCCAGGTTTTAATTATTAAGCGGCAGAGCGGCGAGGCAAATATCCACCACTTTCACCGACACTAGGGTAAAAATTTTTTTAGTATTCGGCTGCTTTGAAAGGAATAGTGTTAATCACTTCGGAACAAGCCAATCAACATGTTAGATAAGTACTATTCGCCTGTGAAGTATACACTAAAGCACTTATAGCTGTTCAGAACGTTTTAAGTCGCTCGAAGAATTTTTTGGTGTCAAGCAACAATTCACTTGTGGAACGTTAGAAACATTATGATTAGGGTTCATAATAAAACTGGAGAAGCATGCGATCCATAAAGCGTACATTTTGTTATTGCAAGTTTCCCATGATAAAATTTTTCGCCCTTAACCGCCCTTATTGACAACTAAATGACGAATGTTATGATAACGCACAGGTTAAGGATGTTTGAACATTCTGTTGTGTTTTATGCTCTAAAATCAAATTTACATTTAAATCATTTTCCACCCCTAGAGCTCTAAAATCAACTTTAAATTCAAATCATTTGCTACCCCTGGCGGAGGAAATGTCACAATATATACTTCCATTTCCAAATGGGTATAGAATATTGATTCATATTAAGGGATGTAAGGTCGTTTTGCGAATTTCACTGTCATTAGCCCTCTTTGAAGGTAACCAAGTTGATCTGTCTTTTGCATTATTGGCTCAATGTACGGATCATTGTTGCAAGTCTGCGAAGAACTAGCTCACATTTCATTTTGTTTTTACTGTATGTTAACTATTTGTTAAATTGATCAAAATTATGAATTGAAAGGGTATGAAATAAATAGAACACTAATGAGGACGCGACCGAGGGAAGATTTTTCAATTTTTTTTTCTTTTATTCAAAATTAAAGAAAAAAAATAGCATATATAACTTTCTGACTACCTTGCTTAAATTGCATTTATTCAAATTGAGTATGATACATTAAGTAAATTCTTCCTTTGCAATTTAACTAGGGATGTTAAGATATTCTTTTGATATCCGTTCATGCACACAATAACTTCCCGAACTAAGTTTCTCGAAAGAGGAAGGCAAATTGATAACATATTCCTACAACTCCATCCAACTACTTGAGACTCATTTGTAATTCATACATAACGAAATATTTACTTGAAAAAAAAAAAAATTTTCTGACAGTAGTTATTTCCTCCGTGCTTCGTGCAGAGCTTTCAATTAATTTTTGATCTGAAAACTTCCCCCTCAGTCGTAGGGGGCAGAAACGCAGGAAAACAAAGGGGAATGCCGACAAGACAACCCAAAACAGCTGGGTGTTATTAATTTGAACTATGACATCCTGTCACTTTATGCCCTAAACCGCGCAGACGTGATAAGAAATGCATTTAGACGCAAAATTACCAGCGGTTCGCAGTTGCCTCAATACGTTTCTGCTTTTTACGTTTAAAGCCTTCTTCATTTGACTCTCTGACTGAAAGTGCTGCCTAAAATGTACCAGCGTATCTTCAAGATACTCCTTCTTATTTTGTCTCTTGTGGGTAAGTAGCGTATTCAACTCATAGACCACTTTCCCTTCGAATTTCAAATTTTTCCTGAGAGTGTTCCATGTTAGATAAAGCGAGACACAAATCAAATCTTAGTGCTCGCGGTATGACGTTAAACTTGCCTCAGCCCTTTGCGAACGGGAAAATATATGAATGCAGCTGAAGCATAAATCCCAGCAGAAATGATTTTTAAACTACATAAACTTGTTGCAAGATTTTCAAGAAAGAATATCGGATTTTACTCGAGCGTCGCTTCCATCGCGTGACTCAATATCGTCCTTCGACTCTCTACAATCTGCATTTCTTATCAACATAATTCTGCGATTATTGATTCTTTAATCCCAAAACCTCCTTTCGCAACACCAAGTTTAAATCGAACAAAATCTGCGAGGTTTGATGATGATGATGACAATGAAATTTAGACCAAGTCAAGGTAGCAAGTTGACTTTTATTTTTTTGTTGTGTTCTGGCGGTAGGAAAACAAGAAAACCTCTATTCCAGTGTCTTTGAATAATTTGAATAACTTGCAGATCGTGAAATGTTACACCTGTCACTGGATCTTTAAGTGTTGGTAAAATTTGCATTCTGTTTTTCTAATGACGTCATCGAGGTGCATTTCTCAAATGTAGAAGAACATTTTGAAAATGATCCGACGTCCAATTTTTTTTTCCTGTCTTTTTTTTTTCTGTTTCTCCAACAAAGTGTTTTGGTAAACCTTAATGCAGTGAAATGAAAAGCAATATAAAACCAGCCTAAAAAACAAATTAGAAGACGAAAGGGAATGTAGCCATTACTCAGCAGAAATCAATTTACCAAACACCAAAATTTTTGTTTTTCATCTCAGATAATATTTTGAAAGAGATCGAATTAAAAAAGGTTATATCTTCGCACAGTTTTATACAATGATAGCGGTATCTGACAAAGACCATAAGAACAGGATCAGGACTTTCAGGACTTACTATACAGTATGTTAAATGTCTTATATTCAGTAAGGCACTATTTTGAATTTCAGGATTCTATCAATTAACCCTAAAGGGATAATGGCCTGGCATTTATTTTTTCGCTTTTTCTATTTATTTCCTTTTTTTCCTAGATCTATAGCTGCGCAAACAATTTTTAAGCATTTTAAAATATCTTTGATACTTTTGTTTCATTCCGAACAAAAACAAAAACTTTTTTGGGTTAATTTATCGCAGATTAGAAGCCGAGCTATAAAAGCTAAATTATATCAAAAACAGAAAAGAAAGTGTTAGAAAATAAGTCAAAAGTAAAGAAACGACACGCGAAAAAAAGAGGAGATATGAACCACGATATAGTGATCTGTTTTGTTGTATTACACCTTTAAGTGGCTCCGTTTTTGGCGGTCCAGTTGAGAGTTTATCAAATTAAATATTTATTTCCTTTTCCGTAGTTTTCCAATTTTACAAATTCAATGTATGAAGACTTTAGTAGAAAGTAAAAACTGGTTTTTAAGCCGCAGACGGACACTGACACTGACACTGATATATTAAATAAATATGTATCTTGTTTTCTCGTCAAAAAGGGGCTCTTTTTGACGAGAAGAGAAAAGGAATATATATTTGATGAATATTTTCAAATTTGCAGTGTTTTAGAAAACAGGTGAACTCATATATATCAGCAATCGATAAAATGGAACATCTCACTTTCCATAAAAAGAAAATTAAAATAAGGAAACTAGAGCAATTGGTTTCATCTTTTTATTTCCAGTAAGGGCTTCTGATAAACTCCTCCTTAAGCTTTTTCTTGCTCAGTCCGAATGAATCAGTCAAACTTTTCAAAAAATGTGCGAAGTCACTGTTAGGCAAAAAACACTTTTTCCTATGGTGCCCGTCGCTCGTACTCTTAAATTACAACGAATTAGCTCTTCGTAGGCAGAAATTTTTTCTCGAGCAAATGAATAATTTTGTTTCTCTTTATTTACAGCGCTCTTTTCCTTCAAACCTGTGCTGTGCGTCTTTCAGTGCAGTATTTCTCTTGGTGATAAGAACCTTACAAGATCTCCTATTACTGCGGTAGCAGTTTTGAACTGTACAATTAGTGGCCGTTCTGCAAACGCTTTCAACTGGACAATTGATGGGAAACAAGTCAAAAAGGAGCATATACTACTGGATCCAAAGGAGAATAAGAAATGGTCCGCTGTTGTTCTCGAAAATATGACCAAAGAAGCAGAGAAATTTGAGTGCAAAGCGAAACGTGGCGAGGAAATGGCTTCGTGTTTTGTTTATCCTGGTAAGGCATTGTGTTCTAAGCAATTCAAGCTCTAAAAATTCCTTTTAATTTACACTTACTCCATACTTTCATATTCTTTAATATACATCCGGAAAGTTCCAAATAACACCAAATGAAGAGTTCCTCTAATTTGTATGCAAATGAAGGGGGGAGGTTTTCCGCCCAAGGACACGCACATTTAATTTTTTTTTTCCTCCTCATAAAAAACTAAGCTGAACAAGTATGATCCTTTCCTGAACGGATTAGATCCAATTTTTCACAAGACTACGACCTCTGATAAAAGCTGGACCCTATTCATTTTGGCGACAAATAATTGAAAGAGGTATCGAAATTTTCGGGAAAAGTATTGTACCCGTTAAATAATGGTGTAAATTTGAAAGAAAATACCAACCTACAAACAATATTTCTCGTCACTCATTATAAGCTTCGTTGCATGCTCTTTATGGGGCATAGAAAATTATAGCGTGATTTTCAAATTATTTCTACCAAAAAACCGTTTGAAAATCAGAAGGGGAGACACGTGTAAAGCAACTGAAATTTTTTAAATTTCAACTTATTCCTCAAACGCCAGTTGCCCTTAACTTATTTAATTAACCACTGCTAATTTATGCCTGATGAAATGGCGAAGAAAGCACAAAAGTTTTATTGCAAATTTGTTAAAATGTTAAAAGGCTCCTGAAAAATTGGTCTTTTTTAATCGAAAAAGTGGTCGATATTTTATCGATGAAAAGAAATGGGAATTCTAAAACAAGAAATAAGTGTCAAAAATATAATACTGTTTCTGCCATCCTCTTGAACAATCTGAAGAGTTGAAAAGCGCCTTTAGCGATGAAAAATAAGATAAAACTGCCTTTTCCTCCCTGGATTGAGAGTCGCTTTTATGAGTAGAGCTCTCAAAGTTCAACAGCCTCTAACACCTCAATATGACTCTGGCTGTCTCCGCGATTGTGACTCAGAAAAGCACCCGTACCGAATTTTATTTTAAAATTTTGGTAATACTTGTGAGGCGTGGGTGAAGACTACGGAAGAAAGGTTTTTACGAATTATATTTTTATAGATGACAGTTAATAATGAAAATGGGTTAAGAACCTACAAGAGCCATTCAGAGGAAATAGCCGCTGAAATTTTCCAGTCTCTCCGGCGCGTCTTTAAAATTGTTTTTCTTTCCGCTGATATTATTCTGTTTTGCGTCGAAAAAAAGCAAAACATCACTTACAGCCGAAAGGAAAGTAGCCTATTAAACTGACGTTACATCAAAGCATCCTTTTTTATTTTCAAAATTCATTTATTAATTCAATCATGTATTTTTCTGACAACTGTCCATTTATCCATCCTTCCATTCATTACTCATCCATTTTTTCATTCAAATTTTCGTTATTCCCGCTCGCTGGAATTCATCCATGCATCCATTGATATATCCATCTGGCCCCAGTTGTTCAAAGCTGGGTTAAGGTACCCTAGGGTTAGTGTGAAATTTGATTTCAGGTCTGAAAACTTTGAGAGAAAATTCAGTTCAAATATTTTTGCTTGCAATTTGATCATTGGATGTTCTAAAAAGAATAGTGAAAATTTTCCCAAAAAGACTTTTGAACAAAGAAATAAAGAAACCTGGATTAAAATTTAACCCTGGGTTAGGGCTAATCGGCCTTTGAACAACTGGGCCCTGTTCCTTACTTCGTTCTTTCGTTCAATCATTCGTTTATTCCCTAATTAAATTATTTATGTATTCTCCACTTATTCAGTCATTTAATCCTTCATTTATTTGTTTTCTTAATGGATATTTTGTGAAGTGATATTTTTTCACTTTTTTTCACATTTCCTTTAGATTTGTTTTTCATATTTCATTTTTATAGTTGTTTTTGTCATTCCACATTGCTTTTGGCGAAACAGATCACTCTCCCGATGCTTCTTCCCACTCAGGTGTATAAACAGATTACAATCTCATTCAACACATACAGCAAAAGTCTTTATTGCTTCAGAACTCAGAAGGTGGTATGAGTAATGGCAAGTGGGTCACTTTCCTCATATACCCTCTTACCAATTTTATAAAATATTATGCCCTATAGCCAAACCAAATGTGCAAACGTCTGATGCGGCTGTCAGAATAGTTGACTATGGCAATACACCTGAATTAGAATGCAGAGCTAATGGATGGCCGGTTCCTCGTGTTTCCTGGTGGCTGGATGGTTCCGAGATTCAACATTTTGACGACGACTACACGTACATATTACGTCGATATGGTGAGAACATACTCTTCATGAAAATAATATCAGTGACAAAGAAATATCAGCATGCGAAATTTACGTGTCGTGCTGATAACGTGTTTGGTACGTCCGAGAGGAGCGTGGAAATCCAAGTGAGACGTGAGTAAATGACAACTTTTTATTTTACATCATTCGGGTTTTTGTTATCTTCTTTCAAAAATTTTGTGATAGCAAAATATTATGACTAAAAATTCTTTGATAGCAAAAAGAAAAAAAAACATAGAGAAAAGTTTGTCAAGAAATCTCGGGGTGGGTCTTACTTCATGGTGCTGACGTTAATGTACAGAAATGAGAAAATATTACGTTTAGCTGAGGGAAGTGTAAGACCAAGGAGTTGAATGCGGCAATTTCTCACCCCATTGGTATTCCTCGATGCTCAAAAGGGAATTTATTAGGGTTAAAAGTTTGTTGTAGTAATTCAAGTTCTCATCTCTTCGTAGAACAAAATAATTTTCTTTTATGAGTCCTTGTCAATAATTTTTAAGAGATTAGGATCTTTCCACTGTTTGCAGGAAGAGCAGGAATAAAATTTGCTTTATTTCCATCTCTTTTCTATTTTTTAGGAATTGATATGATCGAATACGGTTATCGTGAAAGGCTTCCCATTCCAGCAGTGTTAGGAACGAGTACTACTCTTGAGTGCATCTGCTCGGAGGAAAAATGTTCAGAGGATACCACTCAGTTTTATTGGAAACGTAATGGAACAATTGTCAACGAAACACTCAATATCAGATTATCTCGTGAGGTCTTAAGCAGTGGTTTAAAAATTGCTTTGATGATACTCAACGTGTCACGTGCAGACGAAGGAGATTTTTTCTGCAAAGTAAGCAACTCCCTGGGATTTGAAGAGAGGCGAAGAACCCTGAAGATTCTGGCCAAAGGTTGGTTTTATGAGAGTTTGTTCGTTGGCATCTTTTAGGTGATGAATCATGAGCTTTAAATGGGTCTCTTGTATTGTATCATTGACGACTAATACTTTAGAAATTAACAAAAAAAAACTGCCTTTAACCGGGATTCACAGTCTTTGAACAGGGAAACAGAAAGATCGGCAGAAACCGACAAACAGACAAACAGACAGACAGACAGACAGGCAGACAGGCAAACGGACAGACAGACAAACAGACAAATCTGCCTCAAACCAGGATTCAAAGTCTTTGAGCAGGGAAACAGAGAGATCGGCAGAAACCGACAAGCAGACATACAAACGGAAAAACAGATAAATCTGCCTCTAACCAGGATTCAAGGTCTTTGAACAGGGGAACAGAGAGATCGGCAGAAACTGACAGACAGACAGGCAGACTGACAGGCAGACAAGCAGACAGACAGACAAATCTGCCTCTAACCATGATTCAAGGTCTTTTAACAGGGGAACAGAGAGTCGGAAGAAAAAAATAGAAAGACAAACAAACAAACATTCAAACATTCGAACAGACAAACACACACAGGTAGACAAACAGAAACGAAAAAAATTGAGCGGCTGATTCTTTTCTGTCATTGCTAAAATTGCAACCGACCAGCAAGGATTATTTCTTTGCTTGATTTTCGTATGCATTTTACATGAAATTTATTTCATTACAAGTAGTTATCATTTTCTTAACGGGAAAGAAGAACCCTCTAAAATCTGCTCTCTCCCGTACAACGTGTGGCTTCGTAGCTCAGTCGGTGATAGCGCCCGATTCTTGAGTATCTGGGAGGCCTGGGTTCGAATCCCGTCGAAGCCTGGATTTTGCTCAAGCTTCTTTTCTGCAATTGTTAAAATTACAGTCCAACTGTAACAGAATCATCTCTTCACTTCAAAATAGGAAATGACAGATAGACAAACAATCAGTGCAAAAGATAAAGAGATATATTTATGCTGGAGGTTTTTTATGGAACTTGCAACAAGATTTTATGGTCAGGACGTCCTATCTAAATATAACCATTTTAAAACAAGACATGCTTGGGTAACTTCTCTATTTATGATCGCTCACGGAAGGGAGAGTGGCGTGGTATAGGATGACAGCAGAAGCCAAAGTCTAAAAACTTCTCTCCCACGCATTCGTTAACAATATTTTACTCCTCATTATCATTTTGCGTTTGCTGGTGTTGAATATAGTGTCACTAGAATATATAGCTACCAATCACTTTTGGGAGAAGAGGGTGAAATGGTTCCCTTGATAAGTTGCACTTACTATTTTTCCTATCTTTTCAGAGAATTTTCGGATTTCTGCAAATCCAGCTAAAGCGTTTGTAAATCAAAGATCTCCTGTCCGTCTGACCTGCAAAGTTTCATATCCATCAGAGCTACTAGAGCCGGAGACTTTTTGGATCTTTAACAACACTAGGATTCACGAAAAGTCCGCACTGCAATACTACACAAAATCATATGGCCCTCGAGAAGGAACCAACTCAACAAAGATGGTTTTGTTTCAGCTTCAGATATCTAATGTAAGCGATCAATACGTTGGTTGGTATATCTGCGCTGCAGATTTCAAAATAATTGTTGTCAAAGCGAGAGTTTCCGTCACCCTCGAAGGAGAAAAAGCCGATGGTATGTTTCAAGCATTATCTGTTCTTTGTACATATGGCATTTCGTTCATCATCTGAACGTCTTCGTTCATGTTTTATTCTCGTCAGATGAAATTCTGTTGCAAAGTTTTCCTACTATTAAGGAAATTACTATTAACATTCAAATAACTAATTGTGCAGTGAATTTAAATAACAACTATAATATTCAAAAATTTTCATTCGACATTTTTAATTTGGTTCATGAAAATACAAAGAGCAGGATATATAGTTAAAACCTCAGTTGAGAATTCCATGTGAGCGCTATCAAGGTGCATACTCTGTAGTCTACAAATAATTGAGGGATATCAAACAAAACTGAGACAATGAAAAGACATGATGTTAATTCAGTTTAAGGTTACACGGCCCTTGTATCTACTTTCAGTGGGCACTATATTTTTTTTCTTGCCAATCAGTGTTCCTTGTGTTTTCGTTTGTACGTTCAGTTGTTTGTTTGTTTGGTTGGTTACAATTCAATTGATTAATTTCAAGCTGAGCATATTTTAATCTTTTTAAGACTTAAGAAAAACGATTCTTTTTTTTCTAGATAAAAATGGAATTGCCGGCGTTGAGTCTAGTGAAAGTCCGCTGGTCGCCATCAGCTCCATTACCGCAGGCGGCGTTATAATGGGTTTCATTGCAGCTTTGTTTGCCTACAGACTTTGCAGAAAAAAGCGCAGTGATGAAGAACCATTCTTTGGTATAGTTTTTTTATACATAATTTTTTTTAATACGACTTGACCCTAAAGCTAAGATTAAAAATAAAATGAGTCTATTTGATTGAATAAGATTGATCATAACATAGTGGTAAAGCTGTAATAGCAACATTTATGTTTCGATTCTTGCAGACTACGGGCAGTTCCTCCTTTTCGGTAAAGTCTGTTGCTCAAGAGCAAAAATAGTCAGCGGAAAAAAATTGATGCAAGTGCGCCGCGTGGAAGTCTAGAAATGAGGCCCAAAAAAACTACGAAAACCTACTATTCATACGCCTTGCTCCCAGAGTTCCGCGCGGCTCGCTAATATCATACGAGAGACAGCTCGTGTTCTACGATTCTCGCACATTTAGATTATTATTACATTTATTACGTTCTCATACTAAGTTTCAAGTTATTTTTGAGCCTTTCTCACCGTGAGTTATGGTCAGTGGAAAAGGCTGATGTTCAATTCTTCCATTATTTACTTGCGGTCCGTGGCACGAGAGTAGAGTAAACAACAAAACTGGCCTGAAAATAATGCGCAGGAGAAAACTCGGAGGGTAAAAGTATTGTCCTTTATCTACTCCAGATCTAATTCAGAAAAAAATATGAAACAAAGTAAGACCAGCTAAGCCAATGGTCAAAAATCTTAGTTTCAGATATACCTACAAGATAAAGGGTCGTAACTCGTATGCTTGGGGTATGGTCAATTAAAAGAAGAAATTTTTACGGTGATTAAAAATTTTAACCCTAGTTTACCCTACCCGATTGTTTCATTTACCAGAAACTCCAGTCAATGGCCGCCAGTTTAGGTACGATGTTTTTGTGACGTTCAGCAGCCAGGACTTAAACTGGGTTAAGAAAGAACTCTTGCCGCTCCTAGATAAGCATAAGCTTAAGTACTGTATCCATGACAGAGATTTTCAGGCTGGGAAGCCTGTGGTGGACAACATGGCAGAGAGCGTGTACACGAGCCGAAAAGTTCTGGCTGTAATGTCCCATAACTACATGTCGAGCAAATTCTGTCGCGGAGAGCTAGAGATGGCGCTATATCGGAGTACAGAGATGGGCGACTCTTCTGTTATTGTGGTGCGTATCGATGGTGTTGACCGGAGCAAGCTGCCTAAGGCCCTTCGCAACAGAACCTTTCTGGATCATCATGACTTCACTGAGAGGAAGAACTGGGAAGAGAGGCTGATAAAGCATCTCAAGCCACCTCCGCTGGACAAGAACTCGGAGAAAAAAAACTCGGAGAAAACCTATTCCTTGTTACGTAACGTTAGTGAAGCATGAAGTAATGAACAAGGTATTTTGCCGTTTACAAGACACTCTTTGTAACCATTAATTCTTTGATAGACATTTTTCGAAATAATCTTTTACGGCCACGATACCTGAAACGACAAGTCACAGCGACGCAACACATGAACAGGTCGCATCAAACAAGCGCTGTATGCCAGGAAATTGCTTTGCAGATCTTTATCCCAGAAAGATTATTCTTTTTCCTTGAAGCCCTTCGTTCAAATTCAACTAGTCTTAATGGGTGCGATGATGGCAGAGCGAAAATGGAACTTAGTTCAACGTAATTAAGGCACGAACTTTTTTGATGTTGTATTCTGATCGTCCGATGACTTCCGTATATCTTTATTCTGGCTGCTTTGATGTCTAATTTATTTTAGACTGTTTATCCTTGATTGTTCAGTATGAAACAAAAAACTTGGAAATGAGGATCTGTAGTATTAAGCAGTTTGACAGTCATAACTTGATTACACTCGTTTTCCCAAGTTGCAAGGCCTGTGATGCAATTTGTGGAGTATCATGGAGTATGCAGCTTTTATCTGAGTCTATCTAATTACTATGGGTTTTTTTGTTGTGTCATGAACGGGTGAAGTTTACGATAGGAGTGAAGTTAGTTACCAAATAGAGCAATTTTTAATCGAGTGGAAAAAATAATCCGGAATCGCATCGGTTTTGCCTTCCTTTGCTCTGTAAAAGGTCTAGATAACTCGGACCACTCTCTTCAGAGTTTCGCTTCGCTAGGCTGCTGAGTCTTTGAGAGAGGATTAAAAACTGGACCAAAGCTCTAATGTAGAACCCCGATGCTAGATGTCTAAAACAGACAAGTACAAAATATCTGCTCCTCCTCTTCCTATCAGAAGACGAAAAAGACTATCATTCATGTTACGTCTGCGCAGGTCTGGTGGGGGGTTCTTGAATTTTCTTGGAGCGAAATAATAATAATTGCTTGGAAAGTTTTCCATCCACCTGAAAATATTTTGATATCTTCGCTGAGGTGATTTGCAAAATTTCATTCAATCTTGATAAAAATTGTTCCTTAGGAGACCCAGTTTCCACGGGGCATCTAATCAAATTGTTACCAATGCCGGCCACAAGTAGCCTTTAATAATTTCATACTAACTCGCCCGTTTTAAGAGCACTATGCAATAATTTTTATATATATAATGACATCATAACGTCGTATCTTAGTATGTAAAATTTCTTTTAAATAAAAAAAAGTTCGGGCAAATTAGCTTTAAAATATTGTTTACCCCTCCCCCCCTCCCCCTGGAATTCGCGTATAATTACAATGAATCCCGACCATGTTCTGGCAAATTATACCCCTTATATTAACTCACACGACCCACAATTCCTCCATTCGCTCTTTTGAAGGGCTAACACTCGAAATGTTAGCTTTGAAACTCTTTGCGGTGGCCAATTTGCGTTATCAACTTAGTTGATAAAACCAAAATAATTTTTTTAAACTCCCTTCCGACGCGGCATCACAATTTCTTTAGAGACTTACCCCCTTTAATCCAACTTTGGTTTAAGCTGCCTCTATGAAGAAAACAAATTTAAACCTTGGCTGTAAAGATATGAAAATCATATATGTGCAATGCGGTTGAAGAAACGAATATAGAATCGATCCTCGCAGTTATGAACACTACTGAACTAGTAGTTGAATTAAGGCCTTAAAAAAATTCAGCCGGTACGGAATTTGAACCCATGACCTCTGCGATACCAGTGCAGCGCTCAACCAACTGAGCTAACAAGCCAACTGGGAGCTGGTCATTATGTTGGATTCCAATAAACCTTCCAAACTGTGAATACGGTGTACGGCGTTCAGATGAGAACAAAAAGTGAACTTTATTTTTGTGCGTGCGCGGATTTACATTAGGTGAATATCGGTGAATGGAATAGGGAGTTTATCATAGAGCACTCACGGTGACCACGTTTGGGAAATGTGATTTTAAAAACAAGACATGGTGTTCTGCAACTGCGTATTGCACAGATATACCAATATAAACATGGGCCTAACAAGATAAACTATAAGTTTATTACTCAGTCTCTACAAGAGCAACCAGTGCTTAAGATTCTCACAAGTAATTTTAAACCCATGGTCTGTCCCAAATGCACCCCCCGGAATTTGTGCACCAGTTAAAAAGGTCCGCTCCATCGCCTACATACACTTACAATGATTAAATAACTATCGGTCGGTTGATCCCCTTTAACTTCTCTTTTCCTCGTCTATCTTCACGAACATTGTTCTTCCTACCAAAATCTTATTTTGTTTACCCTGGTTTGAATATAAATATTACGCGACGATCTATCTTATTTACACGTCGATAGGTGTTCAGTAAACGTACATTTTCAAGAACTTCATTTGGTCAGTAGTGTCATTGGGTTAAGGAGAATCCCAGAACAGTAAGCAGCAAGGGGGCATAAAAAGCCTCATTACGTTTCTTCAATAAAAACAGTACTGCATTTTTCGGGTTCTAAAAAAGATTTCGACGTTTATGTTCCAGATTTAACTGTAACTTGCACACTTTGTGGTGTGATTAAACAATACTAATTACCTAAAATATGTACAGAAAAATATCAAACTGCAAATTAAATCGTAGAGTAAAATACCTGACGCAGCTACGATTACTTCTGCTCGGTCGAAATTTACGCTTACAAGTACAATGTACATGTACTACATTGCCAAAAATTTACGTCTGGTATAATTACTTTAATTTAATTACTTGATTGCGTGTTTTCAGCGATATATGCCCTTCATGTGTTATCTTCCATTGTTCTAAGAAAGATTATCTTAACACCACGCCATAACAAGGTACGTACGGTGACCACATGTCAGCTCCTGCTTCCGTTCACACATCTTATATTGTCTTGTATGAAAGACTAATGTTCCTGTAACTGTTGTGGATTATAGGATGAATGATGTAATGGCGGAAGTGGATTCTGGTGATGCATATGCATAGATGGTATAGATGGGTCCACAGCAGGGGGGAAGGGTGGGTTGGGTTGTGGTGGTAGTTGTCTTGGGGGTGGTTGGGTAACTTGCTGTAGTCTTTTTGTTAAGTCGTCTATTCTCAAATCTTTTAAGTGTAGTAGGTGCTCGAGTCGTCGAATTTTGACATTCAAAATCTGGAATAAAGCGAAAATATTCAGACCTGCGTCATGCAATGGTGGAAATCAACTGTCTAAACCTCACCTCACTCGAGTGTAGATACTAGAGTTTCTAAACTACTATTTACGGTAAATACTCTAATGAGCCTAGTTCGAGGCCTTGCGCAACGCTGGCCGATAATTAGTGCCAGATCCCTTTCAGACCTCCCGCCTGCTCGCTTTGCTCCAGGCGAAGAAACGTTCGCGCCGCAACGCTGTTAATGAGGGCCTGCTCGCACGCTAGCCTGATTGTGTGACTAACATGTAACTTCTCCCTATCATGCCCATACTTTACCCAGCAAACAGGTAATGAGAGTACCCACGCTTATCAGGTAATGAAGTTGTTATCTTGATCTAACACCAAATTCTTGCGACTACATTTACAAGGAAATGGAGAGCAGTTAGAAAGGAGAATTAACAATAACATCAAGGAGTCAAGGGGTCAAACCATCCATTTAATTTGTCTGTTCGCTCTTCCCATTTCTCGCTGGCCGGTCCTAACAAACTTGCCTTTAAACACCCTTTCTCTGTAGATAAAATATATGATACACTCACCTGTATGGTTTCTTGAGAGGCAAGTAAAGCTTGTTCTTTTTCCTCTAGTAGCAATCGAGGGTTCTGAGGATCCATAGTTCCATTTATATCTTGATATGATTGAGACCGAGGAACCTTTCTACAAAACCAAAGAGAAACACTGGTATAATCACAAGCCCAAGATATCCCTTTGTGAGCAACAAAGTTTTCAGTTAATTATTTTTCATAGAGGTAATTGAATCGTTTTCTGATCAGAAAATGATTAAACTTCTGGCATTTCGGTCGCATGTTTTAAACGATAAACACCACTATCCCAAAAACGACGAAACCCATCGCGATTTTCCTGCCCAAATCACGTTCGCTCCGCTCCCCCAGAGTCCACTACGGAAAATCCTGAACTAGCAGTCTAAGTGACCAATTACGCTGCCAAAACGTAACAACTGCTCCGTTCCCTGCCTTGCTCCCGTCGCTGTCTCTTTTGCGTAGACGGAGACAATGAAATCATGAGCAAAAGCCCATTTCCCTTGCGTCGTACCAGGTTCGCCACACATTCTCACACTCATACACTTTCTTTGGGTTGCGCGTGGAAACCCGCCCTTGGGTGTATTAAAAACACTAGTTTAAAATAAAAATGGCAGTTACAAATTTCCACTGTTTTTGTGAAGCTCAGATACTGAAAAAAAATGTTAGGAGTCAAAATTCTCAAGCAATACGGTAGAGCCTACACGACACCAGCGAAAATATTTTTTAAAGAAACAAAAACCTGCAAACGTTCTTTAAGTTCACCATCGGTTAAAATCCAGAGACAAAACTTACCCTTTTCCTTGATGAGCAGGTGCAAACTTTGGTTTCTCACCAAGAGGTCCTCCTTTACCGTCTTTACTCTTCTGCCGAGCATTACCACCCCTGGGACTACCATTGAGTCCAGGTTGGTATGACTGTGCTCCATAAGAACCACCAGCCTAATACAAAAACGTCACAATAAATGATAAATAATATTGATAAATAAATATCAGAATATGCATGCCACCACAAAAACAAAGGTTAAGGTTTTCTACTTTTCCACTTTATTTCGTTTTGTTTGACTTTAGTTTGTTTGTTTGTTCTTAAGTTGACAGTGGGTTTCAAGGCCATAAAATCTTGTATGCATTGGTTTAATGTGCTCATGAAGTGAATGCAAATAAAGTTGATCGGCAATCGTCATGACAATCGTCGTACCAATGATATGCTCTCCTTCTCCAAAATTGTTGTATCAAGAAAATTAGAAGAAAAAAACTCAACATCAAGAAGGGAATGTGGTATTCGATTTAAACTAAAAAAAGAGGAAGACAAACACGACTCACATCATTAACTGGGTTCCTTTGTGCATAACTAGTATTGAATGCATAACCATAGTTATTCTCCGGACCTGCAGGATTATCAAAACATTAATACAGAACTCAGAGCCAGCAACAGTATAGTAACCTACAGGAATTGTTGGAGTCACTGTTAGTAATACTTTCATATACCCTGTATATGACAGACAATTTCGAAGTCCAAGAAAATCTTGGCCATGATTCACAATTGAAAATTGTAAAGCACACCAATTAGTACAATGCCACTCACAGTATAAGGATTCGATTTGAAAAATCTTAATAAACTGATGTACTGGTACTCTATTTTGGTATTTCTGGGGCTTTCATCTATTGGCATTTGACTTCCATGCAGTCACTTCCTTAATTGAAAAAAAATAAGGCAACTAGATCTTGTTTCCAACTGTATGTTTATAATTGTCATTTCAAAACAGCTCAGACAAGCTTGCAATTACATGTTTGGGTTCATCACAACATCATCTAGGCACAACATCACCTACAAACTTAAAAAGTTTTAAGTTCAGCATTGACCATGAGTTTGTCCCTACCTAAGTATGCCTGCCCATCATTATACAGATATGGTTCATGATCTGAGACAGGCCCATTGGGTGAGAACTCATCATACACTTGCTGCTGTTTTCTTAAAGTGTCTGCTTTTTTCTTTGCAATGTACTTCTCAATCTAAAATACACAATTGTTTTGGATCAATTTCCAACTGAGTTGCTTTGCTTCAATACTAACAGGACAATTACACCATCAGGCATATCCATTACTTTTTCCATACGCAGCCGTACTTGGGAAAGAAACCCAAAGGCAACACCCAAGCATCAGAGCCTGCTTGCAGGCTAAACAGGTGCTGGTAGTTGGTCTTTTAGGGAGTGGTAGACTGCTGGTAACCAACCATTACTGAAACCCTTACACCAGTAAATTACTTGTCGCACAAGACACCCCTTGACTCTGACTACACTACCTAGACTAGCTGAGGCTACAGCTTCATGAGCAAAATCATGTCCCATCCTGTTATCATAGATGAAGAAAACTACACATTGTAAGTGGTGCTACTCTTAATAGAGGAGATAACATTTTTCATGAAAGGTGCACACCTCCCCCCTCAGGCCTATGATGCATCTGTTGATATCCTAATCTCTAGTCTGACTTGCACTAAAATTGTCGCAGTGGATAGAGAGGAAGGGGGAATTTAGCCATTGATTTCTACTTGGAGAAAAGGGGTGATTTCTGAGACATTTGCAGCTTGAAAAGGTAAATACAATGTTAAATTACCAAGGTTGTAATTTAGTCTACAAAGACCTTGGTATGACAAAAAGGTGCAATGTTGCACATTTGGTCAATAAACACAACCAATCTCAAAATTCAAGAAACTGCATAATTCATCATCCTTTGTGCCCTCTACATCGAGAGGCCTGGTCAAAAAAATTCATAAATCTGCTCACTTTCATCCTCAGATTTGCTAGTACAACTTCTATCACCCTAGGCTTGCACTCTGCAACCTCCTTAATGGTACTTTTTGGTACAGTGTAGTTAAGTTTTGAAAAAACTTTTCCTGAAAACAAAACACACATCAGTGAAATTAAGCATATAGTCACCACTTATTTTTTTAATATTTCTAAATATTTTTAAATTTTAATGCATAGTTTATCGGCTTTATTATTACTTATTATGATACTGTACATAGTTTTTTATTAATTTTGTAATAGTAGGTGTCCCCAATTAGCTCTATGAGCTAAATACATTGACACGGTAATAAAGATTTTATTATTATTATTATTATTATTATTATTATTATTATTGACACTTGAGTATTAGACATCCAATTCATATCATACTTCCAACTCCCAAAAGTTTAATTGAAAATTATTTCAAAGAGAATTAAGGAATTAAGTATCTAACTAAAGAAACTGAGATGCTACAATAATAGTACAAGATAATTTGGTTATATCAACTGGGTTGATGAAGTAAATTAGCCACTGTAAAGAGCATTTTTAGCTGAAGTCATCTCAAGCATTAGTCCTTTGTCAGAGCAAACATCAAAGGGCTAACAATTGAAACCTCACCTTGATTAGAAAGTCTTAACAGAGGCCAATCTATATTAGCAACTCAGGTGATAAAACCAAATTACATTTTGAAGTGACAATCCTAAGATATATTCTATTTATTTATTTATTAACTTTGCCATAAAACAACAATCAAAATAAATAGATTAAAAAAAAAGTAAAGAAAACAACAAAAAATGACAAAAAATAGCAGGGACACCGCAACAGCATAGCCAATTACAGCCAATAACATCAGGCTCAGCATTCCGTGTACTTACTATTCAAAGTATCCCAGTTGGTGAGCTTTTGGGCTTGTGAACTTGTGGAGGAATAGTTATGGAGTTCCACCATTTTGGGTAGAAAATGTGCTACAATTTCTGCTACAAGAACTGAAAAATAAAATCAAATATGCTCCCTTAAACTTTCCATCCAAATAATATGTAAAATCAATGGTTTTACACCCTAACATTGGTAGTAATATTCTCCAGCACACGGTTCTCCTTACATTTCCTAAGATACTGATGAAGGAGAATTTGTTTAACAATCAAGAGCTTCTTGGCGACCATTTTCTTTACCCTCATGATCTTGACATTTGATTCAGGGGTGATAATGTGAGAAGAAATTCAAAGCCAGTCACTTTAAGGGGATGAAGGGTGAAGCAAAATTTACTTAAAATTGCAGCTGGAACTTTTTAAACAGTATTATTTGAAATTGCATGCCACTAGGTTTTTACAAGCACAACACTACAGTGACTGACACAGCCTTCCATTCACATGTATATGCATTACTGTTTATAACATGGGTAGATCCCTGTGTGGGCAGTTTCTGAAAGGAATCTCACATTTTGAGTGGCTACCCATGCAGAAATGAGATTAAGATAGTCCCTTAAGTAGTACCATAAAAGCAAATTTTTGCTGTAAATCTGAGCTGTACAATAAACAACTGTTCAGTGACCTTTTTATGATATCTGTTTTTAAACAAGGTGGAGTTCAGTTTTCACAGGCAAGGCTGATAAGTTGCTCTGGCCTGAATTATTACAGATTCCACCAAAATGAAAAAAAAGAGTATTGTACAGCTCAGTACAGCCAAGGCAACATTTTTTTCAAAGAGGTTAAATATCACATGTAACCTTTCCCACCAAGAGATTAGGTAACACACGGTGATCAATTTCCTTACAATTGACACTTTGTGGTTAACAAATATCTTTCTGTATGTCAGTGCGCCCTGTTGTTGCAAGACTAATTCAGATTCGGGCAAATTTAGTCTAAAAATTTGGTAGAGTCATTACCAGATTTTGTGGGCCCACAGTGAAATGGTCCTAATTAGTACCTGTATATCTTATTAGACATTTTGGTGTGTAGTATCACCAAATATTTTTACAAGTTGTGCTGAATTTCGAAGAGCCCATGGGGCGAGTCAATATGCAACAGGTGAAAATAGCCAACTGTACAATAACGCAGGATATTTGTACTCTATTCGTGCGTTACTTGTGCTCTACTTTATGCAGTATCATAATAAGACTATTTATCGATCATTGATTGATCTGTACGTACCAATCGATGCCAATTGACTGATTATATTGATAAAAGCTTTTTTATTCGATATTCCGCTTCCATCAACTATATAGGCCGGGGTTAAATCGCTGGCAATCATCTCTTCAAACTAATTGATCATCATGCACCAACGTAGCCAATCATGTGAATTCAAATCATCTAATAATTAGCTAATATGATTCGTTCGAGAACGTAAAGTGTTGACAAGTAAACATGTCCAAAAAGTTTTTAAAAAAGTTAACCTAGAGGCGATGAGAAAGAAAACTATTATAAATCCACAGTAGTGACATGGTACGTAATGTCAACAAACAAAGTCCTTAATGGATACGTAATGATCTTTTGATTTAATGTTTATTGTAGAAACGAAAAGACGGTGATTTTTTTCGCCATATTTAGATATTATTAAGTAAAACTACCTCTATACAGTAAATCAGCGATGTCTGTATGATTTACAGGCGTAAGAAATTATTACATTTACCTCCATCACTGAAATCTCTCCAAATGTTACGCTTTGGGCGAGATAAATTAATTTCATCGATCCAAGTGTACAATTCCTGAAGTCCGTCTTCATCTAAGGTGGTTATCACTTGATTTGGCGAGCCTAATGGACCAGACATCGCTTAAATATGACCTAAGTGTTTAATACGACCTCTTAACCATGCTTCGTAAAACACTCAGCTTTCTATCTCACCCCGCCATATTGTTTTACAGTCACACTGTTGTCATGACGTCAAAATACTACAGCGTTGCACTATGGGAATGCTACGCTAAATATTCAAAATGGCGCTCTGAATGTTGTAATTAGAAGTTAGCTGTGTTGGAGAAGGTCGTTGTTTTATGGCTTTAAACTCTACGCAGTCAGTAGAAAGGTTTCCGTCTGATTCTTCAATAAAAGATGACAGAGACTGGCCTGATTTTGTTTGCGGAGCGGGAGCAGCTGCCGTTAACATTCTCTCGACGTTCCCCGCCCACAAAGTCATGTTTCGGCAGCAAGTTGAGGGGTTAAGGATTCGCTATGCAGTGCGCCAGGTGCTAAGAGAAGGGGTGTGGAACCTTTATCGTGGAGTTGTTCCACCATTGATGCAAAAAGGAACTTCAATGGCGATTATGTTTGGTTCATACAACAAGTTCCAAAGAATGCTTTCTCGTAATTTAACAAGCACTTCTTCAGTGGCCACTAGTGCAATAGCAGCAATGCTAGCGGGAACGATAGAAGCACTTTTTACACCATTTGAACGAATACAAACTTTAATGTCTCATCGTGGGCACAACGAAAGGTTTTCCAACACATTTCAAGCTTTCAAAGTCGTGGGAGTGCAATATGGATTGCGAGAATATTATCGAGGGCTTACTCCGATACTGTTGAGAAATGGACCCACTAATGTGTTATTCTTTGGCTTGAGAGGCCCATTAAAGTCCATTCTGCCGGAGGCAAAAACTAGTATTGGAAATGCAGCCAATGATTTTGTTAGTGGAGCTGTTTTGGGGGCGTGTTTGAGCACATTGTTCTTTCCAGTTAATGTTGTGAAAAGCCACATGCAAAAACAGTTGGGTGGAGAATTTGTGAACTGTTTCAAAGCTTTCACTGTAGTTTTTAATGAAAGAGGAAGGAGAACACGACGGCTCTTCTATGGAGTCTCACTGAACTACACTCGTGCTCTTGTGTCTTGGGGAATAATTAACTCCACTTACGAGCTTTTGAAGAATTGTTCAGGAAACAGCAATGTTCTGAGGACAAAAATGCATACAAAAACTTAATGTATTATCTTTCTCTGTAAGAGATTGTGTAGTTGGAAAAAGGTTACAGCTGTGTGTGTTGAAATCTGTGAATTATGTCTCTACATCAGACCTTGTATTGTCAATTCCAATGTTCATCATGACAGTGTACTGCTATCGTGGTGGTAATCAGAGGGTTTGTTGGCTTTGTGTCACTGTACAAAGCACCAAACTGTGCTATGATTGGTTGTTTCAATTTGTCACCTTGATTTGTGTTGCTAAAAACCAACTAATCAAACCAGAACACAATTCAATCCCTCCAATCTTCAAAGACCAATCAAGGACCCACTGTTGTGACTTTGTGCATCAGACTTAGTGTTCCTGAGTAACTTAAAGGGTCTTCATTTGATTCATATTTCTCAACATCCTTGTACAACAGTGTGTGGACCATACACACTGCCAACCATAGAAACTTCTACCAATTGGAGAGATTGTGTACTAGATGAATCCTTTCCAGTCTCTAGGAATATTGCTGATGTTTGAGTATTGAAGTCGCAAGTTTCCTTTTCAAGAGTCATCCCTGCTTTGCAGCTGAAGGAGTTTAAACCAGAACACAATTCAATCCCTCTTTCCTTGGAAGACTATTCAAGGGCCCATTATGGTGACTCTGTCTATGACTTTGTGCACCTGACTAACAAAAAGGGTCTTCATTTGACTCGTGTTCCTCAACTTCCTAGCAAGACAGTGAGTTGAGCGCAATAACTCTGACCGATTGGAAGGACTTCCCATCAGATGGATCCAATTCAGCTAACTCATAACCTGTTGACCTCATCATGTAATATAATCTACATGTTGCAATATTAAACCAAATGGTACAGTCAAAATCAGAAGTAACCATAACTACAAATGGTAAGAATTTATTGGTAATAGTCATTTTGTTGAGGAATATTTAATTATTTATTCAACAAATACACCAAATTATTCCTTATGGATACCGTGATGTTAAGAACATAAGTGTAAACCTGCTTGAAGCAATATATAAATTTTCATAAATAAAACAAGGCCATTCGGGACTTACTCTCCATTCAATGAATAGTTACCATGTTGCTGTGTTTCCGCTCAGTAAGAGATCACAGATGACATCAAGATTTGATAGGAACAAGAAAGTGGTGCATGAGGGGCAGCAGTGTGTGTCACAGATGTTCTTAACACATTTTGATGTCTTCCATGATATATTACTGAACAGACCCCGGGCAGCAAAGACTCTGCTTTTTTATATGATAAAAAAAGACAAAACAAAAAAAATGAGAAAAAATTGTTAATGGTTCAGTCATCTAATGGATGCATCAATCCAATCAATCAAAGTGCATGTATAATTTTTTTTCATAAATGTTTGTAAATAATACCAAACTATACTGGACTATCTCCATAAGATGACTGACAGCATTACAGGTATTCAAGGTGATGAACACTTTGCAGAATTTGTAATTATTACATCAGACTCTTTGGTCTGATTGTATAAACAAGGTTTAGCTACTGTTTATCATTGAAGAAATGTAAAATGGTTTCCGTGTTTACATAGTCTGATGTAAACATGCAGGAGGTTGGGAGAACATGAGATAAGCGTAGAAAACCACAACGCGAAGCGGAGTGGTTTCCAGCTTATCAAGTGTTCTCCCAACCTCCCAAGTGTTTACATCAGTCTATGTAAGCACGGAAACCATTTTACATTTCTTTTATAAAATAACTAATGAAAGAGCCTCTTCTTGCAACGAAGGAAAGCGACGTGCTTCTTGTTGTTGTTCATTTGGCTTTTTGGCCATTTCTTGAATACTGGGAAAATTAAACTCCAAAGAAAAATTAGGAAAATCTTCTTCTTCCATTACTGTACTCAAACAAACTTAAAGAAACTGAGTAACTGCTAAATAAATAGCAGGGAGAACTCCACGAGAAGATTCAGTAGGAAAACCGTGTTTACATACACTCATGTAAAATGGTTTTGTGGCCAATCAGAGCGTGCGTACTATTTGAATTATTTTATAAAACTGTGTCCTAAACAATCCTCAATTTAGCTGAACCTTTTATCTGAACATTTGCTTTTGAGAACATCATAAAGAGGGTCAAAAGCTTACAGTGTAAGGACGATTATTTTATTAAATCAATCCTCCAACAGGTTAGCTTAAGCAAAAAATTTTTCCTCCACAAAGGAGGTTTACCCTTCTAACTCCTAAGATATGTTTGTTGTCTTCCCTTTGGCTGCTACACATTACCTTGTAAATTAGTAACAAGAATTTGGTGTTAGATCAAGGTAACAACTACCTGATAAGTTTGAGTATTCTCATTACCTGTTTGGAGGACAATGTATGGATATAAATGGGAGAAGTTACATGATAATCACTTCAAGGAGTTTGAGGGTTAACCAATGTCCAAAATACATGTTTCATGCATTTCACCGAGCAGAGACAGCCTCCAAAACTGCTAACAAAATTATTTCCATTACTTTGGCTGTATAAGAGTTTGTTTGAAATGCTTAAAAATATGTAATGCAATAATTCTTATTTAAAGATGATAAGAAAGTTTAATTATCTCTTCTGTAAACTTAGTAATTTTTTAATAAAGGGGAGAGTCTCTAAAGAAACTGGTGCTGTGTCAGGGGGGAGGGGTGGTATTAAAAGATAGTCTGGTTTCATCAACTGAGTTGATAAGCGAATTGGCCACAATAAAAAGTTTCTAAAGGTGATGTTTTGAGGGTTAGCTTCTCATGGAATTAATCTCAGGTTCTCATGAAAGGCTAACAGCTTTTTAGAATCTCTTCACAATGGCCAATTCACTTAATCACCTTGATTGTTAAAACCAAATTATTTTATGATTTATGACTCATTCTCCTTCATCAGTTTCACTATTCTTGGTTATCCAAGACACTCTCCTCCTGTGTAGATATCAAGGGTGGGAGATATGGATCTTTAGGTAAAACATTGACTGGGAAGTGCTTATGAGGCAAAGTAATACCCGAAAAATATTCTGGAGCAACAAAACTTAACAGAAAAACTTCACATAATTTCCCTTGAAAGTAGATAGTGCAAACACTGCTCCCCCTCTCCCAGAGACCCCCCCCCCCCAAAAAAAAAGAAGAAGGAAAAACAAGAAAAAATGGATTACAACTTTTGAGAGGGAAGGATCCGATACAAGACCAGAAGAGAATATAGGACGGGAGAATAAATACCGGGAAAGATATTGGAAAAGAACCAAATTCCCCTGCCTTTCTTTCCCCCGTCCCCCCCCCCTTCCCCCCGTTCTCCCAATCTCCCAACTTCCTTCGAAAATAACAATAATTGAATATTCAACAATTAAAGCTTTTATTCCATCCTACTTTGCGCGTATGTCTTGTTAGACAATATTCTCCAAGTTTAAGATCTTCAACACAGTGCTTCTTTAGAAGCGGTTCTTGAAATAAGCCGCACAATCCGGCGGCCAGCTTGCCGCAAGCGTTACCAACTGTAAGCAAACTCAACGCAAACTCTTTTTTCTGCTGATCTGCTATCAATTCAGAAACAGTGTGAGCGGAATTAAGATACATGGATCCTGCTGTAAATCCCTCAGTAAAACACAAAGCAATAATAATTTCTACTCGTGGAACAAACCTATACCAAGAGGCCAAGAAAAAAAACAACCCGTGCAGAGATGCTATCAAGGCTAAGATCCATGTTCGTCTAACCCTGATGTAATGAACTAGTTTAGGATTGATCGCGGAAACTAAAAAAAAGTGGGACCTGCCCATGAACTTGCCAACGTGATATGAAAGTATATAATATGGATAATGGTCTCTCGGCTTGAAAGGCGCATTTGGAAACGCCAAAGTTGTTATAACAGCATGATTCGAAAGATACTCTGAAAAGTATGTTATAAAAAGGAATGTTATATATGGGAAAATATCCTTGGCTACGTTTAATCTGTCACGAAATGAGAAAGTTGTTGTGTCATCTTCCACGGGTGGATGGTCCTCGCTGAATGGTATGATCTCTTTCTTGCCGATAGGCTCCTTATCCAGGAGGGCATAGAAAAGTAACAGCAGGAAGGGCCAAGGGATGGTTGTCATAATAGTACTGCGGGGTGGCAGACAAGACCACGTGGTAAGACCTGACAATGAAATGAAATAACATAAATAGCGTTTGCCAATAATGGTTAACCATTTGTTGAACGAGCACTTTCACATGAAGCATGAAGCTAAACGTGCATTTATGAGTCGATGTTCTCCTCTGCAAGTAACAACTGACTCAACTTTCTTGAACTAAAGAGATAGGCAATTTTTACTCATACCCCAAAGGCGCTTTCCTCTAAAGGCGAAACTCGAGACAAACGCCACGACGAGAAATCTCTTCCGTGACTTCAATTAAGGTGGAAAAAGTAAACAAAAATAAAAAAATAAAAAAACAGATGAGACTAACAAAGACGAGGACAATACTAAAAGAGATGAAACAAAATTTATAAAGAAAATAGGTTTCTAAAGAAACTGTGATGTTGCGTAGGAGAATGGAGAAGGAGGTATTACAATATCATTTGGTTTTATCAACTAAGTTTATGATTAAAGTGGTCACCGTAAAGAGTTCATTATTTAAATCTGACGTTTCGAGTGCCACTGAGCCCTTTCGAACGTCAGCTCTTTGCTCTGATGAAGGGCTAACGCTCTAAACGTCAGCCCTACCGAAACTCTTTACTGCAGCCAATTATCACTATCAAGTCATATCATGGAAACAAAATTTAGATAAGAGAAAAAAAACAAAACAAAATAAATTTTTGTGCTACATACTTGTGTAGTAGAGGGGTCCTATGAAAGATGACAACCCTACACCAGCCACAAAGGAGCTTACTGTAATATGTTCGTAGAACGCCGTGAGAGACAGAAACGTTATCTCACTGGTAGCCACGCCAGACTCTATAACGCTAACTCCAGCGAGTCTTCCCAAGATGCGCTGCGAGCTGACGAGCGTCGTCAATCCTCCTAGAAGAAATACGACGACGAACATGATTTTCTTCCAATAAGAGATGCGCTGAAGAAACCAGGGAGCTGCCAGCTTAATACAGAGCACGGGAGTAGCAATGGATAAAATCACTGTTGTTGTGGCAACGGTTGATCCTGCGAGAATGTCCTCGGCTGAAATCAGACATATTTCATCGTACACGAACGACAAAATGCCGAAAAAGAAAAAACATACAATGTTCCTTCCCTTTTCTGTAGTTTCGGGTTCAGCCATAGTCTTGATTAATGGCGATTCCGATGTTTCTTCGCGAGACTTTTATGGTTGTCGTTATCAGTTATCTTGGTTTGCCAGTGGAGCCAAGATTGTTGACATCTCAACTAAGCACGTTTGATAACATTATCGAGCTTATTTTCACACTGAACTAAAAAGAAATACAGAGGGCACTTATTAGTTAAAAAACAATCCAAAAACAATGCTACAGATATCTCATTTTATAAAATGTTCAGAGAAATGCGCGCGCCGTGATTGGTCAGCATGAGTTCATTATGATTCCATAAAGCACGTGCCTTACGTCACACGAGTGCACTGTTGAGATATAATGCAAGCAGCCTACGTCATCGGTACGAGCGCGCGTAATTCACGATACGTATAGGAAATCGTATGAACGCGAGTGCATTTCGTGATTTATGGGCACGAGTGATGTTTTGAAAGTTCTCAAAATTGCACGAGCCGTAGGCGAGTGCAATTTGAGAACTTTCAAAACATCACGAGTCACCATAAATCACGAAATGCACGAGCAGGTTCATACGATTTTTTATTTATTATATTCTCGACATTTTTTTATAATTTGGTGTTCAAATTTGGCGCTTCCCCGGTGTTTCCATGGCAACTTCTCCGTATTGCACTCTATAACCTCTATTGCACTCTATAACCTATTTATGCATTCATCATTGACCAATCAGAAACGCGATATTTTGTTGAGTATATAATAAATTTTATAAAAGAAATAAAAAGCCTTGTTCCTCGAGCATTGTTGAGATATGTAAGCACTTGTGAATTTTTAAGAACACGACGGCTCGTGCTTCTCCGCACTTCTCTCGTGTTCTTAAAAATTCACAAGTGCTTATATGTCTCAACAATGCACTCGGCGCGTTTTTTATTTCTCATTAGCCATCACCCTGTTCAGACCTTTTACCAAATATGCCACAAATTAAACCAAATGTTTGAGACGAGCGGAATATTAGGCCATGCATAACGGACCAGTCACTAGCTACCATCTAGGAGGTGGAGGGCGGGGGGAGGGGGATTTGTGGGCAACACATGATTTTCAAGGGGAACGGAGAGGTGATCAGTCGTTGTTAACTGAAATTAAAGGAGGAACTATAAAAAAAAAAATGACTGCCAATGAGGGGGATTCTTAAAATACTACAGAGCTTTGGCGGAGGGGGGGGGGGGGGGGAAATCAGGTTGTTATATTGCGTCACAACCAAAATCAAACGATCACTCCTCTAGGGGATAAATAATGACCGGTTCCCAACAAGTACGTGTCGTACTAGTCTCCAGGGCCACATGCTTTTACTCATCACTTTTCTCCTGCCACGTGACTAAAAGAGACTTTTGCCCCGAGAACGATAACGTACGAGTTTAATCTACCTAAGGCACCAACCAGATGATTTATTCTTATTGTTCAGCGAGTAATTTGCCACCAGTACATGTCAAATAAATAGTTCATAATCAGGTAAATAATATAACCCAATTCCTTGCCAAGATATAGTGAGCTTCTGTTCATCTGTTCCCCTTTCGCATTATATTTGATATGTTTCAGATTCGATTTCATTAATTCCCATCCGCCATGCTCTGATCGCTCACAAAGAATGTTCTCATTATCATAAACTGTAAGCATGTGTGGTCCCATCCACCAGTGATGGACGGAATCGTAATACGCAAAGATATCTATCCATCAGTCGTAAGAAGAGACAACTGAACTCAAAAATTTCCCGAAATTTTTGTCGCGTTGTTTTTTTACGGATTTTTCTCTTTCCAAATAGTGGACTTATTAAATCACTACCGGAGCGACAGGCTAGAAAATCAATTTATTCACTCGAGTTCGTCCGTTAAATCACCCATGCCTGGAAACTCAGTCATTAAGGACCAGTTAGATATAAACAAGATTTGCAAATGCCATACCTTTGTATTCAGTCTAGCCAGGAATGATGATTTTCTTCACTGGTCATATCTTTTCCTTAATCTTGATCACAACCCGTGGGTTTGGCGCGTGGTTATAGCTGGTTAGAGCCCCACCCCTCCCCGCTAAGAACATAAAACTACCTGTCCTATGACCTGCAAATAGATTTACCTGACTGAATTTACAATTGGCTTCTTCGCGTTTGGTTCAAACAGAGTGCTTTAGGATTATTTACTAAATCATGGATATATGATATATCCTGATGAAGACTAGAAGTATTGCAGTCGAAACGTCGCGATCAACATCAAAAGTGACTCTATCGTGAGACAAACGAACAAAGTTCATCTCCTATTACATAGACATATGTTCTATAGTTAACATGCTGATGTTTAACCAAAAAAGAAAATGACCAGCTCCCAGTTAGCTTGCTCCGGTATTGCAGAGGTCATGAGTTCAACTCTCGTTCAAGCCTGAATTTTTTTCAGGCTTTGTTTTTACTGCTCAAGTAGTGTTCATAGCTGCGATGATCACTCTTGTCATATTTTCAAAGTAGTTTAAATATACCATAAAACGAAAAAAATGTACCAACACGCTTGCTAGCGTACCGGTCAACCGCAAAATCAAATTACACTCTCTTGTCAGCCAGAGGGCTATATGTCTGTTTCCTTTTTGGGCAAAATTTAACAACATCTGCTTCCTTTTAGTCTCAGAGCTCACGCAAGTCAAACTTTCGTGGCGATTTTCAATCATTTCGAGAAATGAATATCGTGAAATAGAAATCAGATGACTCTTTTAAATACACACGTAGATGAAAATTGATTTAATTCGGAGCATTTGATTGTCCTGGAAAATGTTCTTATTTGTTTACAGTTAAAAGGCAGGTTCGTTCAGTTAAAGTTAGTTTTGCTCGTAAAAGACTGGGAAGAGAATTAGTTTAACTCGAACCAGTCTCCACGCAAACGAAATTACTTTACATTTTGACGCCTGGACGCTATTGCTTTAGAGTCAACTCAAATATGAGAGTTATATCGGCTTTATGGGTAACGTATCAGAGATATCTCACCACACATCCATGGAAAACTCAAACTCTGACTACTGGTGAGGTTAACCAAATTTATGTTTACACCCTTTTTACAACGACAGAATGTCTGCTTGGTCTAACTGAAGGGTCAAACCTTCGTCCGGTATTCGACTGTTTGACTGTTCGATATATCATTTAGAAATTTTTAAGCGTTTCTCGGTATACCCTTTAGAAATTGTTGGTGCTTTAGACTTCGAGTTGAGAGGTTCGGGTTCAGGACTTGGCCCGGGTCATTGCGCCTTGTTCGTTAGTTTCACAGTGCCTAGAGTCTCCACTCAGGAGTATAAATAAGTCCACCCGTCCGGTGAATTGTCAGGTAATTGTAACTTTCGAAGATTTCATCGTTCAAATTCCTGTCCAACAAGGCCAAAATTGTGTTCAACTGCTCCAGCCAAGTGCCAGATTTTATCGTCATTTTTTATGTCTAAGGCAAGATTATAGCCACCGTGATTTTCTCGGAGACCTTTCTCTCTCTGAGCCATTTGTTCTTGAGAGTGAACTTTTTATCTTTAATATTAAAAGATATATCACGTTTATTCTGCTGGAAAGACTTGAGTTCCAGTTCAAATTCCCCACCCCCCAAGTGGGGAAGTAATATTCAGGCCTTGAATTGTTTGATGCATAACCCCCAAATCTGTGTGGAGATTATACAGTGAGTTTATATTTGACATGTTTTGTGCACTTTGAGGATCAGCAATTTTGATGAACCCCCTGAATAAGTGAAACATGCAAATATTTTAAATTTGATTTTATTTTATGTTTTCACCCTGAGCTGGTGGAAAACCTCACAGAATCTTTAAAGATCTTTAAGGATTGTCAAAGTCCTGTCAAAGATCTTTAAAAGCAAGGCTCTTTAATAAACAAAAGATTTTGTTTTCTTGCATTGAACTCAGGCTATTAATTAATGTAAGGTATACAGATCTATATCTAACCAATCTCACCTCTTCTTGATAAATCATTCAGTTTTTTTGCTTTTGCAATGTTCTCATTTCAGCTGTGATGTTTAGTACAAGTGACATCTTGACTCAACAAATTATCGAAAAAAAGGGATTGCATCACGATTTTAGAAGAACACTTCGCATGTACATAATGGGAGTCATTATTGGGCCTATTCAAAGGACATGGTTTTTAACACTTGAGCGCCTTCTACCACCTACATCCAAGATGCAAATTCTCAAGAAACTTATAGTAGACCAAACAATTTATGGTCCTTTTATAATATTTTTCTTCTATAGCTTATCAGGGACACTGTCTGGGAAAGATATTAGTGAGATCAAGGAAGTTATTGAAGAGAAGTACCTTAGAACTTTGATCACAGGCTACAAAGTGTGGCCATTTGTACAAGCAATTAATTTTACTCTTGTCCCTGTTCAATTGCGAGCTAATTTTGTTCAAGGGGTGTCTCTTGGTTGGAATATGTACTTATCCTGGATGGTAAACAAACCTGTGAACAGCTTAACCCTCACTCATGACAGTCTTGGGGAAAAGAACCCAGACTTTTCTGTGGACTCTGATATATGAAAAGCTGTGTAGATTACAAACTTATTGCATCGTTGCATTTTAAATACTTTAAATATTACATATATTTATTTAGTTTTCTAATAGATTTGTGTAGCAATGGTATCATCAATGCCTTAATCCTCGGTGCTGAGGTGTAGGTTTAAAATTTTGGTAAATCTAACTAGAAAATATGCAGAATTCATGTAAAATTAAATTAAATGCAACCGTAACCCTAACTCATGACAGCCATGGGGAAATGAACCCAGACTTTTCTGTGGACTCTGATATAAGAAAAGCTGTGTAGAGTACAAACTTATTGCATCATTGTATTTTAAATACTTTACTAAAAACTTGTATAAGTTTCTTATAGATTGGTGTAGCAGTAGCATCATCAATGTCTTAATCCTCAGGGTGGAGGTGTAGGTGTAGGTGTAGGTTCAAAATTGATATTTATCTAAATGAAAAATATGCAGACTGCATGTAAAATGAATGTAATTTGCAATAATATTTCAAGGCTGACATGCCTGTTGTATGTTTAATTTGACGATCAACTACAATAACATATTTTTCTTAGTCACTCCACAGTATAGCAACAATGCTTGGTATTTATATCATCAGTAGTTTGAACAACCCAATATTACTTTACTTTTCTGTTTAGGACATAAGTTGTGTGATGATGATGATGAGTGATGAGATAAGAAAAGAAACATCAAATACTTAACCCATAATAACTTACCAGTACAGCTGGTTGGGGTGTGAATGCATTTAAGTTTTTTTCCATTTATTGTAAGTTGTAGTGACATTGTTACTTTTTTTGGCTTTTGGGGGCCAATTTTTTTGACAGATTGGTTCCTGAAAATTTCAGAGACAGTAGCAACCTCAAAATTCCAATTTCAGCCCCCTCATATCCGATGTTTAAAATGAGTGAAATAAGTGTAGAACAAAAACCCATGGCCTCAAGGGGTATCTGGGTGAACACCAGTTATACAGTCCAGCTAGTATTAAGCAGTCGCCTTGTAATAAGTGCTCAATTTTTGAAGTTCCAAATTTGTTTCCTCTTAATCCCTTTACTAAAGAGATAAAAAACATGCTAAGTGCATGTGGCGTAAGGCGGGTGCTTTATGGAAATTTAATCAACTCATTCTTACCAATCACAGCGCACGTTTTGACAACTTAAGTGAAAGTCCTCATCAGAATCAAGTAGGAGTTATCTTTCAGTCAAAATCTGGTTTGTTTGAACTGATTGGTCAGTTTCTCCGTGATTTTACTACACATATTGACTGTAAGAGTAAAGAAGCATAGGTCTGTAGCAATCAGTCAGATTCGTTACGTTAGTTGAGATAGGTCTGTTTGGCTCGCTAACTGATAATAATCTTTCTAAGTAATTGGTTTTTCTTTGAGGCACACCTTCCCCTTGCTTTGTACTTTTCTTCTTTTTCAAATTAGTAACTTTGAATGTTCTCAGCAAATTAAATAAATTATTACAAATCTCAACCGTCAATTAGTTGCTGTTTATTCATATGCAAATTTAGTTTCAAGATAGATCATCCAAATCCAAGGAAATACTGTCAAATTTTGTTTAAAATTAATGCGTGCAATTATTTCCGGCATCTATTCATGCCTAACATAGGAGCCTCACGTAACTTTGTCTTCTGGAAGAAGTTTTCTTTGGTTCATCCACTCGTTAAACGTTCCAGATGAGCAATTCAAGATCTTCGCAAGAAGAAACTAAAATCAAACACAAACAAGTAAATAGGTGAGTTAATTAGTCAAGAAACAAATGCCAAACACAAACACAAAACCATTCTAAGAAAATAAGAGGCGATTAGAGCGCGCCAAAAAAAAAATTTGACGTCCAGTTGCCGTCTGTGTCTCAAAAACGTCTGCGCTTAAGCGCTATAATTTTGGCCCTCAATCCTTGTCTTTCAAGAGCTCGAGCTGACATCCGTCCAGTATTGCCTTAGTGCTTTCTTGTTAAGACAGATGTAACCCCTCCTCATCCAAGTCAGCTCAAATGAGCTTTGCTGTTACTTACGAAGTAAAACGAGACCCGTCGACCGATCACACAACAGAATTTTCTATGTAATATATAGGACGAAATAACAATATATGCGAGTTGAAGAAGTGATCGGCTTGCCACCACTAGGAATGGAAACTACTGAGCGTCAGATTATAGGCCGTGATTGAGGGCCAGGGTACCTTGAGCTGGCTTTGTACCCTTAGGATGATAATAAGCACTCATGAAAACCAAAAAAACAATTGTTCCGTGTTTGCCCCCAAGTCTAGCAGACATAATATTCATCTTAAAATACGGCTGTTCGTACCTTAAGCGCCTCCAGTGTGGTTAATGGGCACAGTTCATAGATGGGTAAGGATTGAACGATAAGACAAAGTTTAGCCTACAACAAACAACATTAAGACTGAAATGAGAACAACTGATTTACAGTCAAAGTAGATAAAGAAGTACCACATAGAATATTTTATGAAACCGATCACTTGGAACGTATAGTTCACTTTGTTCCTGCAGTCAAATTAAAAGTTTCATAGCTCCGTGTATACTGAGAAATTACTTTAGAGACACTTCAACTTCTCATAAAGTTGCCAGCCGAAAACGAGCCATCCTGAATTTTGAATGAAGAAAATCACAGGAATACGATAATATAAACTTCCATAAAATTGAGTATGCCTTGGAAAATTGTTGCATTAACAATCACCGCCCATCACGCTTCTAGGGATACAGACTCCAAGTAATGGCCTGATATTCAAACAGTTTTGTGTCAGCACCAAATGGCCATCAGTCGAGTGGATTTTTCTCATAGCTTGAAAAATCAATTCAAGAACAAACCTGGACAAAAGGCAGCGTGGTGATGTCATCAACAGCAAATGGATATAACTTGTTTAAAAGGATGATCACCTCTGCTTCGCTGGCAACTCCAAGTTCTTTGGCCTCATTCTCCAAATCCTCGTACCTATTAAGTGAACAAATGCTTAACCAGAGAGGAATGAATAAGATGCACGGGATCCTTCTTGATTTAGAAAAAAAAACCTTAAAAAAGTCGCACCATAGTAACATCCTAAAATGGTTCTAAATTCCAAGAAGACATTGACGTAAAAATTTCCCGAGAAAAAATGTTGCACAAGTCCTTGTTACCTCTGAAACTATTTTCAAAGCTGCAAAAATCAGATTATTGGAGGCTTTACTATTTACTATTGTTTGTAAAACAATATTTGATTCAGCTTCTATGAAAAGACGAATGTCAGGCTCTTACACCTTGAGAAAGTTCATCCTGATCTTACTGTCACCTAGTGCCACTCATTTTGCTTTCATCTTTAACCCTCCTTATGCCTTGTATGCTTTTGGTTTTATCTTGATTATTTTTATGGTTTTGAATTTTTCTTTGTTCATTTATGTACCTCCTGTGTTCACTACCCTCGTAAGGTGTGGTTTTGGTTTTCTCCCATATCCTCAAACACGAAACTTACCACGTCAATCTTGGTGCTATCAATTTCTATTCGACCACAGCCTCCTTTTGTTTTTTCTAACATTTTAACTGCAGCTTTTTGTCGTGATATGGAGAATATAAGCTTTTATAAATCCCGGCATTTTTTTTTATCTATTTATCATCAATTTTCCTAGGTTATTTACCATGGAGCGCTTTTAACATCTTCCTTGTCGTAATCTTGAATGATCTCACTGCCTGCTTGTCGCACTCTTTGTAAATCCACTGGAAAGACCGAAGATGGATCAACCGCCTGGACTTTTGAAATAAACGAATGCTTTTCATTCCTGTTCGATTAATAAAATTAAAAGACTACATAAGTCATGATTTTGGACCTCACTGGAATCTTCCCAGGGAGCTGAAGGACAAACGTTTTTGTGATGCGGACGGCAGTTGGAAGTTAAAAAGTTCTCATGGTCTGCATAATTTCGTTTGCAACGTTTAAACGACGACCTTATAGTCGATAAATTGGCGTCAAAAGACACCAGAATAAATAATATTCTTCTTCCGCCTGCTGTGCGCGTCTCTAAAACGTCTCTGCTTGAGTTCTTTTCCAGAAGACGACCGCTTCCATCCGGCATTAAAAGTAAGTAGCTAACGAGGAAAATATCTCATATAAGTATACACCACACTAAAGAATTGGTCCATGCTTAGCGCGCGTATATTGAGTTATGGATGTACGCGGAAAGTTTGGAGAGCACGAGAAAAGCGTAAGAGTTGTTCGAGGCGCAGCCAAAGACAAAATAGTACGTCAAGAGTTTAATTTCTGACCATATATCAGCAAAAGAAATAAACTTTAAGTTTTTGGTATCTGTATGGTATATACTAATCAAGAACAAGTATCCACCTCAGTGTTGGTGAAAGTGGCGAATATTTACCCCCACTTTGTAAGTAGTTGGACACTATTCTGACGAATTCCAAACTGAGAATTCGTAGCACGATATTCTCAATGCTTGAAATTCAAAGCCCTTGTAAGCTTTATAAGAACAATTGATAATTAACAAACTAAGATTCATCAAAGCCAAAAGTTATACAACTTCAGTTTAAACTGAGGAAAGATCTCTACGCATTACATTTTGAAGAGTTTGAGCTTTCATTGGTTTTATTTCCTGAGGCAGAGAAGAAGCTAGCTGAATGAAAGTGTCAGATGTATTTTGCTTTAATCTCAGACAAGAGGAATCAATGCTGTACCCTTAGGCAGCCTTTTATTCTACCTAGATGAGCACCACGAAATCCTAACTAAGGCATCCCTTAAGCTCATGACAACGGCAGATGACAACTTGTTGTGCCAGTTTTGCTTGTTGTTTGTTGTGTCAAGATGACAAACCTGTTGATCTCGGTGAGTTTTTTTCTGACTCGCTCAGCAGATCTTGCTTGAATTTTTTCAAAACCTTCTCGGATCGTATCGCACAAAGAGTTTTCAGATTTTGAAGAAGACTTCTTTAAGCTGTACAATAAATAAGACACAAACCCCAATATGTTAAAAATATCTTCATTATTTGCAGTTATTGTATGATACACACAAAGAAAAAACGAAAAGGCCAGTTTACCTAATTAAATCATAGACGGATAGAACAAAACCAGCGAGATTCTACTCAGCGGTACATTTTACTGATTCGTCTATCTGTCCGTCTGAATGGGTGTCTTTGCATATGTACATGTCTTTTTATCTGTTTGTCCATCTAGTAGTCATTTGATCTGTCTGTTTATCTTATAGTCTGTTAGTTCGTTTTTCTGTCCGTTTGTCCGTCTCTTTGTTTTTGCGTTGGTCCATCTGCCTGTCTTACACTCAGTCTTTCTGCTTTCCTGTGCTCAAGTTAGCCTCTCTGTTTGTCTGTTGCCGGGTCATGCTGTCTGTCTCTCAACCTACCCGAGTGTAAAGGGATTACGTCTCTAAGAAAACCGTGGTGCTGCGTCGGTGGGGTAGTGATCGAAGCAAGATACTTTGGTTTTATCAACTGAGTTGGAAATGAAAATTGGCCACCGTTACGAGTTTCAAAGCTGACGTTTCGAACGTTGACCCATCGTCATATAAACATTTCGAAAATGTCTTGCTGCTCATCGAACTCAGTTCATGATAAACGCCAACCTTACCCGTTGCTCACTCTCTAAGTAAAGACAAATTGCTCGACTCTCTCGAAAAGCGATGTTTAGACAAGCAATAAATCATGTATTTAAAGAGGTAAGCTTCGCTCTGCCATAGGCCTAATGCTCGAATCTGTCAGCTTTGAAACTCGTTGCAGTGGCCAATTTACATTTTAAACTCAGTTGATAAAACCACTTCATTAATATGTAAGCCTGTTTGTCTCAGGTTTTCTGAAATGAATTGTACGTGGAAACTGAACAAACCGTCTCTTCGGAAATTGTCCTTTGGGGCCATTCTCCTTTGCATCTGGAAAACAAGAGAGAGCAAGTTTGCGCTATGTTTAAAACACATTAGCCGAATTCCTCTAGTATAGAAATATCCCTCGAGTTTGAGTGCCAGAGCCCCTATATTGTTATATTGTAATGTTGTGGGATAAATCAAGTTTTTCTTGTTGTGTTTCTGATGTTGGAGATAGACCTACATGTATGATTTGAACCCACGTATGGAAAGAACTCAAAAGCTCACTTTTCTCTGCAGAGGCAACCTGGTGCCAAATAGGAAGCTGATCCTTGGCGTCACTTGCTTGAGCAGCTCCATTCTGAATGACTTGCAGCATTCCACCAGGTCGCCTGTTAAGACGTAAAATTTAACAATGTTTCAGTGTTAAAGCATCATGTAATCATAAGTAGCCGTGCGTGTGAGGTAATTACGAAGATTTACCCTATCAAAGATTATGTATATTCAATTTTATTTCCCGCATCGTTTTTTTGGTCGCATAGAGACTCTAAAGCTTTGATCAATAACGCTGAAAAATTAACGATGGACGTCGCCATTTTTAAAACAAGTCCGTAACCAGGCCACACATGTAGAACTACGACGGGCGGTTCAAAAACAGCTGCTGTCCTATTTTTCACTTCTAAAAACTCAAAAATAAATGAAATACGAAAAATTAAATTATTTGTGTTCTGAAATTATTCAATTTAGCGCCCGGAGTGCTTATTCACTTTTGGTACCTCAACAGATTGATCAGTGCTTTTACTGGAACCGAATAGGGGCGTGTATTAGAAAAGGGCCGCTTATTTGGAATAAAGGTGTTTACTCAACAGGGGCGCTCATTGACAAAAAAATAATTTGAGGGGGGCACTCATTGGAAGTAGGGCGCTAAATCGAATCATTACGGTGGTCGAGAATATCGTTTTTGAAGGCCCTTTTTGCTGCAGATCGCCAGGAGATGGAGAAAAAGGAGACTTCTTTAGGTAACAGGCTGGAGCATGGTTGCTGAGCAAGATTAAAATGGAAGCATCCGCTTACCACTGAACACTATTTATAATAATGGTGTTCAGTGGTTGCAGGACGCTACTAATCGTAACAGTATGTGCATGGTGGTTACCAGCACAGAGTAAAGATGTTATTCCTTTGTTTCCCAGAAGCAATACGATGAATACTGATGAAAAGATATCTATCCAATCCTCAGTAATAGCAATTAAGAAAAGGGTGATGTTTTATTGGAAGAGTGACTGTGAAATTTTGGACGTAAAAGATTTTCAGGAATATCTCTAGCTATGACATTTGTATGATTCACTCAGCGCTGTGCATGACAAAAGTATTTCTTGACGATATTACCCAAGTAACCTGTTTACGAAAGCATTGGCTTTCAGAGTAAACAGTTATTTCATCATCGCTAGCTTTCATAGAACTGTGCACCTACCTCACTCTAACACCACCATAAACCATTTTCACTGAGTTTATAAAACTGGCTCTTGTTCCCTGGCTCTTAGCACCCTGTTCTCCAGCTTGTCCACCCCTTATGGCTCCCGGCCACGCAGGAGCCTGAGATTGAGAAGATGGTTTATCTCCAGCTTCCAGTAGATCTTCCCACGTGTCAATCTTGTCAGACGTGTCTCTTGTCCTACAGATAACAAGTATTTACTTTAGTATCAACTAGAAGTTGAAGCAAGTGACTGACCTGCCATAAGAAGTTCTGTAAAACTGACTTTCCGAGCGTTAGTACTTTGACGAAGTGTTATCTTCTCTGAGCTGACAGGGGCCTGGCGCTTGAAAGGATAGCTTTCCAAAATTCATTGAGGTGGATGATCTCTCATTATTAACCACCGATGGATGGTTAACTGAGCATTTAAGTAGCCAGCTGACACAGTGCAGCAGTTTCTTTAGAGTCTGAAAAACCACCACTAATTTATCTACTCATTCATTGATTCCTTCTCCATCCATCCAACCCTCATTTCATTCACTCAACTATTCGTGCATTTATTCAATTATTCATTTATTTAATCTATCTGAACATTACTCCTTCCTATGTGTGCGTGCCCGTTCTTCCGCTTTTTCATTCATCTATCTATTTACACATTACTTCTTCTTTTCTTTTTTTTTTTATTCTGTCATTGATTCATTTAAAGTTCATTTAAATAAATGGATCATTTAAAAAGCGGTCCATCGACTGATCAATCATCATCGATCCATTTCTTCCAATGATCTCTATATGTAAGACAGAAAAAAAACCTCAATTTGCGTCCAAAGACAGATGCCCTGGACTCAGTGCGTCCAGATCCAGCAATTCCAGGGCGGAATATAGAAGAAGGCGAATCACAAAAAAAGCTCGCACGTGTGTTCATCTGAGGAGACAACTGGTGATCATGATCCATACGGGAAACTGTAGCATCTGTGGAGGATCTTTGAGGGCCGCGTGACTGAGGTTGCACGTGTGTCATATTCCTTGTGTGTCTCAGGGGTTTTCCTTTTTGATCCGTCGAAATCGCTATTTTGAGTGTCCTAATAAAGTCCTTTGACAACGGCACCTGCAAGTTAATAAAGTCTACACCTGGTTACATTCCACAGAGCTGGAAAGTGACAATGTTCATTTAGCGTACCCCGTACAACTTGTTCGCTAAACCTGATAGGACTTTAGTCATTCCCTACGATTAGTCAGAGTACAGATGCGCATCAGACGTCATGGAAAGTTATTTACCTTACAGTGTTCTTGAGTTATTTATTGTAGAAGAGAAGAGACTGTGCGGTAAGAATGAAGGAAAGACTTCCCTATAACTCACTCTATTCTTAAACAAAACTGTAATTCCAAAGGAAATCTATTGAAGGCTGTTTGAACGTACACTTTTCAAAAATATGACCTACGATTTTTAAACTAAGATAACCTTTTTTCGTAACAAAGAAATTCTTTATCATCAATTTTCGTACTCGCCAAGCACTTAAAGTAAATTTACGATTTGTTTTATAAAAATTCCCCTTTTTACCTTGGTGCGTAAATCTTTTGTCCTGAGGTTATACACATAGCACAGCAAAGTGTGCAGACTTCTGAGTTTACCGCTAAAGTTACGAACATACCGATCGTGTTGTACATCCCTAAAACGAAACATAACTGTCAAACTCTCTTTTGTGGCTCGTGATCTTTTCAACACGCAGTGAGCTGATACTATGAAGCTATATTTGGGCATCAAACGGCTTACAATATTAATACAAGGCGCAATTTTCTTATTGATTGATTTCGTCATTTGAGTTGATGAGATTGACTGGTATCTAAAGTCCACGAATATCTCGGTCAGGGGATGGTTGCCATCAAACTGGGAGAATAAAAAACTTACCACTGCCGAGGAGCGAGGACTGGTACTCCGGCCCTGAATTGGTTGCTAAACCTTTGAGCTGCGCGCAATAGTGCTGACGCCACAATATGCAGGACGTTTATTCCATATCATTCTACTTGCTTTTTGTGGTATGGTGTCTCAAAGACTTCTTTGTAGGTCAATTAATTGAGTATCCGAACGCAGAATTGAAATTAGGTCGAAAACAAATCCACGCGGGTAAGTCAGATTAATGCAAGTCCTTACGGCAGGGACCAGTCATTGCATGATAACTTACCTCTGATCAATAACCTCTTCCTCGTGTTCTGATTTTATCTCACTGGGGAAGGCGGCAATCAACTCTTCCCCAACCCCTAATGTGTCAGTTCCATCAAATGACCTGAGCTTGTTCATCATTTTCTTGGTTTTATTCGGAGACACATTTGATGGCTCCGTCATCAGCAACTGACCTTGAGGGCCCTTCATGACATCCACCACCTACATAGAGATATGATATATTCTTTTAAATGCGCATGTGTGTTGAGAGGTAAATGTTGAAGTGACCCAGAAAAAATAGTAAACACAGCAAGAATTGTTCGCCAGTAGCCAGTAAGATTTGAGATTGTCAATTCCCTCGTCACGTAATGAGAGACAAGGAAAACTTTTACTCTAAATGGCTGTCTTGATTACTGTACGGTAAAGGTTAAGTCAGTTCCCGAGCCAAGTGGCACACCATGCCGGAGCTTATCCCAGTTTCTTTTACGTAAAAGCGACCAAGAGTATCATTACCCTCCCCCCCTCTTGGATGGGTGCCAGTCTATCGCAAGGATAACCCCCAGCATTTCATCAGGCTTCCCTGAAAGATTGCCGGTACCCATTTATTTTCCTGGATGGTGAGAGGCACTGTGAGAGTTACTTGTTTTGCCCAAGAACACAACACATTGACCCGGCCACAGGTCCCGTGCCCGGACCTCTCGACCCAGTCCACCGCATCAACCATAAGGCTACCGCGTGTCCCGCTTTGAACATGATGACAGACACTCAAAAAGAGTCTTCGCACGTTAAGACAGATAACTAACCGTAGACATGATATTCTTTTTGTTCAGACATTCTTCAAATGACTGCCCGGCTCGCACGGCTGCAAGTCTGTCTCGACTCTGGCACAACCTTTCCTTTATTTCACACAATCCTGCTTGATCTTGCAACGAGAGTGATTTTCGCTTCTTGCTTACATCGGATTTCTATTTTATTCGAAATAAATCAAAGGATAAATGAAAGCATACCAACGTGACCTCTACAAGCTACACTTACACAAGTCATTATCAATCCGGGGAAAGGGTGGGATGTGGAAGATTTTGGGGGAATTACATAATCCTTGCGCGTTTCGGAGGTGGATCAGTCGTCGTCAACGGAGTATAAATGGGCGACTATAGTAATTTGACTAACTGCCAATCTACTGACAATGAGGGGGAGAGGGAGGTTGGGGGGTTATAAAAATACTACGGAACCATATGGGAGGATCAGGTAAAATTTATGGCGACAAAATAAACATCAATGTTTATCAAATATGAGCAAAGATTCTGAGGGAAAAAATTTCGCATTTTAACTGTATAAATTTTTTACCCACACCCTTCCCAACTTTCTAATACATATGTCCCCTCTCTAAACGATTTTATCATCTAGAAGAACTGAAATTAATTACACCTCTAAGGGCCTCTAAGAGCATCCGCGAGATGTAATTCTATTGACGCGCAAATCAATTAATGGGCAAATTAATTGAACATGCCTTTTGGGCGGTACTCTCTGTGTCTGTTTCTTCCTTTTTCTCCTTTTCGTTCGAGTCGACCACAACACTGACATTACACTAAAGGTGAAAACAAGGTTAGTTAGTAAGTTGGTTCATTTCGCCAAACATGTAAGCGATGCCAGACTTGAGGTCAGAACTGCCATGCGGTACTTTATGTTATCACTAATACCTTCAATTCACATGCAATAACATAACAACACCATAAAGAATCATTTTCTTGGGCAAAAATAATCTGAAAGATAAGGAAGGTTCCCATAAAAAGGAAAGAAGATGGTACAAGATGCGAAATATTAACAATAATTTTAATTATAGACTCGAAAAATGAAGGCTGAAGATATTAAAGTGGACGGGGTATGACGCTGAACTCCATATTTCGAGGGCGTTTTGTGATTGGGGTAGAAACTCGCGCCAGTGAGCTACTCAACCAATTAGAAGCTGATACCAATTTTGAATCACCCTTGATACAATCTATGGTGTTCTTTCACTCTGAGATTTTGTTGTCGTTGTTGTGGTGTTTGCATATGTTCCGATGGCTGTGTAACACCGCAAAATAATTCCTAGATCCGTTACACTCTGATTCTCAAAGTTTATTGCTATGTAAAACTTTTTAAGATCACTTGAAGTTCCAACCTTACGTGAGCTTTTAACGAATCTGTGCGCGCAATTTCTCGCCGATATTTCAAATTTTAGGTTGGACAGAAACGTATATGAAAAGTTTTCCTGTCCTTTTTTTCCTGTTTTTTCCTGCAAAAACAGGTGTAAAAGAATCTGTGGTATCAGCTAATTGTGGTTTCAGAAACAAATAAAGGAGGAACAAAAAGAAGAAGTGTCATAATAGTACTTGGGCAAATAAGGTGAATGGAGAGATTTAACGGCAAGTAAAACCTTTGTGACAATGTTTTAGATTCTAAACTACGTGCATAAAATAGGGAAATTGACTCTTTGAGTCTGGAAAAGATATTTCAATCTCTTGGTTTGGATCAAATTTTAATTCTTTTTCTGAACACAAAGCTATCTTAAACTTTCTGCGCAGTTAGAAGAAGCAACAGCTATGTAACTTAAAATAAATGCGCACACACGAGGATCCACCTGATTAAAACGAAAAAAGTATAATAACTAACAGTAGTGAAACAGGCCGAACACTTGCACAGCAGGCTTTATAAAAACGAGAGAAACACTCGGCAACTGAGCGTTATCAATATGGATAATATTTGTTGTTTGCTTACTTTCTCTGAGCTTTGATCAATTCCAACAGTGTCGAGGACTAGATCGCGTATATCCAGACAAACGTCACCAACTGAAGCATATGGTAGATGAGCCGGTGTGTAGAATCCACAGAGTCGCTGTTTAACATGCCGGTTGTATTTATCTTTCCAGTGATCTTCGGTTAGTTCGGACTTGTAGTAACGATTTGTGCGAATTCGCACTTTTCTGTCGCTTTGAGTCAGCGACATTTGAGGCTCGGAACGAAAATTTTGCTTCAAGCTGCGAACAATGTCTGCGTAAATCTGATTCTCAGTTTTCTGCAATCCAACCATCGTGATCTTTGAGTAACTCTTTTCAAGGAAATAGTAATATCGTGAATTCTGCTACTGTTTTCAATAACCGACAAATTCACCGAATCAAACAGCCAAAACAAACATACTTCCAGTCACCATAGGGACGTTTAATGACGATAGTCGTGACGATTTAGTAATCTGCGCCCGCAGTTCATCAGACTCGTTTGCTGGGATGAACAAGTCTTCTTTCCGCCTCACAAATATGGATAGATATTAACTGCTTAGCGTGTTTCTAGTTTTAAACCGCGAAGTTTTCTTATCAAAAATTTCCTTCAAACGAGCTAAACAACAACAATAACAACAAATCAGAAATCAAGCCACGTGCTTTAAAAATCACAACGCGTCAGGTGCAACAGCTGCCACACTGCTTATCCCTAAACAACATGAAAGAACAAATCATTTTAGCTATTATACTTCCTTTGTGTTGGTTCCAATCGTTAGAACAGATCACCAAGAGATACAAAAAAAACAAGGAATGAGGCCTTGTACGTCACAGGTGAGAGGCCAGATTGCATGATGGTCAGCATTAATTATGGTCACGGCTGTGGTCGAAATTTAAGAAAATTTAAATTCTTAAAAGCGGTCAGCGTCAGAACTTTAAAACGAAACAATTAAATTTTAAATTTACATCAATTCCTCTGCTATCATCTTTGAAGTAATGAGAATGTGCTGAATCTTTATTCTTAACCAGGAAGAGCAATGTGGTATTGACAAAATGTTTTGAACCTCACACAATGCTGGCACATCAGCCACCAAATTTTAATCATCCAAAAATTCTTTATTTTTAAACCCAAAAATTTCACCACCTTTATTGTGGAAGTTTAGAGAATATGAGAGGAAAATAAAAATCTTATGCATGAGATATTTCATACACCTGTCAATAAATATACACAATAATATGACATTCATAACCATAGCATTAATAAGGCAACAAAATGTAATTTGTCCATAATGTTCCCTTTGTAAAATGTATTCTATATACAAGGCTAAAAGGTTAAAAAAAAAATTAAAATGTTTAAACCAAACGTTTTCAGCTGTTTGCCATCATCAGGGTGACAAAACATTTTAATTAATTTTTTTTAACCTTTTAGCCTTGTATATAAAATACAAAATGTAATTTGATATTCAAAAAATTTTAATTTCACACCTCTATTTTATCAATAATGTCTACATAAATATTCAATACTTCCACTCTTAAAGGAAAAGAATGCCTCCCAGTCACATAATTTTCATGTACAGAACTTAATTATGTCAATTACATCTAATTATGTAAAACTTGGTAACCTAACTACGCACAAAACCACAAAGTGGGTTCACAAAAAGTGGCTATTCTGATCATCACAAAAATTTATAATTTCCTGTAGCTCCAACTTATATAAAAAAAATTTCCGAGATGGAAAAAAAAAGAAGAGGAAAGAGACTTCTTCACATCACAGGAAAACAGCCAGGTTACTGAGCAAGCAGCCAAAAGTTCAACACATTTGAATAGTTTGGATGCTCAATGGAGTCTCACATGATGAGTGAGATCCCTAATCATCAGTGATCATGAGCAGCTTAGTTTATAATTCACAGTATACCTCTTTATGCTAAAGAAAAAATTAATAGCTTCTGGCACAATTACTTGCCCTTTAAAACTTTACACCCTAACATCAAAACACAGACTCTCCCCACCATTCCCTGTACATTTTTTAAGTGCTGACATGAAGGACTTGTTTAAACAATCTAGAGCTTCATTAGTTGATGATCATTTCCTTCATTCTTTGACCTTAATGTTTGATTCAGGGATTATATTAACAGAAAAAATGAGATGTTGGTCACTCTTAAGGGGCAAAGGGTTGACCATTTAACTTCCCAAGATTAACAAAATTTTCCCCTACAATGTCAATACTGACAATACAATATCAAGCAGACAAGTAACAAGAATAGAGAAAACTAACAATAGGGGGATTATTAGTTGATCAAATACCAAATTCTCCAAATTAATATCCTTAAGTTAAGGAGAATAACAATAGGATCCAGGAAGTAAGAGGGTTAAAAATCCCTGCCCTCCCCAGTCAAATACAGTTAAAAGTTTCAGAATACAAATCTGTGTTCACTTCCTTTACATTTGTTTAAAAGTATTGCTACTTCACAACTGAGCCTTAGAAGGCAAATAAGTTTCCTTTCCTTGGTCTGTTTCTACAGCTACAAGCTTGTGACTGCTATGATAACCACATTTCATAGCTGACAAATGTTACTCATTATTAAACTGTTATTGTTGACATCTTTTTTTTGGCATCTTTGACCACCAAAATCTGACAGTTTACATGAATTATATGCAATTAAGCTTATTAATTGTCAAGGTCTAAAATCCTTAAGGCCCCTTCCCCCTACTCACCCACTCCTTCACCTTCTTACACAAACACACAAATAAACCAACTGCACAAAAATGAACCAATTGCAAACTTCTGTGAGTGATTTGAATACTAAGGAAATGTGATTGAAAACAACACTATTTTCTTTCAAATACCTTAGTTTACTTTTCATGCATATTTCAGCATCTGCTCTCCTGGCAGGTTTCTTTTTGAAAATAATTTAGTCAGCAGACAGCAAATCTAGTTCACGCTATCTAGGGTGGCCTTTTGAAGTGGCTTGTTGGTCATCCAAGACATGTAGGCATTCCAAAATATTGCCACAATCTGAACAAATCCCACCTGATGCTGAATCGGAACAAACGTGAAGTTAATTGTCTGCGCCAGAGGCCATATTTTGTAATTGGTAACCATTGTCTCCAAATAGCGCTCCTGAAGCATTTCTTTTATTTCAGAGGGTTTTTTCCCAGCTAAAGTCTCTGTAACACCAAAGAAAAAGCAAATCATACATGGAGCAAAGAGAGCCTGATCAAGGAGCATCTTTTTGAAGCCAGCAGTCTTTGCTGCTCCAGGAACAAGTCTGTCCAATGTCAGGTACCATGTTCTAAACACAGGGCCGATAATTAAACCAACAACACCCATACGAGCTGTCCTGGTGAAATCGTGAGTGATCCCTTTCTGCTCAACACACTGCTGTGTAACAACATCACCAATGGCAACAAGAACACCTAAAAACAAAAACAAACAAAAAAAACACAAAAACACAAATTTAATGGTAAGATTCTTTAAGAAGCATAGTTTACAAGTGTCCAGTAAGGTTGACTAATTTCTTTAACCCTTTAATTCCCATGAGTGATTAACATGTAACTTCTCCCTAACCCTTAGCAGTATTCTTACATTATCCTGCAAACAGGCAATGAGAGTACAGGTAGAACTTGTTATCTTGATCTGACACCAAATTCTCATAACTAATTTACAAAGAAATGTCAAGCATCTGGAGGGGAGCATTAAAAATCAAACCTTGGGAGTTACACTAGTTAAGAATTTTATGGTTAGCATTCTTTAATTGTTGCTGACAATAATACAGGCCACCTGCATCAGCCCTTCAAAAGGGACAAAACGCTTCCTACATCAATAGCAATTGATTTTCTGCTAAATAATGTCCCCAAATTAAATTGACACAAAAGTCTGGTTGTGCTGCAGAGTGTACATGTGTCAGTAGCCTGCATCTTTAGAGTCTTTCATGACTAATTTTGAAATACATTTTTCTTCAGTTGCAACTGCATGAGCCTGTCTTTTCCTCAGTTGCCACATTAAGGTGCAAACCAAGGTGTCAAATAATTGAATAAGTTATAACATAGAGAGCAAAATCATCAAATGCTAATTGCTGAGACAGAGGGCATTTTTATCAGTTTTGGATGTTGCTCTGGGCAATGAACAAAATTTAGAAAAGGCTTAACTTTGTCACAATTTTTTAAAATAATTTTTAAATTCAGCTGATTCGTACGTTTTACAGATCATTGACGCTAACTAAACACTGAAATGGCTTCCTACGAATGTGCGTAACAGCGTGCGTTGTTGATCTCATTAAAAGGAAATTTTGACTTTTATATGATAAACAAGTAATTGTAATATTAAGGATTGATATCACCTGTGTTTTCAGAAGTTGCAGAAATCACTCTCGTCGCTGTGCAACTCGGAAAAATATTCATTTTCCTTAATTTTAAGTTTACTAAAATTTAATTTTATGTAATTATAATTTTATTCGACCCCATGCGATTACCAAACAAAATCGTTCTAACCATTCGCAGCGCGCCAAGCCCGCTTTAATAACAGAGAAAATTATTCGTGAAAATTGCTCCATTATTTCTCACCTGTGCCAATAGTTTGAGTTCTCCATGGGTGAGTTATGAGTAACTGTTGATATCTGGCCCAAGCTCTCACGAGAATCCTCATTGCAAATCCCCCTTTCAGATTGTACGAAAGATACGAAATGTTATGCTCTTATGCTCTTGCCGTCATGTTGGAAATCGAGTGGCCCTGGGTCAAGAACGGCAGTTTCAGAGCCTTCGCTCCTAACACAAAGTAGCCAGCGTCAATCACTTAGGGACATATTTTGACATAAATTGATGGAATCAATTATAGCCGCCAGTGCGCCGATTTCCTGCGCAAAATTTACAAGGGAAACAAGCAACCGCTGTCGCGCAAAGTAAGTGAACGAAAATTGAAATGTTCACTACGAATACATGTGATAATTAAGAAATTTTCGAGACCGTCTGCTGCGGAGCAATCCATTTCGAATGTCTTCAAGAGCCCTTAAAGCCATGACAGGAAGAGAAGAGTAGTTTCATGATAACTACTGCGTTCAAACTGATCACAAATTCTCCATTTTCAGAGGGAGTTCGCGGACATGAAATGCCGCACCAAAGAACATAACACAATATTTGTGGTAAGGCTTTATTTCACGGTAAAATATAAAACTTTCTTTTTTTGCAAGTCATACTTCTGTTTCTATGAACAAGCGTGTTAACAAACTGAATAGCATTTGTTAACGATGAATTCAGTTCAAACTGAATAATTATTGCAATAATTAACTGATAATAATATGAAACTTACTCTGACTACTAATGATGATGACAATTGTGATGATGATAACAATTCATGGTAAAATTTCCGCACAGCCCCATACTACATTATGCATTCAGTTCTTGGATAGAGAAAACAATGACAAAAACAATAGATTGCCATTGGGAAAACAGATACAGATTACAATAGCATGGGGCTGTGCGGAAATTTTACCCAATTCATATTTACTAGCAAACGATGCAGCACGTCTACTAATAGGTATTTTTGCCACGGCGAACTTGATCACGTGCATAAGTTATCACATTGTAGTGTGCAAATGTTCAATGCGCGTTCATCTGGGAAAATCCTTCAGTAATAATTCAAGTACATATATATCAAGAGGCGCTGTCTTTTACAATTTATCTCGAAAATCCCTAAATAAGAGTATATGAGTATTAGCTCTTTAAGGTTTTTTGGCCGTCATGATTACCCACGTAAGAAACTCAATCAAAAAGCGCTCTATAAGCATCTGTTAGATAAAGTATCAGAGCTAGAATATGAAGAAAGAAAGAATATGTTCTATCAGGACAGAATATGTTTCTAAGTTGGTAAAACTGAAATTTTGAATGAGGACTAGTTTCTCTATCGGTGGTTTCCTTGCTTCCTTCGGCCCCATCGTCACCAAGTTCAGACCTCTTGCGACCAAAAAACAAAGTATTAGATATCCAGGATAGATAAAAAATTATGGATTATCACAAGTTGTCCCCTGGCCCAGGAACACAGCGGTCAAACTTCGGACATGCCCAAGGGATCATTCTGGCCAGCCAATTTCCAGCCCAAAAATAAGAAACAACTACAAATTAACATAAAGCAGTTCAAGTACGAGTATCCTGTGGATTTGTTTTTTTGGCGTTACCAAAAAAGTTATACGCTTTTAAAACACCCTGGTTTGTATGTTTTCTTTTAACTTGTGTGATGCAACTTGGTTCCGACAGCCTGAAAGCAGACTACGTAGTCGTGAGACAACGGCAAAATGAGAGCGCGTGCGCGGATTTAAGGCGTTCAAAAAGCGTTTCGTGATTCACTCCCTAACTTCACACCTTTTGCCTCATTTCTATTTTTTTTTTTTTTTTTTTTTTTTTTGAGTAAGTAATGTGATGGAGGAGACTCGATATAAATTTCCTGGAAACGTCAATCTTATCTGTTTTGGTTTACGCTTATTTATGCAAAGTGAAAACAAACAATGGCAATTCCAAAAATGTCGTCAGTTTGCTGCGATAGTGTTACTGAAGAAATTTGGTCGTTCGCACTCCTTTGCGCGCGTAAAATTCCTCGCGCGTTACAACAATGCGCAATCATTTTGTCGCTGTGTCCCTAGTCATAGCGTTCGCACATGCGAAGAAGGTTAAATGCTGTATTCACATTGCGGAACTTACTTCTCAAGTTTTTGTCATTACATACTTAGGCGAGCTCGGTTTAATTTCCCGTCATTTCATAAATTTTACAGTGTATCATCATGCACAAAGTAAGCCATTCAGCCCGTATGAAATGCTTCAAAACTTATTTTGAAAGACGTTTTTGGGAGATGAAAGAGGAGAAATTATCAATCTAATGAACTAGTTTTTTCATTTTTATGATAATTTTTGAAATACTCAGTCCAACTGTCATCGCTCTTTAGAAAATGAATGGTCTAGAGTTGATCAAATGATATTCCAAGTGATACAGCATTGGAAAATTACAGAAGTATTTTGAACAAAAAATACTTTGAGGCATAGAACGGCGGTCTTTCTTTGAAGATAAGGGTATATGTACGTCACTGGTATTGTTATGAAACGCTTCGGAAGACATCTTGAACGGATCAGTATTAGCAAGAAAAAAAATGCACTTAACATTTGACTGCTGACTGCTCAACTTACGCAAACTGGAACATACTTATATCTGGTTTTTGTATGTTTTTATTCGTGGTTTTGTTTTTTTAAGTAAATGTAATATACTGAGTTAATTCTCCTTAGTATTAAGAAGAGACTCGTGGCAACAAACATCATAGCCATTGTCAACAAAATTTTATTTCGCTGAGTACTCTGGGTACTTGTACAATTTACGAGGCATTATGAGAACTCATTCAAAACATTACAATGATTAATTATTATGGTATATGTTAGCTGAATGTTTGTCAGAAGCAAATCGTTAAGAGTTAGCTCTCTGAAATTCTGTGAGGGTTAGCGTTCTTTGAGGAAAACATATCTTAAAGATTGATATTACACCAGGAAAAGAGCACGTACCGTTCCACTGATATTTGCACTCATTCTTGAGAATACTTAAATTTTTTTTTTTTTTGGACTTTTCAGCAATATCCGTCTGGGTAATTATTTGTTAACTGAATGCATATTAACAAGTACACGTTTTTGCTCGTTTTCCGGCTTTAATCATTAAGATTTTTCTTTTAGGTAATTCGAAGCAGTGATAATTTGTAGAGAAGGATATATTTGCCTTTCAGACCTCAGAAACTCATGTTGACAACTATTTCGTGCTCTTTGCAATCGTATACGCGCTAATTATACAGGAAATTGATTCTTGAGATTTATTCAAGCAAATAAACTGACCCGGTATTAAAATGTTCTGATTCCTAAGTCTGATAACTTGTAAAGGGCCGATGTGGGCTCTGTGTCGGGATAGACTGGGAAATGGTTGGGTCAAAGCACCGTCTGAATATTGAGGCGATGTGCTTCGAGATATGTTGCTCACACGCAGACTCTTATCTTGAAGTTGATTTTATTTGGCAAATAAGGTCGTATATACTGGCAATTATCCTGGAAGAGGATGTAAGTAAGTGATTTTTTCCGGTTCCTTTGCCAATGATTCAATTTGTTTTCAATGGCCTTATCAATTATTCTTCATTGCACATCGTATATGCTGCGGAATTCGATCTGACGATGAGCAGAAAAACTAATTTAAAAAACGAAATTGAGGTAGCTAAAACAACATGAAAGTCGAGTTTTGTAGGGAATGAAAGAAAATAGGGCTAAAAATTCAGTTGAAATATCATCAGGCTTCGATCAACAACGTTTCTGTATCGGAACTCGAGAAGTGTTATTATTACTTTCATGGTTTGTCTGAGACATGACAGCTACAAGTCAGGAAGCATGAGAAGCCCTCTCAATTACGAATGTGGTCCAATACTCAAAAACAATTAACAAATACCACTTGAATAAATTCACAGTAGTATAAAAATTGTATTATTCGCAGCGCTGTAGTCATCCGAGAGAAGCTACTTGCTGAGAAGCAATACTTCGTTAGAGTTTTGTAAAATCCTTTGCAAACAAACAGACAATAACGCCATGAAGACTTGCAGTTTTTTTGTTAGTTTTACCCTCGCTATTGCCATAGTGAATGGATTCAGCACCGAGGAACGTGTAAAACGTTTCTTTCGCCCAGAGCATAGAGCACTTCTGCCGGATTTAACCAGCTTTCAGATCGAAGACGAGAATAGCGTGGCGCGTGTTCCACAGAACGATGATTCCACTCAGTGTCTTGCCCACTGTGAGCCAGAGTGCCAAAAGTTAGACGTGCCGGATTTTTTAACGGTAAGAAAATTTTGCTTTCTTAAGTTGTATTTATTGGTTCTTACGATTATCCAAGTCTAATAGGCGTAAACTGCATGAGATTTCTAGTCTCGTGCACCGTGCATGATACAGGTTCCACGGCTTTCTAGAGCAACCGAAGCACCCCATAAAGAACGCGTCATTTGAAAAGGACACAAACTGATGTACTTTTTAGTTCCCATATACAATTAATAATCTTTATCGGTTACATTCTTGATTTTCTAAAATTTTCCTCTTGTTTTTAATGAACAGAAAAACACCAGCTTCCATAAATTTCAAGAGATGCCTACCAACTGTGTCCTGGCTTCTACTATCGTTTTCAACAATCCATTGTACCAATGTCAGTTTATGTTGCTGTACTTGTTCGATTGCTGCCGATATTGTAACGCAGTCCACAAGAAATGTTTCGATCAAAATGGCGCTTTAAACGGCGGTCCAGGGTACTGCTATCGTCAGTCCTTCAATTGTATGGGTAAATGCATAGAAAAGAACTCACCACCAGAAATCGCCCCATTCCCTTCACCTTAAATTCCTGGAGAACTCTTTCAATTTTTCCTATGCTGTGGCATTAATGTACCGGTATACCTATCCTATGAACGGTATATCTATCCTATTAAGGGAAGTTTTTTTTCCTGATCAGTTCTTTGTTAGCATTGCTAAATAGTTTAACCTCCAGTACTTCAAAATCAACATTAGCAAGTAATTTCCTCCATGTAACGAAGTTTTTGTAACCTATTGTCAAAATAAATGTTTGATACGAAATTTGTTGTTGTCCTTTAATATGACTGATCACATAAATAAATTACTGAAATAACTAAATATATAGAAATATAAATGGAAACCCCCTTGTTCCTTTATCCTCTTATCAAGTGCATCCCCTTGATACTTTTTGAAGAAGTTGTGCTCTATAAAGCACTATCTCTATGTTTATTTGAAAACATCAATTTCCCTTCCGACAACGATCTTGATTCTGAAAAATTTGTAATAATGTGCACGAAAAAATTACATGCACGCTTCTGATCTGCTGAAAACCAGCGCATTCTCACTGAACAAGAGTGCAAAGTTGTAACACAAGTGCAAATTACAAATAGCGCGCGCACGCTTTCAGAATTTCGTCTGTCTCTCTCTTGACTTTCTGTGATGTTGATTCATGTACATTATTAACAATTAATAACATGATTTCTCTAGAAATTTGGTGTAATAGGCACTTCTAACTTCTTCAAAGACTACAAATTTCACTCGCCCTTCGGGCTCGTGCAATTTTGTTGTCTTAGAAAAATTCACTTGTGCTTATTGATACCAAATGGCACTCGAAATTATGCTATTACCTATACTACCTTCTCGATCAGTCAAACTCATTAGAAAATTGCCATTTTTTCTCGTGAGGTCTTGAGTATACATGTATAAGGAATTCAGGCGGCTGGCTTGTGTACAAACCGATAAAATCTATGAATTTACTTGCTATTCAAGAATACCTTTATTTTTTTTTGCCGCCTTGGACCCGTAATAGGAGAAAAAAAAGAGAGAAATGCTCAAAGATTGTAATAAACAAAGTTGACTTGCAGTTTTTTTTTCATAACAAACGCCGTGCGGATGTACTTAATCTTTTTGCAAGTGATATTATGAAGCTCTGTTGGTTGCACGTGTACAGAAAACTGTTTTTTCCTCCTACTGATTGAGAGTGATATATTGACAATGGACGCACCAGATCCACGTCTGGCGATACTTCTTGTTTTCGCGTTTCCTGTGGTGTATATGGGGTTCACCGATAAAAATTTGAGATAAAGATTAATAACATTCCTGTCCATGTAAGCTCTTAAAATTTAAATGCCACACTTTGTTTATTTCAAGAAGTTTCCGATCTTATACTGTGCATGTCGGAACAGCTTTTATGTAACGTTTTGAAGTGGATCGGCAATTTAATGACAAATATAAGTTATTTTTCAAGAGATAACGGGAAAAAAGCCGAGAAAAAAGTCACGTATGCTGTAAACTGGAATAATACTCACAAACAAGATATTCATTGTCATTAATCTTAGCTACAAAATCTCTTTTAAAAAATCTCTTTTTTGACAACCGGCAAATCATAAAGATTTATTCTTTTTAAGCTTGTATTTATCGTTTCGCATGTAAACGCATTGAGAAAATAGGCTTGTATATGCGCATACATGATAACATTTCATTGTACAAACAAAGTTATGCTTGGCCGATCCTTTAGGAGTAGCCAATCAAAATGAAGCCACAGTTATTCAGGTCAATCTCGTATGGTTGATGCGATATAAAAGGCTTTTTACCTCCCCAAACTCATTCAGTGTACTCTTCGTTTTCTTGAACACGGATTTCCAATATAAAAACTTCTTTCTCACCTGTCAATATGAAATCGTATTTGTTTATTTACTTTTTCGCTGCTACGCTTTTGGCTGCCCAAGGCCATTACGCTTCGAGGGATTTTTACAACGACGAAGCTCACGAAGCCCTCGAAAGAATACCAGATGAACCTAAACTGCCGAGTTTTGAAGAAAAGCTTATTGATGCACAAATGGTTCAAGAGGACAGTCATAATATGAGTTGTGACTGTGCTAGCGAGTGTAACAAGCTTAACGTTAGCAGGTTGCCGCACAATGTTCGGGTATGTGGTTATAATATTGCAATGATACGTTTGTGCATTAAAAGAAAAATCTAAGTATCGCAATGCACCTAATCTTACTTATACGCGTGAGCAGCAAATACCAACCGGAAAATAAGAAGATTTTGCTTTACCCTCTGTTTTGACTCTCTTACCATAATTTGTATCTAGCTATCAGTTGTTTTGGCGTAGGCGTAGTGCGTTCAGTTCACCAGGGATGGTACTTCAAGCTGTTTTATTGTTATAACAGGGTAATTTAGTAATATCAACTGAATTGATAACGTAAATTGGTGTATATCATGCACCTTAAAACCCTCCTACATGTAACCGCGTACAGTAAGAAGTATCAATGGTGACTCTGATCATATGTCTTTTTTAAACATGCAGGACGAGGACAAATACCTTAGCTACGAAAACTACCCAGTGTTATGCCGTGATGCTGCAGCAACTTATCTGCCGCGCCCTCCGCGCCCAAACGAACCGGCCAAGAAGTACGTCTGCAAGCAAGTGTTTGACTGCTGCCGAAGTTGTAACCATTATTTTTATACTTGTATCAATAACCCCAATAACGAATATGGTCTGTGCATGCGCGGGGCTTATAAGTGTATGTGTGACTGCATTGATAACAAATCCTTCAACGAACTCCCTCATATGCCCTGACTGAGAATCTACACTTTGTAATAAGCACTGCTATCTAAGACAGTAACGTAACTAAAGTCACTTCGAGGTTCGAGTCGATCGATTTATATAAAAACTTTGCCGTTTTGATATATATATATATATATATATATATATATATATATATATATATATATATATATATATACCGAGTGTTGTAACTTTTTTATTGCTAACGATCAATAAAAAATCTTATGAACAACTTATATCAGTTTAGTTATCATTTTGAGTTTTTAATTGTGATGCTGAAATAATAATGTGGGTTAGGATTGCGTAAGGACAAATCCTCCTCTTGTTTTGCATTCCCCTGTTTTAGTCTTTCCCTATTTTATAGCTCTTCAATTCTTTGCCAGAGTATGATAACGAGAATCCTTTCTGTTTTGAAAGATCTCTTACTCGATTTATGTTTTTTCACTGATGATTCGATGATTGAAATAGACAACACTTCCGATCAAACGCATTCGCATTTCACTATATAGAGGATCCCCAACAGGTTTTTCGGGATCCGGGATTGAGCTTATTTAAAGGCCGGAATCCGGGAATTTAAAGTAAGAGGGGAGCGAGATGCGGGATTGCTATCATGAAGGGGACTCGGGAATCGGCGAGATTCGGGAAATAATCACTTAAACGAACCGAGAACCGGGATGTCCGTTGACGAGAGTTTATGAAGAAATTGATATTCTCAGTCCACGAAAAGCACTAGGCATACAGGCTCTCTAGCATTCAGGAGGCGGTCGGGCTGTTCAGCGACACTCTTTAAGTTATTGCGCGGCAATGAAAATTATATCAGCAGCGAAGTTGCCAATTTCCCAAAAATCCTCAATGGCCCAAAGGGTAACAAGGCATCTAAGACTGCTGCGTCAGTTGAAATACTTAACGGCCTCGAAAACCCCCATGGTGTCAGATTACCCAAGAAACTTTGGAAATGCAGCAAAAGATGGCTTAAAGGGGACAACCCGTTGGGCGGTGTACTATTTAACAAATCCAATTTCTTGGTATCCTGTACTTGAACGTGCCATGATCCTGTCGGCCATATCAGCAATTCAACCGTTACTACCTCTACAGGTGACAGTACAGAGCATATAGAAGATGAGGGACTGGGCGTAAACATTTGTTGCAGCAGTGGGTCACCGCTCTGTCAGACAGGAAACAACAGTGGCAATAGCTGCAACTCCCCCTTTGAAGAGAAATTTAGCCAGGCGAACCGGTAAGCCTCGAACGCTCTGACTTCGAGGAGCAGCAAGAAAACAGCAGGAAACAAGACGAAAAGGAAGATGGAATATTAGAGCACGATTCCCCGTCAGTGATGATAGTGACATTCCATCTTTGGAACGAGAGGCTGATTTTTACCCGGGAAGATGAAAATCAGCTTCGTAAGAAGTACTCGCTTCAACAGCGGTATAACGGCTGCCACGCCTTTGCCACCGGACATTGATTCGCTATAACTTTGATTCGTGTTAAACCGCAACAATGACGTTACTGTTTGTCCATTAGGGGCGTGATCTTTTAAGTTTTACCCAGAACCGCATTTAAGTTGGTTATCTTGCTTTGGGCTATCGATAAGACGTGTTTATCAGAGGAGCGCCTTTTTAGCCCCCCTTATCTTGAAGATCGTTTTGGTTAAACTCTTACAAGCGGGAATTTTATGTAAGTACCTTTGTTCCTCTTCTTTGTACTTCTCTAAATATCTAGTATTTTGGTAGTTTCACCTAGTTTTTACACAAGTTTTCTTATCGCTCGTTTTCGCAACCCTCTAACACGTGGTTTACGTTGTTCACGCTTCGTTAGAACGCTACACGTTTTTCCCACTTGGCTATTAGTTTTTGTTAGAGTTCGTTTTCAAGCGGTTCTTCCTTACTCAGCTCACCTTCTTCCTTATAATTTTCATATTTCAGTTTACGCTAAGTACTTGGTTACCTTGACTACGTTAAACAAAACGATCCCAGTGTGTCTTCATTTGCGAAACTCATAGTTGTCGTCGAAAATTTGCTTCGCTTGTGCTTCGCTACAAGCAGAATTGTGTTCAATTAAGTTTTCTTTATCTTCCTTGTTATGAAACTATGAGATTGCCGTCATCTTTCCTGTTTTATGCACTTGTTGACATTGCTATTCGTTTCTTTGATACCGACCTGTCTTTATTAATACGTTTGTCCGTGATCGAAGTTTAACGGAAGGAAGTCGTTACCGTGACTGGCTTGCGTTATTCGTGCAAAACTTTGAAAACTTCTAAAGTAAACGATATCATTATTTTGATGAAAAGAGATAAACTTACACCTTACGTTGACCATAGACTTCAAAGGATCAATGCTGGAGAGAAAATCATCACCTACCGAAAAGGCCCTCCCAAGTTTAGGAAATAGACTTAGACAAATTGTATGATCGGGATCGGGAAAACGAGAAAAAACACGGACAAATTTTGCATAGTACAAATTGATTAAATGTGATAGTCAAAATAAAAAAAAAGAATATGAAGTTTACATGAAAGTTCGCCTAAAGTAACTACCAAAGGTTGGTAAACTTTATCAATAGAGAAATCATTTTTCTTTCCTCTTGATTGAGCGCGCATTCTTGTGAAGGAACAGGGCGCAGACATGAAGTTCTCTGTTAAGATATAAAAAGTGTGGAGCTTTGTTCCTTTTCTCGGATTAGTTTAGATAGTTGTTGTTGTTACTGTTGTTGTTTCTCTAAACAGTGAATAAATGTTATGTGCTTGTTTAGATTCAATCTGAATAAAATGCAACTGACCATGCAGTTTTCCTAATCGTTGGAACGTGAACCAGCTTCCCATATCTACCTGTCTTTGACTGGTAGATATGAGAAACAACTGCTTAAGTAGTGTTCATTATTGAGGGGATCGCTTCAATACTCATTTCTTTATCCGCAGTTCACATATATGATTTTCACATCTTTACAATGATTTAGTCTTCTGAAGCTCAGCGGTAAAGGGTTCCGAAGTACTGATCGGAAGGTCGTAGGTTAAGTCCTACAAGAAGCACTCGAACTTTCTTCTCTCTTCGGTTATGCTTATGTTATTCACAGAACAGCATCTTCGTTCACCTAAATCCCAACGCTCAAAAATTTGCCATCTTCATTTAAATTATCACTATTGCGCATGAACATCACATATCGACATTCCTATTCTCGCAGTATCAGGGAACTTTGTCGCCATGGCAACGGCTAAGCTGGCCACGAGCTTAATAGCATTTCAGGCTTTCATGCATATGAGCATTACATATAGACCTTCCTATCCTCACACTGATGCAGGAACTCGAAGCTCAGTGGTAGAGCGTCCAAATCGGAAGGTCGTAGATTCGAGTCCTATTAGGGGCCATCGGGGCTTCTTTTTTCTCCATCGAAGCCTGTGTCATTCTCCGAATGACATTTTGCTTCACTTAAATCACGCAGCTGAAATTTACCATTTTCATTTACATCATTACTGTTGCACATGAGCATCGCATATAGACATTCTTATACATCCTCGCAGTTTCCAGATACTTTGTCACCATGGAAAGAGCTCAGTTTGCCACGATTCAACATTAAACACAGCGGTTAAGGGTTCGAAGTACTAATCGGAAGGTTGCAGGTTTAAGTGCTATTAAGAGCACTCGGAGTTTCTTTTTTCTCCGAGTCACAGCCAGTTTCATTCACTGAACAACGTTACACCTCACTGAAATCAAGAGGCTTTAAATTTATCGCCGGTCTATATTTAGATCATAACTGTTGCGCAAAGGAATCAAATGTCGAGATTCCTACTCTCGTGGTATCCATGAACTTTTCCAAGATGAAACTAATTAAATGGCCTTACTGGCAACGAGTTATCTATAGCTCAGTGGTAGAGCGTCCGAAATACAAATCGGAATGTCACATTTTCGTGTTCTATTAGGAGCACTCCGAGTTTCTTCTTTCTGCGATGAAGCTTGTTTCACCTACTAAATACCATCTCACTTCATTTAAATAACCAGACGTAAACATTTTCCATCTTCATTTACATCATCACTGTCACACATATGCATCATATATCGACATTTCCATCCTTGCAGTGTCCAGGAAGTTTGTCAGAAAGGACCTCGATAAACAATAATGCTTGTCATCAGTCTGGTGTAGCTCAGGGTTCATATCATGAAAGGAGTACCTAGAGTTTTTTTTGTGTCTGTCTGTTTCATTCACAGAATAACATCTTCTTTCACTTCAATCACCTGCCTTAATATTTATCATGTTCATTTACACATCACTCATGCGCATTATTATCACATATTGACATTCCAGTCCTTCCCGAATACAGGAACTTCATCCCCAAGGGAGCGACCTAGCTTAAGTCTCGTAAGGCTCAGTGACAGAGCATCCAAAACACTAATCGGAGGGTCGTAGGTTCGAGTCCTATTAGCAGCTCTCGAAGTTTCTTTTTTCTTCGAGTAGGCCTGCGTCATTAACTAAATAACATCTTCCTTCAATTAAAAATTTACCATCTTCATGTACATCGGTTTACTGGCATAAAAAACGATTGGTTTCTATCAAAACACACAAATGATTGAAGTTTGAAACAGTGGTTGTGGCACAACAATCGTTGTCGTTATGCTAATGTTATGGGGAAATCCGGCTAAAGAGTTTTTCGGAAAGGTCTCGTAATTTCCTCGATCAATTTTTCCAAAACTTTGGGATTTTCTTTTTTGCGATATAGCTTCGCTGTTGAATGAATTTTAATACAATAAATCGAGTCGTTTTAAAATTATGATACCTGTAATTTTACAGTTGATGTAAAAGCCGCGACATGGTACAGTTTACGGAATGAGCTCTAAATTACGTACAAACTAGATGTTATGGTCTGCCTGTGCATTTACTGTATATATTAATTGATTTAATGCGCACGCATAGGTTAAAAATAAAAAGCATGTTGAGTTACCGCTATGTTGTCTGGATGTGTTTCTGGATTTCTTGTTAGTACATGACATTAAAATTTCATAAAACCACGCCGTCGATCTATTTACAAGATTGCGAGCCACAGTAATAAATAAATAGGTACTGTCACTATTTAACTACGTGATAAGGAAAGATTCATGAATTAGCTGCACCTTTGCCATAAATGAAAATATTGAAGGCGAAGATGCCCCTGTGATGATTTGACGTCTCGTAGTCGACAAATCAAATCATTGAAATTGAGAATACTCCCTCAATCAGCTTACTTCTCCATAGTAGAGAAGCTTCCCTAACAACCCGAAACAGAAGTAATTGTGGCATGAAAAACATCCAATGAGAGACTGTGATACGACTCAGAATAAATCGGTGAGGCAGGTTAGAAATTGATCGAAGGGGGATTTTGAATTGCAGAATATAGCATCTTCGAAGAAAATTTCGAGTAAAAGCCCCTAAATGAGTCCATTCCTGTTCCAGAAAGATGAAACTTTGATCGATTCAAACCTTAAAAGAGATCACTTAAATTGCAGTTCCACAGAGACCAGTAAAACAGTATAACAACAATCACTACACAACTGACAACTGATCTCAATTGTCAATACAACGTTTTCGTTCCAAAACAAAATATCTATGATTCTCGACATCTTCGTCTAGTCTTTATCGAAACAGACAGAGAATACTATTGCTTGGAACTTTCCAACTCCTCATGTGAAGTCCATGCCAGATATGTATTCCAAAACAGTGATAGTGATACCCTCCCTCCCCATCCCCTCCCCCCAACTAACCCCTACAAAAATTTCTTGGACAGACAACACTACTGCTTGGAATGTTCCAACTCCTTGTGCGAAGTCCATGCTAGATATGTATTCCAAAACAGTGATACAACATTCACAACCAGCACTCGCAGATGGGCTGGAAAAAAATAAAAATTACAGAACTGAACAGCTGGCCAGATTTGGTAGTTCACAACCATATTGGGATAAAATTCCTCGTAGATTTTGTCACTAATCTCTTTGATAGTGCGACGTTCAACGACTCCGACAGCACCGTAAAATAAAACAAGAAACACTGGCGCCAGGATGCTTTGATCCACTGTCATTTTCCGGATGGCATTTCCAGGGCTTTTGCGAGCAAATCTTTTATCCAGTTGTGCGTACCATACGTGGAATATGGGGCCAATCACAACAGTTCCGACAGCCGCCATTCGGGCTGTACGAACCAAATCATGCTCCCGCAATGGGACTTTCTCAACGTATTGTTGTGCAATGAAGTCTCCAGCTCCGAGAAGTGCTCCTGAAAATAAAACAAGCTAAATAAGAACACCATGTTATTTTTGTCAGCAGCCTCTTTTGTGTCACCCTTTATTTTCTCTCCTTTCACCTGATTCACCTTCTGGATATTTTTTCGAGACTAAATCCACCACTTCTTCTGCATTGGGAATCATGGGCAATTGTGAGCGGGCAAGCATGTATGTGTAATGTATGTGTGGAAGTAATGTAGAATAACGTAATGTGAAATGTTAACATCAGATTTTTTAAAATATACAGAAATTATCAGAAAACTATTCAGCGTTATAATTTTCTGAGTTCTTGTAATGAACGAAGCTGCAAAAAATGGTCTCCGGCCTCACAGAGCCACAACTAAAGACAGTGAGATCCACCTACTCCCTTCCCTGGACGGGCAGTTGTGTAAAATCAAGTAAGCCACGTCAGTGAAGTCTGACGGGTCAAATACTTCAGGCAGAAAAAGTTAGACCTGTGAGTAAAATGAATCCTGGCAAATGAAATACGCAAGCCAAGGAAAGTGGGAAAACGAGGGAAGCACGGAACAAGAAACGTGTAGGGCACACTAGGCTATAATTTATGTCCTCATATATAACGTACCCACTGAGGACCCTGGGACAAAAACAAATGAAGGTGACAGATTTCTGTGCTCGAGACCAGGCTGACGCCACGAAGTAAAGAACCACATACTCATTTTCGGCGATTTTAATGTTCACTTAAGAGTCAGATGTAAAGTTTACCGTCAATGCTGCTTTAGAGAAAGTCTTTGAAACAAAAGAAAGTTGCAAAAACGAACACTAATTTTAGTTTCCTGATAATTCTTACTCCTTCACCGTTTTCTACTTCGCTACCGTAATTAAGCAGCGTTCACTGATTTTATGTAAGACAGTTCCGAGACTTAGAAAGATACACTTGATTTTTCGGTGGCCAATCCATTCTGCTTTACGAAAAGGCCATGTAACATTTCTAAACACGATTGATCAGGATTGAAGTGATTCTTAGAGCTCGTAATGTCATAAAAACCAGAAGTTCTCCAGCTGAGTGGTCGACGGCATTTGAAATATCTTGCAAGGATTCGGAACTGATCCTTGAACAAGTTTCCGCTTGTCTTTAAGAGATTATTTTGTATTGAAAATAATGTGTTTCGTATGAACTTCGCAGAGAGTACTATGAGAGCAAATTTTGACCGAATTAGATCACGAGGAGCCGCGGTTTCAATCTGAACGAGTTTGATTTAGCGATGACTTCCTATACCACAACGAATTTCAACGCAAACTAGACATTCCTGCAGAATAAAAATCTGACTTACCTGGAAAGATTTTGAGAAACCTAAAGTGGAGCGGCAGTAAATGTATGAGAAATTAGAAAAATAAGTGCCTGTGGTTTGAAAAACACATACGACCCTTCGAATTATTGTGCTGTCAAGACAAATATTTAATTACCTTACGTTCGATAGACCGTAATCCCAGTTAGAGTGCTGAACACTGGTTGGGAACGTAGACCCAAGAAGTAATTTGCGGTTTCTATGACCAAGCCGCTGAAAAATTATAAATCTTGCCCACAAATTTTTGAATTTACCTCAAAAATTACTTGCTAGGAACGATTAATGATTCAAGGGTCAAAGTCTACCTGTCGAGATGAGCTGAGTTTTCCACGGATGAATCTCTAAACATCGCATGTACCATCTCCAAGCACGAAGAGGTAATCTCATGGCACCATTGAATCCTTGTTCTTACACTAACGTTTCACAGCCCAGCCATGATGCTTTCCTAACTATTTATCAAGTTGCTTGTATTGTGAAATATGAATGACGTTATTACCGGCAGCGGTGAACCTTGAATATATTGTGGCCTGAGTCAAATTTGCATTTCGCCGTACAATATTCAATATAAACCAGCATCACCGCTACCATAGAAACATAAAAATTTTAAACGAAACTTTGAACTCGGACCAAATGATTTCCAGAATGTTGGGTTCGGAAATTCATATCAGAGATTTCAACGGAATTATCGCTACGATAAATAACTTTCGAACAGGAAATAAAGTTGCGAATGACTTTTATCCCACAGCGAAAGTTGCACAAATGACTATTCCCAGGTGAAGACTGGCTGCCCCCATGTAGGGGAGGGGAGGCCGCACCTCGTCGCTAATGTCCGAAAGCAAAAAGTCTCCCGAAATTGAAATTGATAACCCTCACAAGGTTGAGCTCGTGCACATCATGTGTGCAGTAATTATAGAAAGTTCAGCTACGAACAGTTAACGGTTTCGTTGGTAAGGAGACAATAAAACGAGGAAGGAATGAGGTCGGTTTTTACATCCATTCCCAGGAGTTTTATTTATCTTTTCCCTATCCCACTGTCGATGATGTCATAAGAGGCGGTGATCAGTGAAGGGAGCCTGTTACAGGCTAAACGGACGAAAGTAAGAGGTCTTAGTAGTACATGCATAGCCAATTCTTTATTTAAAGAGAGTAGGCTAAATAGCCAAAAGGCTAACTGTGGTCGTCAGGTCTTACAAGGCGGCGGTAGACGCTGGTAACTGGTTCTTTGTTTTAAACCCCTGCAGCATTCAAGCTGTCGGGTTTATTATTATTATTATTATTATTATTATTATTATTATTATTATTATTATTATTATCATAATTATTATTATTACACAGCCTTTCGATGATGATGGTTAGCCTGTGGCGCTCCAGGAGTGCGCGCGCGCGAAACTTCCGCTTTTTCTGAGAAATATAATTAAATGACGCCATAGGAAAACAAAATGGGTTTGGTTAAAATCGAAATTCTTTTCAAGGAATGCCTTGAACCAGGAGCCCATTAAATAACTCCTGCTTAAAAGCAAAGCAAAATGCTACGATCTAGAGTTCCAATACTGATAAGCCTCGATCATATTCGGCCTAAGGATCCCCGATTGTCGCTTGGTGTGGCGAGTATTATCAGCCATTTGAGCCATAACAAAATCGAGTACAATGCTCACTCGTACAATATCGCTCAAGAAGTGCAGGTTTACCCGTTAGCAAGGAATATCCTTGACACGATTTGGAGCCAGTACAGTGATTCGAAATATGATCTCATGTTTGGAGGCTTTGTTTGGAATGAGCCTTTCCTCAAGACGATTCTTCGCGAACTGAAATATTATGACTACCCAGGTCGGATTGTTATTTCAGGTCCTCAGGTGTCTTACGTCGAGAAAGGAGAGCTAGAAAAATACTATCCGGAGGGAGATGTATTCATACGAGGGTATGCAGAACAGGCTGTGTTAGAACTTGCGGAAGGGAAGGATAATATCTTAGGAGTCCACTTATCAAACACTCCAGACAAGGGCTTTCATACGTCTACCAAATTATCCGACCTTTCGTCGCCTTTCCTCGACGGAACATTAGAACCTCAGCACTTCATGCGTTGGGAAACGACCCGTGGTTGTCCTTACAGCTGCTCATTTTGCCAGCACAGAGATCCATCACCTTCTTCGCCAGCAAATAAGAGCTGGACTAAAATCCAGCACTCGCAAAGGGATCGGATTCAATCGGAAATCGAATGGTTCGTCGACAATAATGTCCATGATCTTGCTGTGCTAGATCCCACTTTTAACACGCTGAACGGAAACATGGTACTTGACTTTCTAGAACGTGCCAGATTTTCCGGAAAAATCAGCCTTCAGTGCAGGCCTGAAAGAATCACGGAGGCGTTTTTAGATCAGGTAGAGTCCCTGAGCAAAACTACAGGAGCTGAAATAGTTTTGGAGTTTGGTGTGCAAACACTCGACCCCGAAGAGCTGCTGCATATAGAGCGAGTGCGCAATGCTAACACATATAAGTTAGCCGAGAAAGTTTTACACAAACTGGCACTTGTTAATCAACGTAGAATTAAGCATGAAGTCAGCCTCATCTTTGGCTTGCCCCTGCAAACCGTAGAGAGTTTCCAGCAGACTATACTGAAGCTTCAAGAGAAGACCGATGGTTCGCTGGTCGCTTTTCCTCTGATGTTGTTACGAGGAACACCCTTATATTACCAAAAGAAAAAATTTGGGCTGATCGAAGGTACGGATATCGCACATCCTTTGATAGATCGGATCCAAAAATTCATTCCTCATGTTGTAACCTCTCCTTCTATGAGTTACATAGACTGGAATACGATGGCGAATATTGCTGTTTCTCTACAAGACCAAACAGAGCCAAAAGAGGAGAGTGGAATACATGCATGACATGATACGCAGGTTCTGAAACTTCATCTCAGTCAATTTTTAAAACTCCTAAACTCGCATTACACTGCTAAAAAAGACTGCGCGAGGGAATTGTTTTCATTATATCATTTCACCGTGGGTAAATAATATATAATATCTAATTATATAGTTTAATATAAGAATGCTTCGGAGAAAAATTGTTAGCTGAGTTTTTAAATATAATGCTTTCTTGAGAAAGTCACCTTATTGAGTTAAGGAAGTAATAATCTAATGCTTCTTTGACCACAAAAATCAATTGATCAATTTTAATTTTTTCTTTTTATATTCCAATGTAAATAGTCTACAAGTGCTACAGGCTGTAAGCCACCTAGCATCAGTAAAAAAAATTCAATTTAATATAGATCATAAAAGCCATTTAACAATTGAATGAAGAAACCAGCAGAACTGCTCAACTGATACTTAGAAGAGAATCATATGATGAAATATAGCCAAATTAAGAATATATATATAAGTATAGTATCTGGGCAACTGCCCACCTACCCCTCCCCTGACTCAACAACAGTCAATTGATAACAACTTAGGGTTAATTTTGGGTTAGGGGAGGGGTAGGAGGGCAGTTGCCCAGATACTCATATTGATCCTATATATTTAAGGTAAATGAACTTACTGTAAAAAAATTTGTTAATTTTTTTACGTTCTGTGACGAATTCAAGACATCGAAAATATTGTATGTATCCATGAGCACCATGTAAATTAATAGAACAGAGAGAGGCTTAATTTTGACCTCAGAGTGGAATTAAAGAGGAAATTGTTTTTCGTCTTGCCACGAATATGAGACAAAGATCAACTTACACTCTGCCTTTGCTTATCCTAGCACTATGCAGGGCATGAGTCCCTTGAAAACCACGACAGCGACAGCAGCGAGGTCAGGGTAAAACAAAAAAAGATCTTATGGGAAGCTGAACAATAGCCCAGCACGTGCGTTTAAAACTTTGAATATTCCTTACTGAGCTGTCCTCTGCAAAAGCAACCACGTGAAATCAGACCAAGATTTGCTTGGTTCGTGAACGGAAACGACAGCAAATTATTCCAGTTTCCATCTGGAACTCAACGCTGTCCACCTAAGTTTTGCTTAAGTTGATGTGTGGCAAAGGGACGCTTGACATAAAATACAATATTCTTTTTTTGCTCGACGTCTTTCCAGTCGCTGAAACTAACCACTGACATCGGAAGGTCTATTGAGGATTCATGGGGACCCAAAATTTTTCCTTCGTAACAAGACAGACTAAACCAACTTTCCGAGCTCAAAATATATTTCATCTTTATTAGGTTAGCTTATTCACCTTTTGATCTACAATGTTGTAGTTCAGTTTCTTACAGCCTACCTCCATAGGTGCAACTCCTTTCCTACCCCTCCCTCACTTGGCAAGGAGTGTTGAGCCAAGTTTTCCTAAAGAACAAGAGTTGTGCAAAAGTCACGCAGTCATCCAACTCGTCACGCAGAAGAAACTGAAAAGACGGTGAAGTGAAAGACCGGAAAGTTGAACAGATATGGCACTTAAACAACCAAAGTCGAAAGTAAGTTGGTGAGAGTGAAGTTATTTTAGGTTTGACTTCAAAATAACTAGCCACGTTGGCCGATTTCTGCCTAGTAACCAAATATATCTTGTAGTGTTGTTGTAACGTTTCACAGCATGTCTGCCGTAGCCTGTCGTAGCTGTAACGTGAACCTATCGTCTTAAATGTTTATTCAAACCTTTAACCGTATGCTTTTTTAAAGCATTACAGGGGTCTCATATCATTAAAGGGGTCTCATATCTTTGATTTCACGGTGTAAGATTACCTTAAATATAAGTTTGCTCTGTGCAAATGTGAAGTGATTTACACGCGTAGCCGGTCTAGGGATACGTATAAACCCGCTAACACGTGTTGTGACGGGTATCTCTGTTTCCTAAATCTTTGCCTCTTTTCAATCCGATCTCTTCGTTTTGAATCAGCTTCAGAGCGTATATCAGTGAAAGTTAAAATTTGCTTTGAGTCAATCGTTATATTTACTCTCGTTCTCCAAACTCCACGTTGCTAAATCCAAGATCTTGAGTCATTGAAATTTAATCCAATGCGATCGATGATACTATGTTAATATTTGTATTACAAGTTAAGGTTAAATTCAGAAACATCTCTAAGACTCAGCACTCTCCTGATGCTCAAGCATAGCTTTTAAGTAAGTCGTTATTACAATTAAATTTTCTGGAAGTTTGGCAAAATAAATCAGAGTCAAGCCATATTTGTGTCCATATTTGGGCCTCGTCCAGAGAAAGTTGGGAGGGACTGGAGGTGATGTTTCGTGTATCATGTTACTCTATACAAAATTATATAATAAGCTCAGTTATGCAAGCACTCTGATTGGTTCTCACTTATGATCTATTGAAGGACAGACATATACATGATGTCATCATTAAATCTTTTTTCTATATATTTGAATTCTTTATTATATAAAACAAATAGATTCCAAGTTGCCATGCATCTGTTCAGTAATAGGTCACAAATAACATCAAAATGTGGTAGCTTACCACATTTTGATGTCATCTGTGATCTATTACTGAACAGACACACGGCAACTTGGAATCTATTTGTTAAATAATGCATTTTCCTTACACTAAATCTAGCTACTTTAATATGTATGGGAGGAGAGCTGCATTCTGAATGGCAAGTTTAGTTTGTTTAATGACCTAATATGTAAAGATCAGCAAGTGTTTGCATTGTTAGAAACTTTGGGAGTCCCATTTAAATTTAATGGCAAACTTGTCACATGCTTTTACTTCTGGAGTACATTCAACTCCCAATGACTTGATCAAATTTCTATACCCCAAGCCTTGCAGTAACTTGAATCAAAATGATTTCCCATGGATTTTTACGCAATCCTTTTGAATTTTACTATATGTCTAATAATTAGGCTAGCCAGTCAGGACGAAACAGCCAGCCCAATGAGTGCTGCAATCATATAATAAAGGACATCTGTTTATTCTTTTTTTTTTCTTTTTTTTTTTTTTTTTTTTTTTTTTTTTTTCAGGTAGAGCTGCATGTTCATCTTGATGGAGCCATTAGGATACAGACCATAATCGATTTGGCAAAGTAATGCACTTATGGTCACCCTTGCAGAGGTCCTTGCTTGGGCACAGTTTGCCTGCTAGGGGACTGGCTATTTACAGAATAATATAATTGCTCTGATGATTATAGAAATGCGTGTGCTTTGATTGGTAAAAGATTGCATAATATCTTGCTATAATCACTTAGCACAAGGTGGTTGTAACTGAAGCACTCAATTTCAAAATGGTTGCCTAGTATTTTGTCAATATTACTAAGGAAGTGATAAACACAATATCAGAAAATACAATTCTGAAGGCGCAAAACATGCTGCTAAGTTTGGCGTAACCCTTTGAAAAAAAAAGATATGAAGTTTTTGCTGAAGGGGGGAGGGGTGGCCTGATGTCATAGGGTATTTGAAGGTTTGCTTTTCACAAGACATGGCTAGATTTATTTGTGGCAATTCACAGTTAGGAGTGAAAAGATTAATGGGAAAGTATTAGATCCACAAGTGAATATTTTACTTATTTGGTTGTAATTACAGGAAGAAGCAATATCAGCTACCTTCTTTTGATGAGAGTTGTTTAAAGGACTATGTGTCCATTAGTCTAAATAAACCATCAACTTTGGCAGGTTTTTTGGAATGTTTCAAAATTTTTTACCCTCTTATTCGGTGAGTACCACAAACTCAACCCACCATTACCAGAACTTAACTTTAAACTTTGATCATTTTTACACACCCCCACCAATTGTTAAACCAGCCACTGGATGTATGGCTGAAGGTCCCATTCATAAGGGAAGTTTGGAGGCATGCTTTGCCCTTCCCCCACCCCTAGGAAATGTTGAGAACTTTAAGTGTCTCAGGTGCATCTTCAGTAATCTTACCCAAAAAACTCATGAATTACACAACTCAGAATGTAGTCGCTACAAAGTACAATTTCCAAACTGCTCATGCCAATTTCTCAAGTTCATATTCCATGTGTAGCCACAAACAAGTGCTCTCTGGTGGAACCAATTCTTGTTGGCAAGACTCGCCTGTCCTCTCCATGATATGGGTTTTGCATGTCATGCTTTAAATGCTTATACTAGACTACTATGAAATCAATGACTGCATTCTATTTATAATGATAATAAGACCAAGTGTAGTCCAGTTGGGTCTGTAATCATATGAGTGATTAACAAAATCAGATAACTGCGAAGCGGGAATCTGATTTGTTAATCACTCATATGATCACAGATGGAATTGGATGACAAGAAGTCCTGTTACCAATTAATCATAACCATTTCAATTTCTGAAAAAACAAATACACCTAGAACAAATATCTCCAGTGGAGACTATGTCTTCAGGTAAGAATTCCTCCATTTTGGAAATTCCCCAGTTTTTCTTTGGATTAGTAGTTGTTGCTATGGTTATTTTGATCATTTTTGTGATTGGTGGATTAGCTGAGTGGACTTGAGTATGATTGGCTGCTTCAACTTCCGATTACAGGGGTGCAATTAAAGCCAACTGTTCAATTACACTGTCCCATCACAACTGTACAGAATGATTGGTAAAAAATGAAGCTGTGAATGCACCGATAATATTTGAGGAGTTTGTAATGGTTATGATTAAAGTGTGGACAGCACTGATTAGGTAATCACATCAGTTAACCCTTTCACTCCCAAGATCTCATTAATAATTCTCCTCACTGTCTGCCATAGAATTCTTATGAGGTTGGTCTGGAGAGTCTGGTATTGGATCTACTAATAACCCCTGATTGATATTTTTCTCAATTCTCATCACTCTCCGGCTTGATATTGTGTTGATTTTGTACAGAGAAATTCTGTCTTGGTCACTCGTGGAAGTTGAAGGGTTAACTGACTGAGTTCAGCTTTGATTATGATTTTAAAGAGTTTTGAAGTGGTTGAAAGCGGCACAATGATGTACTTACTCTTGATAATGAAAGTTAATGATTGTTTTCCTGACTTTTCTTTTCAAAATTAGAAATGATACTGAAGCAATGGAAAGAATAGCATATGAATTTTGTGAAGACCAGGCAGCATGTGGTGTCCTGTACTTTGAAGTTCGTTACAGTCCTCATGCCCTTTGTACAGAAAACTCAGCCTTTCCAGACCAGGAAAGAGTGTCCCCAAAAGCTATAGTGGAAGCAGTGAATAGAGGATTAAAAAAAGGAGCTGAAGATTTTGATGTGATCGCACGTTCTATTCTCTGTTGTATGCGTCACCTCCCTGGTAATGTATAGATGACATTTAAAAGATTTTATTCAGCTGGTTAATTAACACAGAAATTTATCATTGATAGTGAGTTGTGGCCTTCAACTTCAATGAGAGGAAGCTAAAAAGCCCTTGATCTGCAGGAATCACCTTGCAGTTTGCTAGAACTTTTCTTCTAAGCTTTTTCCCACTTCACCCTCCATGTGGCAATTCTCGTTTGTGATAACCCAATGTAAGGTTTGTGGGAATACCTTCCAATTTTTCTCTGGGTTTGCTGCCAGCTTTCCCCACCTCCTGAACACATTGATTGTTAATAAGGGTTGAAATGAATTAAATTTTATTTAACAATGTGTTACTCAAATTTTAATGAACTGTTATCTTATTGCTAAGTGAGAACAGATTTAGACAAATTTACAAACACATTGAAGTATCATAAAAACTAAGATTACTTTTTGAGAAGATCAAATGAAAACACTGGTAGAAATCAACTTCTTGTATCATTATGAAATCAAGAACTTGGCATTTTTAAATAAACAAGTTTACCAAGTTGTATGAAATCTAAACATCAACAGACATACAGTCATTGCCTTAGAAAAGTGGATGTGTTCTTTAATGCTAATTAATTATGCATGTGTGTAATTAAATTTGTGTTTGTTTTAAGATTGTTCAATGGAGGTTGTGTCCCTCTGCCAGGAATTTGCAAATGAGGGAGTGGTAGGAATTGATATTGCTGGTGATGAGCCGGTGTGGGAAGGACAAGCTATGGAAGGACATGTGATTGCATATAAGGTCTCGTTGTGCTTTTCATCTGTCTGTGGCTATGGTTATCATGATATATCCAGAAAATATATATAGATGCGTTATTGGCCATGAGGTAAAGGTGGCTGGATAGTAGCCAAGTTCTTTTTTTCTGTTTTTATGGACCGAGATGAAATGGAGGTTACTAAAAATGCAAAAGAAGAACAAGGCTGATGTCCAGCCAATTCTTGACCCAACAAGCTTGGTAAATGAAGGATTTATTATATGGCAAAAGAGATCTGTCATTTAGTAAGAATCAAGACATGTTTATTTCAAGAGACATGAAAGAAAGCCAACTGTGTTTTTAGCACAGTAAACCCACAGGAGTCGTTTTTTTGTTTGTTGACTGTCTCCTGCTGCTTTTTGCAACTCTATGGCTGATATTGTCCAAAAATTATAAACTTTGTATGTCTGCTCCAAGTAAAATTTTTTATTGTATGTGATCAAAGGGGACAATCCCAAGCAGGCAAAATGGGCCAATCTTGCTTACTTGAGTAGCCAATCAGAACACAGGATTTGATTGATATTGCCCAAGAGCACTGCCAGCAATATAATAACTTAGATTTTAAGATATGGGGTTAAAAAAGCAAAATATTTGTGAAATAACATAATGTATAATAACTTCTGTGTAGTGTGGACTATAATAATTTAGAGGGACATAATTCTATGTAGCACTTGTGGCAACCAAAAATCTAATTCAGAAGATTTCAGGCAGTGTCACCCCAAGACACGTTTAATGAGGTATTTAGGACTATTTTACAGATTGAGATTGAAATGTAATAGACCAAAGTTTACCTTTACACAAATCTTTAATCTTGCAAGCAATCCACAAACCACAATTCATGACCAATTTCACAATCAGTCAATCAATCAATTGAACAATTATAAACTGAAACAATAAGATCTATCAATCTAAAGAAATGCTGCAAAAAACATAATAAAAAATTGCATGTAAAAAGCTAGGCCTTAACGCCAATAAGGAGATTAAAATGATGATAAAACAATACAAATAAACCAATACATTAACTATATTAAAGAACAAAAATTGTAAGAATTTGGTGGCTGGTTTAAACAGCCTATCATTCTTATCTAAATAGTGGGCATTCAGTTGAATCTGACACAATTTTTGCCTTTAAATCTTGTTTCGATTCAAAATACATCATATTATAACAAAATATCTGTTTGTATACTTTCACCCAAGGCTGCAAAACTAAATTAGAAAAAACAAAGTTACAAAGTTACTCACATATTGGTCCTGCTTGTGCCAAAGGTTTAAAACGAAAAGTCGAAAGTTCATGAAGACTAATCAAAAACTTGCGAAGAGCTGATTATAGGGACACTAAACTTGCTTTTATATGCACGTGGTGACACTGAAAGGTCCAATTACAAAAACAAATAGAAACATAAACAGTCAAACAGATAACTTGTAACTATGTTCTTATCTAGGATAACAGAAATAATTAAACTAATCAATAATCAATTAAATAAAAATGAGCTTTCTGGCTAGTGTCCTTAACATTCCATATTCACAATCCCTCGAGCTCACTATTGACCTATTTCCCTTTTTCTGGTTGATGGCATGATTGGTCTACCCTGTAAATGTCTTACTGATATAGTAGGTTTGCCATTTATGAAAGAAATCTTTTTTTTATGCAGGAAGCTAAAAGGCTCAATATACATAGAACAGTCCATGCTGGAGAAGCAGGTCCAGCTGCCAATGTGAAAATAGTAAGTATTGTTAAAACAAAAGTATTTTAAACCAGAAGTATGTCACTATGTTATCCATCCAAGAGCTATTTCCAGATTCATTGTAGAATATAAAGAAACCATTTATTGTTGACCACCTTTCTTAAATGGTGAGCATCAAAGTTCTTCCCTTATTTTCATGTAAATACGTCTTCCTTGCCTTAATGTTAACATATCTTAAAAAAATAATCTTCATCACTCAAAAGCAAAGCTAGGAAGCCTATGTGAACTTCAGAATCAATATGTCAATGAAGGGCACAATTACAAGCCGGCACGCAATTTGTTGGTTTGAAGTGAAATCATTACCCTATTCATTTTAAGAGCTTACATCGATCATAAGAGTTGCTACAGCAACATTCTTTTTCTGCCAGCATTCCAGTGGCATAGAAGGTCAGACAGAGACCAATGGGAGAGTTTCTTGAAAGTTATAATAGCTTAACAGGCTTAAAGCCATATTCTAAACTGTTACTCTAAGGAGAATAACAGTGCAAGCCTTCGTTTCATTTTCTGATATTTTTATTGTTTGAAATTCAAAACTGTTTTAATTAACAGATGTTAGTTTTAATTAGTTATAGCACAAATCTATTTTGAAATAAAAACATGACAAAAACAGCTTTGGGAATTGCAAACCTCTAGACTTTTGAGAAACAAACTGAATGAATTGAATTGCACTGAATTTGTAAAGTATAATTTTCAGTGGTCTTGAGAAAGGTGTAATGTGCTGGAGAGCTTGTCAGTAGTAGCTGATGATTTCCAGCATCCATGGTTTGGCCGGATATGTTTGCTTGCCTGTCTGACCATGAGAACTCTGGGTATGGAATAGTTTCAATGCAGGGGTTTTTAAACATCATAAGCAACCATGGAGGACTTTCCTGGTAAGTAACTGTGTTTTCTTCCTTATTCTTTTTTAGCAAGGATAAGGCACCGATGTTAAAGGATCGAGAAGAAAACACAGTTACTTACCAGGAAAGTCCTCCATAGCTGCCCACAATGTTTTTAACAGTTTCAAGACCCCCTGCATTGAAACTATTCTGTCCTCGAGTCCCACGTCCCTGAGTCCCACATCCCCGAGTCCCATGTCCCAGTCCCCACGTCCCCATCCCACTTTTAGTCACAACCATAATGCAATGTGATTCAAAGTGGAGTCAAAGACATTGAAAATGCAGGGGAGTGGGCTTTTGGTTTCATTCTTTCTATGAGAAGGCAGAATATGCAACCATTTGTAGATGGTAAGAGGCTTGCAAAGGGGTCAGTATTAGTGCCAGACCCCAGGAAAACCTTGTCTCCAATCTTCTCACAGGCAGAGAAACATGTTTCCTGTAACCCTAGTGATGAAGGCCTGCTTGCAGGCTAATAGCAAGGGGTGACCATCATGCAGGCACCCCTAAAATGCCACTCCTAATTCCCTTGCACGGGAAGTATTGAGAATTTGTGTGGTGATCAATCAATCACTAGCATTCATTTTACATTTTGTTTTTGTTGAGGCATTAGACATCCTTCATGCTGAAAGAATAGGCCATGGATATCATGTCATACAAGATGCTGAACTCTATCGGAGAACAGTCAAAGAAAGAATTCACCTAGAGGTTAGAAAAAGAAATTGCAATGAAGGCTTTGAAAATGTGAGTATTGTTCTTTAAGACAAGAATTTTCTTTGTTGATAGGTGTGTCCTACATCAAGTATACTAACTGGTGCTGTAAAGCCATGTTTCAAAACACATCCACTAAGAAGGTAGGAAGTAATTTCTTAAAAACAAATTCTGAACTAGATTAAAAGTTAAGTAAAGAGAGCTGGTTCAAGAGATAAATTGGCTTCATTTGTTGGGAGTTAAAATTTTTGCTAATTGTGAACTCAGCTAATTTAGAATAATAATAATAATAATAATAATAATAATAGTAATAATGATAATAATGATCATTATTATTGTTATTATTATTATTATTATTATTATTATTATTATTATATAATTATGCAAATTTTATAGTGAGCCTCTGAGTGCTGGGAGAAAAATATGTAACCTGCATATACTTTCATAGGGGATGGGTGACCATAGAAGCTATCTGCTGTCCTTCAAACAAGATTAGCTTTGTTGACACTGACATTGAAAATTTAGCTTATAGTTATAAGATGCCACTTCTTAAGTTCTGTATAGTTAGTCAATTTAACTTTATCCTTCATTAGAATTGCTTAGTTATAAAAAAGTTAATGCCTATCTGTGTGAAAGTGTTCCTTGTTATCCTTAGTAATTAGAAGATTAAATTGTTACCATTAGAGCAATGTAAAGTGGACCCAATAATATGTAGGTTGTATTAAAAGGCGTGTTTAACTTAACAGCTTCGAAATGATATCTTTTTGTTATTGCTACTTTCACTCTTTGTCCAAAAGGAGTAAGATCCCTTTCACTGGACAAGATTGTTGCAAATGTGGCTTTGAGCAAATATCCTGTGTTTGTTTTCTAATTTAGTTTTATTTAAATATTGAGTGTTCTTTGTTTCAAGGTTTGTTGAGGATGGAGTAAATTTTTCCATTAACTCAGATGATCCACTTGTTTGCCAAACAAGAGTGGACCTTGAACAAGGCGTTGCTTTTAATAAAATTGGACTGACCCCTGCAGAATTAACCAAAGCGGTATGTTATGTTGTCTCTTTCTTGGCTTTTGCAATGCAAAGCTGCGTGATAGTTAAGCTACTCTTTCACAAAACAGAGCACTGGAGTTTAGATTAGGATGTTTGGGTGCAATGAAGCCCTACCCTGCACTGAAACTAAAACTAAAACCAATTACAACTAGGTCATATATGTTTTCCCACATTTTGCGCGTTATTTTGTTTTTATGTGCATACATGTAAGTAGGTAAGTGAATTTCATTGGCTTTTTAAAGGTATCTTCCTTTCTTCTGATTGGCCATTTAGATTACTTTGGTTTTGGTTTTACGACATTCTGTCCAGTCCAGTTGCTTCATACAATAAAAATAATTTTAAATTCCAGCCGCGATGAATATTAGCTTATGGCAAGCTCATGTTCAGTGGAAAAAAAATGGGCAGGCGGGAATGAGCAGGCAATACATGTATGTGAAATGCACCCTTGCTTGCTGGGCAGAGTATAAATGTGTGCAAAATGCACCCTGGCTTGTTAGGCAGAATAGACATGAATACAAAATGGACCCTGAGTTGCTGGGTGGAATATACATTTATGCAAAATGCACCCTGGCTTGCTGGGCAGAATATACATATGTGCAAAAAGGACCCTGAGTTGCTGGGTGGAATAAACATGTACAAAGTGCATCCTGGCTTGCTGGGCAGAATATACTTAGATGCAAAATGCATCCTGGCTTGCTGGGCAGATTATGCATGTATGCAAAATGCACCCTAGCTTGCTGGGCAGAATATACATGTATGTAAAATGCTCCCTAGCCTGCTGGGTGGAATATACATGTTCTATGTAAAATGCATCCTGGCTTGCTGGGCAGAATATACATGTATGCGAAATGCATCCTGGCTTGCTGGGAGGAATATGCATTGATGTAAAATGCATCCTGGCTTGCTGGGCAGATTATACATGTACGCAAAATGCACCCTAGTTAGCTGGGTGGAATATACATGTATGTAAAATGCATCCTGGCTTGCTGGGCAGAATATGCATGTATGTGAAATGCATCCTGGCTAGCTGGGTGGAATATTTATTGATGCAAAATGCATCCTGGCCTGCAGGGAAGATTATACGTGTATGCAAAATTCACGCTAGCTTGCTGGGCAGAATATACATGTATGCAAAATGCATTCTAGCCTGCTGGGTGGAATGTACATGCATGTAAAATGCACCCTAGCTTGCTCATAACATGTTTTGCCACACTTGCCATTAGTTTTTTAACTTATTTTTCTTCCTAAGAAGTGTGTTGATATAACAAAGAGGTGCATACATGATATCATTTTTTTTTCAGACATTTAATGCTGCAAGATCCGCATTTCTTCCAGAAAATGAGAAACGCAAGCTTATTGAGCAACTGAAATTAGTCCATGGAATATATTGATCCCTTAATTAACACAAATCAATAATGATTACAATAGTTGATATAATAATATATGTGGGGTTATTGTCCAAGTATGAGGTCAAGATGAGATGTTGACAAAATTTTTTTTTTCCCATTTCATCTCAGTCCATAAAAACACGCACAAAAAGAGGTTAATATCCAGTCTTCTTGGCCAAACAAGAACTAAGAACCAATTCTTCTGTTTTCTATTTTTCCAGTTTCTGAACATGTCTATCTCATGAAATCCAAGCACGTGAATCTCTCTTTTTTTTGTCATTCATTTTGTCTGGAGCAGAACTTGCCAATTGAGATTGTTGGATATGTTAGGACCTAGTCTTATTGGGAAGTGTGCCATCCATTTCCTTGCATTTGATGTAAAATTTTTGAAGATGTTATTAGCAGAGATTAACCAAATATTTATATTTTTTTCTAGAAAGGGTTAGGTGGGTTATGGGTTGTTTACTTCAAAATTCAGAAGGCTGGCTGATTTCTGAAATGCTCACGAATTATAGATAAAAATGTTTTACCTCAGAAATTTATTTTAATCTTAAGCAAAAAAACCATGTAAGAAAAAGTGTTTTAGTTGTTGTTAGTTTTGTAATTCTCACTATCATTATTTATATTATTATTATATATTATTATTATCATATTAAAAAGAAATAAATCTCTCCTCTAAACTGAAGAATGTTTCCTTCTTTAATCCCCAGATCATTTTGTTTTTGCAATAGTGTTTTCATACAAAAAAAGCTCAATCAAGGAGAAAAAGTCCAGTACAAATTTGTCAGCATATATGTAAAACTACCTGCTGGCTATAAGCCCAGCAGACAAACAATTTCAACCATATTTAGCCATGCTGAAAGCAATAGATAGTGTTGAATTCAACTTGGAAACTGTCTTGCTAACAGATGTTGATGTTGAAATGGTTCAGTTGTGAGAGACAGGGGTTCTTGCAGATTAAAGCCAGTGGTTACTAGTTTGTAATAATGAGCAAATATTCAAGAAAGTGAAAATCAATCTCAAGCACCAAGCCACTCAAAAACTTTCATGCAGAAAGGTAAACTACAACTTATTTCCCAGCTGCTGTAACTTTTACTATTTAATATTAACTATTTTGGTGGCCTTACGGTCAGCTGTGCAGACCTGGTTATTGTGTTATGTTCTTGAGCAAAATACTTTTTATGCTCACGATCCCTCTCTCCTCCCAAAGGTGCATGTGGGTACAGTTGAATTGTCAGGGAGACCTGGTGGGCAACTTTGCAATGAACTGGTACAACCATACAGGGTGGAGTAGGCCAGCCCAAGCAGCATTGGCCACTTAGCTCAGGTATAAACTTCGCTTATATTTGCTGTAATTACTAATTCCATTGTCCAAATCAGTACTCCATTTGGGTAAAGAAAGTAATATTTAATCCAACTGTCAGACAAATGACCATCTAAGACCTCTAGTGAAAATAACTGGTGTACCTGAGCTATCTTAACAACCACTTTACTATGTTTACAAACAAAGCCCACGTTATATTAAAGACTCTTCAAGTTGATGTATTTACATTACGAAATGCATAAACGAATGAAATGCCGTAAAAATATACCGTTACAACTTGCATTACCACATAAACATATTTATTTACTGTATAAAATGATTTCCTTTGACACAAAATCCCAAAAACAAACAAAAGGATTCCTTGTGAGGAAAGCGAAAACAGAATTGTTCATCAAGAGGATTTATTCAAGTTAAATTTCGAGTCTAAGAAATTAAGAGTCTTTGTTAATCTCAGAATAATTTCCAGAAATTAAATAGATTTTGCACATGTTTCTGAGACTTTTGTGATTTGTTCTCCATTTGAAATAAATTTTTAGATTTTTTTCAGATCAGTAAAATTATTGTACTGAGGAGAAAATAATACCTTCTTAACAGTCCTGTAAACAGTTGATCAATCCTGAAACGTTCCCCACCAGTATAGGATAGGGACTATAATGTGTGTTGCTGAACTACAATCTTTCTTCCAAAGATGTAAATCACCGAGTCATGTCTTGAGTTTTTAAAAATATAATAATCCTCGACAACTCTTCCTCTAGAAACATAACATGGCAAGAGGCTGTCTTCTTAAAAAAGGAGGATCTTTTCTTTCCTCCAGGAAACCTGTGGAGCATGCCACGTTTTCACTCAGAAGAACAAGAGTTGCATCTACTTAACTACTAACTGTATAATCATAACAAATAATTTCACTGTACAGATTCCTGTTGATCGTGTTCATTTTGTGGTTCATTATGGTTGTTTAAGTCTTGCAGCTCATTGTGCTCAGTTGTATCAATCTCTTCTCGTGGCTCACTATTTTCAGTTGTATGAATCTCTTCTTGTGGCCTGTCAGTGCCTGTTGGCTCAAGTTGTTCTTGTTGTTCTATACTTTCATTTGTATCTTTAGACTCAATTTGTTCACTTGCTTTTGGTTGATCCTAAAAAAAGAAACACACACACACAAAGTGAGTCACCCCGAACAACTAATCCATCTCCAAAAGTAAATGTCACCTTTCCCTCAATTGACTTTGAAATGGATACCTCACAACCAACTACCACCAGGAGTTTAATCAGTGACTCTACCACTTTTAAAATAACACAATACTCAAAAGAGTATGTTAAGAATGCATGGGTTTCAGCACTTCTACCACAGATTTTGGGCACAGTTTAGCTTACACCTACCCTGATTGAAAAGCTACATATACTCTTTTACCTATTAAGTAACCCTGCTGATCAGGGAGGAGAAGAAAGCATCTAGCTCATTTTAAGCAGATTTGGCAGCCAGGCTGGATCCCTGGGGATAAAAAGTTATGATCCTGTTTGGCCTCACGATTAAAATGAGCTAGGGTTAGCCAAAACAAAGCTTTTAATGTCTGGGGACTTCACTGCTGTATCATGAGCTTTTAACGAGTAACAAGATCTATTTTGCCCTCTGTTAACCTCCACAGTCAGGTTGTAGTCCTAAAGGCAGATCTATTTTAGTTTTTCTATTCGTGGTTTCTTCTGTTCTCAAGGGCAAGATGCTCCATGACAACATTCTCCACGACAACATGGCCAATCAAACTTAATATCAGCTCCTACCGCACCTTTTCTCTGATGTCTCAACCTCTGTAACGAAGACTGTGACTTGACAAATGTACCTTCCTTCTCAGCTACCTGACACAGTTAATCTAATTGTTAAAACTAGCTAAGATAATGCTCTAACTTCTCTAAACTTAAAGGACTTCACTAAATCTCACTAAGTGCAGCTTCTCCTGCTGGTTTCCACAGCTCTCGCAGAAGTGATTCACATGTAACTTCTCCCCATAATATTGATACATTATCCAGCAAACAGGTAATGAGAATACTCAAACTTAACAGGAATAAGTTGTCCTGATGAAACACCAAATTCTCATTGTTTACTTACAGGGTAAGATTTAGCAGCTAAAGAAAAGAATTAACAATAAGATCTTAGGAGTTTAAGGGTTAACTAGCAAGAGTGGGTGCTAGCTGTAGACTATGAGGCCCAAAATGCATCAGAATGCCACTTCACAGAGGTTTCTTTTCTTTACTAAAAGTTAAACGACATATATAAATAACAACAATACCCCTGTGTGTCTGTGTGGGTTCCAAAAGTGATGCTAAATACAACAATGCTAACCATTTAATTATTACTTTTAACTGAACTACAGTATTGCAAAGTACTTGTCCAAACCAAATGCATTCCAGTCACTTACTCTTTCATTGTCATAATGTTTTGTTTCACCATTTTCCTCCGTCTCTTCTCGTTCTTCTTCATTGTGTATCTTGTCTGTGGAATTATTTCGGTTGCCATAGTTTTCATCTTCTATTTCTTCATCAGCAACCTCTTCAGCTGGTATTTGATCCAATGGGTTTGTCTTCTATTGTTTCTTTAAAAAGAAGGAAAGATTTTTATAATTTTACAATACAATGTAACATGTAATGTAAAGCTGGGAACATTATGGTACACCACATCATCTCTGAATGTTTTAAATTCAAACTCCAGCAAAACTGCACACACAACATGCAGGACAAGACAGCTGAGACATACAAAATGTACTACTCGAGGTTGGATACACATCAAAACAAGTAACATTTGTGTCAACCTTGTATTCAAATAGTGTCCATGACATTAAAAACTAGTTTGTTGTGACAAAAGCGTCACAATGAGCTTGTTGATAGGTTCGTGACGGATTGGTACCAAAATATGATGGGTGATTTAGGGTCATTGATGGTGAGATTGGAGTTGCTGGTGAGTTGGAAAAATAAATAGTGTACATCCAACCAGTGTGATTGCTCCTCGCAAGATCACTTATAGTTAACAAATTAAAGTAAACAGGGCGTCACCTCTATCATCTTGGATTTCTCTGGCATCCTCTCTGTTCTCGCCACTAGCTTCATACACTGATGGCTTCCCTGCAAAGAGAAAACATGTCCATTTCAAGCAAGAGAATGAATTGAGTTATTTTAAAGGCTACGAGCACCAAGTTGTTTGAAGCATGATTTGTACAAATTCAGAAGTAACTGATATGGTAACGCATTGTTCACTGCACAACTCACTCCGAGTGAATTTGTTAACCACGTAAGCTTGTCAGTTTTTTTTGGCTTAAGTTCAAGAGGGGGACAAAGAGGGGGCTTTCCAAACTTGAAGTCTCAGAGAGAGGATAATCAGAGAGGGAAATGAAACATATATTTTAAATTCACAATTTTATATTAGTGCTTATTGCAAGCCTCCAAGCACTGTTAAGAGAGAGAAACAAATATTTCGAGTAACATATCAAAAACAAGTGCTTGAAAATCCCAACTATCAGGACCCAGACCAGTTGGCTATTTACAGGGTACTGCCCAGGAGTTGAACTCCAGACAACCAAGAACAAATCCAGTGAGTAGCAGGGTGTATTACTTGAACCCAGGACCACCAGATAACAAGTTTGGCACCCTAACCACTTAATCACACAAACAGGAAGGCTCATCAGAGTGTTCAGATAACTTGCATCAACATATTTGAGTCATTTTTAGCATCCCTGAGAACTCTCTTAAACTATAATACAATGCTAGAATAAACAAAAGTCAAAAGGAAAAAGAAATTGTTTGACCAGGACAAACATTACTACTAGCTGCTAATCACACACTTGAAAAATCTTTCCTCGATTTCTAGCGTGCTTATTGACCAATTGAGTTTTTATACTTACCATTATCTGAACTATCTTTTCTGCCATACACAAAATTATCAACTGGAACATCATTGTTGCCAAGAACATTAGCAACCTGATCCTGTAAAGCTTCCTCTATTGGTATATCCTCAATCTCTGATTCATGTGGAGAGTCACTTCTTTCTGTCACATGGCCTCTCACTGGCTCATCATCTCTAAGAGACTCAGCTAGAGTATCTTTCAAAGAATCAAAAGGAGAAAATGGTTCTGGTTCATCTCTTGTTGCCATGTATGGGGGCAGACTGTTCACCTGCTGAAAAAAAATTTAATATTGTTAAGTGCACATTAGTGATGATATACAGTTAATACCCAGTTCTGGGTGAACTATACAGATGTTTAGCCTGGCAAAAGATTGAAGTTGGAGTATCAATATCTGTATCAGATCTCCACCAGATGAGGTGCACCAATGAGCCTCTAAATTATAAGCACTGTAATAAAATATTTCCTAATTGTGTGTACACAGCACTGCCAGTTAATCGTTTCAGGACTGAATGAGTTAAATTATCTCTCTGTGCTGTGTCTGATCTCATTGTTTTAGCAGGTACTGAAAAAAAAAATTTACCACAGTGTCGGTGGCTGGTGGTGGATATGTACCTTGCTGTGCTTCATGGCTCAGTAAATATCCACTACTAGCCACCTCCACTTTGATGGATATTTGTTGATTGCACCCATGAATTGGGAAGTTTGAAAGTGATTAACAAGTATTATTTACCTTTTAGTAGTAGAAGAGGCAAAAATTGCATGTCAATACTTCAATTTCTAATTATTTTTAAGTATATTGCAAAAAATAAAGGTTATATTTTGGCATCTGTGTGGTATACACTAAAACAGGACTTAGTCCATGTATTCATCTCAGTGTCACTGAAAGTGGTGGACATGTACATCAACTTCAGTGAGTAATTAAATGTTATTTGACTTGCACTCTACAGCTGATTCAAGTAACTTATTTTACTCACAGGCTCCTCATTGTCGGCCACAAGAGACTTCTTTTTTGTAGCTCGTTTAGCTGCTCCTCTCTGAATGAAAACATTTATATTACACTCATTAACTTCAATAAACAATGTTATCAATTTTGAATTCTTCCTGTTATTTACAAAACAGTTTCTTGAATTATCAATGTAGCTGTTTTCCAATTTTGTATGAAATTCATTTCATATAAATATATATTTAAGGGCCAGTCATTCATGATGGTCATGTCATAATGATCAAAACATATTAAACAATTTCCTCACTTCTGAAAGGAAGAGGATACAATTTAAGATGGAATTCCAAAAAAAAATTGGGGCTTTGTATCCAAGGTGGAAGAAAGAAATCAAAAATGTTCTCAGAGTTCAATCATCTGTATCAGAAAGTGGCATTCACATTGTACAGTGAAAATTCTTATGTCAGGACAATACAACTTTACTCTATAATGAAGGTTAAACAACTTCAATAAACCCAATATGATAGCATTTAATATTCAACATTTATCTCAATGAACATAATTTTACAAAGACCCTGAGAAACACTGCACACTCTAAACCCAAAATGTTTAAGTTAACCTTACTTTACTAGGGGGTTTTCTTTCTATTCCTTTGGCTTTGGTTGAGGTTCTGTTGGAAAACAAATGATCGTCAGCCGTGAAGTAAGTTTACTTTTAAAAATTAAACTTAAATCAATTCACAATGTGAAATGTATTAATTCTTAACACTAAAAACTGATTAACAAGTGAACTTGACACAAATATGATTTTTAATCATGTGTTTATTCCTTAATATGTTTCTCTTAAGAATGTCTCTACATATATCTTATCAGCTACGTTTGATCCATGTTTGTCTTTGAGTTCCTTGATTCAAAGACTAATAACTATTTTTTCTTCTTTTTTTATCATCTTTCCTCAAAACAAATATAATTATTGTTATCTTACAAATAAATATATTTACATGTGTGTAACCCAATGACCACCACGGAAACCTTTAAGAATAAACCTTTCTTAATTTATTTAACCAATTCTTAAAATAACTGTGGTTGTGAAAAAAGAAATTGTGAAAGAAAAATCCCAAATAAATGATTATCGCACCTTCTTGGAGTTAACTGGGCTGCTACTCCTTGGTCACTGTAGGTAACACTTCTATCAAAGCTGAAATGAAAGTCCAAAGAACATTAAGGGTGAACTATTATCATAAAATTTGTATGTAAAGGAATATGATGGGAACGTAATTAGTTTTTCTTTGGAAATATTTTGTTGACTGAATTATTCAGCCTTCATCAGTCTGTTGGTTACATAGAAGTAAACTATATAATCAATTGCTCAGCCCACTGATAGGAGTATAGTTTTGTAGATCTTGGTAAGGAGGCCAAGGGAGTTAATTGAAATATTTCAAAGGAAAAACAATTGCAATCCAGTCAGATTCTTCTACACATTATGTCTTCAGAACATGGAATGAACCTTTTTGCTTCAAGTCACAATCATGATAATCAAGGAAAATTACAGAATCATCCCATCAACCAAGTGATTGATCTTTAAGTGTCTAGAAATGCTCTTTTAAAACTGGAAGTACTTCCTGGAACACTTTAAATTCCAAAACAATAATTATGAATAATTTCACAATTACTCATCATAATTCACTTGTTGCACAATACAGTCAGCTCAACTCTGATTTCCACTTTTTTAAGCATTCTTTTCTATCATGGAAAATGGATCAGCACTTTGATCCCAATGGGATCCCCATCTAATTTCTCCATTCAATATCACCCCTGAATCAAACATTGAGGTCAAGAGAATAAAGGATTTTGATCACAAACTAAAGATACTATTGATTGTTAAAGAAATTTTCCTTGTCAGCACCATAGGAAATGTATAGAGAACAGTATGGAGTATAAACTTACAGATGTTCTGTTGTGAAAGGTTAAACAGATACATCATTAAAGAAGAAGTTAGACTAAACATACAATCGTTCTCTCCCAACAGCAACATATTGTCCAGAATCATTCAGCTGTGATGGTTCTGATATCTTTTGACCATCTAAAGTATACAGACTGAAACACAAACATAAATATTAGAAAGATGATTGAATATCATCTGAGTGATCAAGCAAGTGATGTGCGTAAATGACATTAAGAAAGTTGACAGTCTTCACACATTCATTCAACTTAGAGAAACAAAATTGCATTTAAAACTTTGCCAGAGGATTATTTTTGGCTGACTTTCAACTGAGGTTGATGTTGGTGCTGATCTAAAGTTTTATGTTACCATGTTAGGCAAAAAAATAATAGAATCCAACTTACAGTGTTTTTTTTTGTAGATATCATTTATCAATGAACAAAGTAATCCTTCAACAGACACTGGTTTCGTGTAGAGCTTATTTGGAAGTTTCAAAGAGATTTGAAAATTGACCTTTTTTTCTTCTTTTTTTTTTTAACAATTCTTTCGAGTGCACAAACACGTCTAGAATTAATAACCACACTCTTAACACTGCTCAAGACTACCTACATGTAATTTACAAAAGCAATGAAGACTTACTCATAAACTGCACCATTCTTGCTGACTGAGCTCACTTTATCATTCACAGACTCTAAGACCTTAATCATATTCAGGGAAAAAAAAAGGGCTTTTGATTATCGCAATCAACTAACTACTGGTATGATTAAAAGGTGAAATATGCTTCAGAAATATTTACCAATAATCTCTGCCACCAAGAAATAAAATATTTACAACTACCTGGCTTTAAAAGTGCTTAAAATTTTAGTATGGATACGACCATTTTGAAATCAACTCTGCACTCCAGAAAGACACTCTGAAATTCCTAAATTCATAGGCTTTCCATCCATTAAATCTGGAAAGTCAAGGTTTCATTATTTTATTCAGGGTAGGGCCTTAACTGGGTTGTGCAAAGCTGGGTGAATATAACCCAGGGTTAGTGTGAAACTTGATTTCAGATCTAAAAGATTTAAAAGAAATTCATTTTAATTATTTTTCCCTGCAATTTGATGATGGGTTGTTGTAAAAAGGATAGAGAAAATTATCCCAAAAAGAGGGTATTAGCACTAATCCGCCTTTGAACAACTCAGCCCAAAGGTCATTTCTTGAAAGTCAATAACTTTATGGGCCCAAAGCCAAATTTTTAAGATCAAAATTTAAAGCATAGAGAAGCAGTTCTATCACCCCCTCAAGTACAATATTTTTCTTTAGCTTATAGTTTAATTTTATAGTTTTTAAAACCTTTAAAGCCCCCATTTTGTATTAAAACAGAACAGCTTTAAATTACTGGAACCTTCAAGGGACAGGCCCCTGATCTGCTTATTAAATTGACCTACATCTGTTTTCAAAATCTTTTACTCCCAAAAGCAACCAAGGCAATATCAATACTACATCCAGCAGACAAGTAACAAGAATAGAGAAAACTAGCAATTAGGAGATTACTGACTGATCGAATACCAAGTTCTCCAAACAAACATCATAATAATTGTATGGCAGATAGTAAGGAGAATTACTAAAATGAGATCTTGGAAGTGAAAAGGTTAAATCATATTTTGCACATGATGTGATTTTTGGAGTATTCACCTCACCTGAAACATTTTAAAGTCTGTTCGCAACTGGACTCTTTTTGGTTTGGCCACAACTCCATTACAAAAAACACTGTTATAATAAAACATTACATATTACATTAATCATTGTGACATGAATATGAATGGTTTAACACCCACACAACAATTGAACATTAAGAACATCTGCTTAATTTGTCCAAAACATAATTCTACATATATTTTATATTCTGCGTTAAATCATTTCACGTTAAACCAAAGAGAAAAAGTTCTTCAGGGGGAAAATTCAAGGCATGCGTGCCTCACTCAAGCATAGTAACAGGGCTCAAAGTACTTTATTTCAAATGGCCCTCATTGTTTATTCAAATTTAATTCAGAATACCTCTGTTCAGGTTACTAAAATGGTCAGGAATAGAACACTTTTGAATAATTGACAGACACATAGCCTCTTGTAAGATGCTGACAAAGTATTGCCATTATTTTCTAAGGTACATGCAAGGGAGCTCTGCAAGGGGCTATGCTATGCTATGAAAAACACCCAGTACAGCTGCTCGAGTGCATTGTCAGAGTGACATTTGGTACCCTCTACATAACCTGAGTCCAAGAGTTAGATGGAAGCTAGACATGAGAACTCAAACCACTTCCAAATGAAAAAAACAATGCTGTGTAAAAGAATGGTCACGAGCCTTTTGCAACTGATTTGGGGACTGCACTGAAAAAGGGGGAGTGCCTATTGATGAAAAAAGAAGAAAATAGTGTGGCTCCAAGTTTTAATCCTTTGTCATGCATATTAACAGTCCACTGGTTCACCTTTTACAAGCTGGGTTTCAAATCATGGTAAGTTTGAAATAATTCATGGTGAATAACGACAAGGACATTTTTAACCGAGAGCTGCAGTACTTACATGATGGTTTTTATCTCTTCCTTTTTCCGTAGACCGCTTACCCTCGCTCTGCCCGGCACGTTTCCAAATTTGCGATGATTTAGCTCGAGGAAATTTACCTGTTAACGAAATATAATCACGAAATGACAGTCACATCCTCAAACAATGAGAGACGTGTACATGAACAACTCATTGAATAAATTCTGTGAAGTATACTCTGGAAACTACGACCTGCCTATTAATCCTTTCACGATTTCAAAATTGACGTTTTTTGAGTCTTTATTTGAATATAACTCCTTAGCAAGTGGGTTAAATATTTATTTAAACATTTAAGTGTTTAATTATTCATGCATGGTAAGTTCACTTCGATACCAAATTTGTTATTGAACTCACTCGGCATAATTAAGGCTCTATCGTCTCCATGAATAATAGAGAAGATCAACCTATCAAACTCTGAACAATTGATAGTTGCTTTACAAAAATAGATTGTGATCGAATGTGCGATCATTAAAAAATAGTCCAAAAACATCGAACACAATATTTGTCTTTAATTGCCTTTATCACTGCACGACAAAGTATACAAAATATGACCTAGATTAGATTTTAACTGTATGTTGACGCGTTTTGAATATATCTTACCTCAGGTCCTTTGAGAGGCGGTAAACGGTTGGGCCTCGAGTCTTTCACATCATATCTGAGAAAATAAAGCGCAAACAGACTATCATTATATGGAGAGTTTGCATTTGTGAACAAAGATCAACCAAATGACACTTGATGAAGAATTACTCCGCAAACACGAGTCTGATCGCGCCATCGCAAACAAAAATCTTACCCAATTTTTTTAAACGGCTCTCTTCCCTTAACGACATAAGTGCAGTCTCTCTGTAGATCGTCAAGCGTTCTGATTCGATGTCTTCCACCTGGAGTCCTTATTTCTCGAGCTGGTGTACGAAAACTAGCTGCCACAGTATTTAAGAAAGATTCAAAGCTTCGCATGTCTCTGTGATTGACAACAATACGCTTTCTCTTATAACTGTCCCCGTTGAGATGTACGAAAACCGGCTTTCCCATCATATTTATCCCTCTCTCTTGAGCAGCCATGATCCTGGAATCCTATTTTACCTCACTTAGAACTTCTAATTAAGTTTAAGACGAGAAGAACACTATTAGGTAAGACATGGTGAAATCACTCACAGTTCACTGAGCTCACTGTGACCTCAGTAATTGTCGACGTGCACATTATGGGATGTCACATGATTTGTTTACCCTGGTGACGTACATAGTAACCAAATCGTCATTAGTGTCAAATTAAAAACTCATTTATCCTGCTGAAGACTTGGATTTTTCGTGAATGACCCGTGTAGTTTTATAAAGAAAAGCAAAAGTAAAAAAACAAATACTCGTTGCTAGTGACAAAGGGGTACGAGAGTAACCGAGATTAAATGATCATCTGCATTCAGACTCGACTACGAATTTGCGTTCTGATTTGATTTGATAATGAACAAAGAGCCATTTTGCGTGGGTCTAACCATCGGCCACCTTACGTGGGCTGTACTCCGTAAACTATTTTTTATTCAAAGGATAAAGAAAAACAATCTCTTTCTTTTTTCTGAAGAGTTGGATCTTCAAGTTATAAATTTCGTGTGTTTCTATTATTATAAGAAGTGGAACTTGTATTGTTCATGGAGGCCTCGCATAATGTTGTTTGTTTTACGAATTTATTCCTAGTGAACCAAAAGAGTGCATTGGTAATCTTAAATTGAATCGGAGAAGCTGACCCGGCAGGGAGAGGAGACAAATATCGAAAGAAATTGAAAAACAAAATTAACCGTAATATGCACCGGAACCACGAGAATTAGTACAGTATATTGATAAATCATATTCGTTAATATATTTAGTTAATCATTCTTCTCAATTATCAGTACTTTCCTACAGGGTTGACCCGGTTGGCTTAACATTAAAGGCAAAAAAGCTAAAAAAAAACCTAGATGAGTTTTGGTAATACAGCTAATAAATGACATCGAGAGTTCTTGAACAATTTTCAAGAACTCTCGATGTCATTTATTCTTGGGGCTAAAATAAGTGGATGAATAAAATAATATTGCAAATAACTCATGCTGTCTGTGGTAGTCATATATAAACGCATCTAAGCATAAAGCTAATGGTGCACGAGGGACACTCTTTTTCAAAGGTGGTTCTCAGTCATTAATTAAGGTTTCCGAGCATGCGTTTTTGTGTGAGAGTTTTAATTTTTAGTACTGCAAGTCTACTCGATAGTAACGAGAAACGTGTCTTCCTAGAGTTTATAGAAAAGAAACAACAATGTTCATTACTCTGCGCTCCACGAAAAACGATTGCACGAGCTCGCTCAAACGTACTGTAGCACACAAACCTTTTATAAAATACTTTGTATCTATGTACATGTTTTTATCGAGTCTAATGCCATCATCAGCCCTGGCCAGAGTCGCCCTCAGAACTGACTCCCGATTATCCTCAACAATTTATTCTACAAATAATTTAAAATTTATTAAATCCATAATCGTTGAAGTCTGATTGATTTCCAGCAGTGCGATTTATTCAAAAATTTTTGGCATTGATTGTACCTTTTTCTCAGCTAATGACAGGAGTCCATCAAGTAATGGGCTCCTGCCAATGAAAGAAAACAACCAATAAGATTTCAGATTTCAGCGCTTTACAAATTATGCGAGAACAAAAGTCGCACTAATTTTTTTTTTTCCATCTTATTACTCATCAATGTATTGTTAGTTTTATCGTTGATTATTCTGTTTTGTTAAAATTGCTAAAATGTGAATAAGACCGAGGTCGTGTATAAAGGCAGTGAAGGCAAAGGAATTGAAAAACTGGTAATTTCTCTTGGAGTCCCGCAATTTAATTTAAGTCTAAAATCATACTGTGGCGCTGCAGGCACGTTTGGTTTTGAAATTACACTTGAAGGAATTAAATTACTTCTGTACACGTTTGGTGATTTCTTCCATTTAAAAACCTTAATCGTGTTTGTCATTATGCAATTGCCACCTCATGACAGTTGATTTGCCTACCAACGCATGCGCATTGAAAGAGGGTCTCATCGAGGTTATCCTTTAACTGTAAACGGTTAAAAGAATTCAGCTGTTAGGCTTAAAAGCTGTAAAATTTAAGCCGGTTGTCGATAAAAAAGCCAACCGTAATTTTTTTTGGTTTACTTTAACGAAAATAAATTAAATGAATGGCCAAAACATTAACCGTTAGACGTAAAAGCCCCTAGCTCATTATGACCTTCACGAAACCCTTTTCATGAACACTGCAGAGCCAAGATTATTTATGTACACGACCTAATATGCGAATAAACACAAAGTAGAGATATATAGAGCGATTTTGGATTGAGTATTGTAGAAACAAAACCAAGGTCTGAGCAAGAGTGTATATACGAGGAACTGATCGGAAGAATCTCAAAACTGAAAGTGAGTGTGCGAAATCGGCCTTAAAGGCGGGAAATCTCGAGTGAGTTATTTTTAATTTTGGACCTGATCGGCAATTGAGAGCCGGGACGGTGCGAGTCTTAAGGTAGAAAGTTCACAAAGCGTAGTGTGTTGAATAGCGCAGATCTATACTGCTTTGATGCTCAAATGAATTTTTTTCCTCTTGTGCGTTGTAATCATCTAACGCACGTAGATTTTCCAAAAGTCTCCTGGCGACGAGATGGTACCATTAGTCATGTCATCGCAGAACCAGTAGTCTTCTCTCAAATACCAGTAGTACTTAAACTTAACAAATGCAGCCCTATCGTACAACCGTTGCTCTCTTTTCTGGTTTTCCTTTCCCCATTTTCCCACATAGTACCTGTTTTCATGTCCCCACCTTTCACACTGCGCTGCCAGCTCTGAGTTATCCCCGTGCATTTTTTGAAAAGACCCGCATGAAGTGGGCACTACATTTGTCTGACCGCTAAAGTACTGAACTACAGCTTCGCCAGAGCTGTTAGCCACAGTGGCCACGTGGAACGTACGTCCCTGTTTCTTACTGCAGTGGAATCTAAGCTGAGTAAAATTCAAGTGTGATCTGAGATCTTGCATTGCCTTTGTTGTAATACCCATTTTGTTGCTGGTGAAGTTGCTGATCGCTCGGTATGATGAATTTAAAGTCCATCTGGTGAATGAAGTAGAGCCATTAGTCACAAAGTTTACGACGAGAAGCCATCCTCCTGAAATAGAACAAATCAGAATTTAAAATTCTTTCAGCGTTTTAAGCCTATTTTCAATAAAAGAAATCACTCAGCTTGAATAAAAAATGAGATTTCACAATTCCAATACGAGCTCGAGATTTCTGTCGCTTGATAGTTGACAAAGAGAAATCCCAAATAAACATTATGCATATGAATCAAAAGTAAATTATCTCATTGTTTCAGCAAGATCTATTAGTCGTTCAAACGACAAGAAAACCTCATATTTTTATTTTACCTTGTTTATAATAACAAAATGTTCCTAATTTCTTTACTCACTATATATCACGGAATAGACAGCGAGTAAAGTAACCAATTCGAACGCAGCTTTCGTGAGAAATGGCTTGGATGTACATTTTTATTAAAAGAGATAATAAATGGTAATGTTAGCACCAAATTAAACCTTAAAAAGTAAATATTTTTCTAAAAGTTTTTCCACAGTTATGCGTAAATGATTAAGCCCAAAATTAATACGTGATGCGTAAATTTTACAGAAAGACAAGATGAGGTGAAATTTGAAGTTTACCCTTTTGGATTTGTGACGTGTGAAATAATGTTTAAAGTGCAAGTGATGCGTGAGTTTTTCTAAACTTTTAATGAAAACTGAATTCACCCTGATTCAGCAGTTGTAAGACAAAAGAATAATCGCTTTCTTGTGAATGAGTCGTTTCCATACTTAGCTTACCTCCTTCCGTAGTCATGTCACAGAAGACTTTTATGGGCTTGCAACTGTTCTCAGGGTCGATCCAGTACTCTCCGTCCCCTATGGAGTCCCATGAGTCCCGGATGTCCTTACATGAACGAGGAGCTATCAAAATATCAAAGTCAACACTAAAGCTGCGACCGATAAACGCCGCCTGCTTCTGCTCAACTAAGAGCCAAAGCTACTGCGACATTACTCGAGGGAGGCCCATTCATCCTACCTGGAAATCTCTCCCCGAACAACGCTTCTTTACATTATATCTCTGATAATAAAGAAATAAGTTTAACTATGAGAGGGAGTAGGGATGGCGCAGTGGTGAGAGGGCTCCCTCCTAACATTGTAGCCCGAGTTTGATTACCGGGCCTGGTGTCACATCAGAGTCGAGTTTATTGTCAGTTCTCGTCCTTGCTCCGAGGGTTTTCACCAGGATCTTTCAACTCTTCTCCCTCCACAAAAGCTAGCATTCCACTTTCCAATTTAACCTAGGAACAGCGGACGGGAAGAGCCACCAGATTTTCCTCTATAGATCAAAGTTTTATGTAGATTTCACAGGTTATAGCCAACTCCAATCCACCAAACGACTTACATAGGGAAATTATAAATCTCTAGTTCCTCAGGGCACGTAAATAGCTTTTTTGAAAATCCCGCTTGACATGTACTTTGCCAGATTTCAGCCTAAACAAGATCTTACCATTTTGACATCTTTCTCCAGTCCAAGGAGCCTTGCACCAACATTTAAATGTTTGTTTGTTTTCGTCAAGAATGCAAGATCCACCATTGAGACAACCAGTCATATCACATCTCTGTGAATAACATAACAATGACAATCTTCAAAATATTCAAAATAATGTTGTGACGTCAGTGGGAAACTGGCTTGAGCAAATTCGCTGAGTGGAAGGTGCCGAGATTCTTGGAACACAACTGAGCTTTCTTCTTTAATGTATCATGTTTTGCTGCTACAAAGTTCACAGTATTTTCTCCTTGATTAGTTTAAACTCTGGCTCTTAATCCAATACTTTCGACCACAACTCCAAGTACAACTCTCTATTAACAAAAAGCTATGCGCTTATATTCTCATTTTATTATTTTTATCAACCTTGGAAGATAACAACACACTTGTGCTCTATCTGAGATAGTGGCGTGCACTTATAACCATTGATAAACAGTGTAAAGCACGAAAGGCTCATAGATAATAATAACCTTTGTAGTGAGAAAACACTGAATATATTATGCAAATGAAATACAATGATAATTATAGAACGCGAAGTTTTTATGAGACCAAAAAGAGCCTTATTTTTGGCTCCTTCTTTATAAACAAAATACTAACACTTGCCAACACTAGTGATGTCACATCAAACTCCAGTAACTTAAAGTTTGAAATACTGATTGTTTTTATTGATTACATGACTGTTGCATTTGTAATCATCTCCTCCATTAATTGTCTATGGAATTGTCATATCAGTTGCACTATGGTCATCATTGTCTTCATCTGTTTATTATAAATACTGTTATTTTCTTTTTAATAATTACTTTTTCACTTTAGATTGTGACTAAACCATTTCAGCCAAGTTCCAGTGCAACATAAGTTTTTCATGATACTTACACATAATATGAGATAGGAGACATCAGTAAGTAAATCCAGAGAAATGACAAAAGAATACGAGAAAACGTGTGAACACAATTTCTTCCCATGTCCTACCTTGAGAAACATGGAGTATGTTACACCTTGCTCGTCTTGAAACTCGGCATCTTCGTCGAGGAATCCGTGTTGGTTTAGTTCACAAGTTCCTTGGTCGTTTTCCTTTGATGGCTTCTTGAAGTTTGTGGAAGAACACCATGAATTTCTGAGACAGGAATGGCTGCACGACGTTAAACTGGGTGAGTTAAAACTATCAACAACATGGCCTTTCAAGCGCATGTTTTCCCGTATGGAAAATATTGCTCTGCGAGAAATAGGAAGCTGTTTAGCGGCAGCGACAATTATCAAATGCATAATTCCGTGAAACACAAAAAACAAAGTTTTTTGGGGGTTCATTTTTTTAGAAAAATTCAAGAAACAGATGGAAACTGCGAATTAAAAGGGTTGATTTATATTTTTAACATGCAACTTAACGCGTGCTCCGTGACCGCTTTCTATGTCCTTTTTGCCAAATGATTCCTTTTTTAAAAAAAAAACATTCGCTTGTTTTTTTTTGTTTTGTTTTGTTTTGTTTTTTTTTTATGAAGAATAATACTTATCATTCAGCGGCGACAACTGCTCTATATGCGACAGCCGCAAGAACAAAAAGTCAGAAAGTTTTTTCCAGTGATCATTTTCAAAGGGAACTTTAAACTGGTTGAAAGTATAATTTTAGGAATATTCACCAGGTTGGCAGTTAACAATAGCTCTTTTGACATTCGCGTATTAAACAAACTTTTAATAAAACTAGAATTTCCGTTTGCGCACTTATTTCTAGCGTTGTTAACAATGGAAACAAAACTAACGAGGCTTGAAATCCTTCGTAGATAAAAGAACATCAAGCCTGGTTTCTAATACATCATACCAAGAATTAATTAAAAAATCATTCCTTGACAGCTTTGAACAGTTTAGGCCATAGTTTAGGCCACTTGCTATCATTGCATTTCTTTGAATCATTTGGGATCTAAACAGCGAGGAAGGCAATTTCAGGGAAGACGTAGATTAAAAATTGAATACATATTTTTAGTTAGACTTTCGTGAATGGATGGATGTCTTGCAGCACCACGCTTCAACTTCAGCTTCACGTTTGGAAGTAGTGTTTAATTCCAGACGGAAACTTAAATAATTTAATTTGCCGTGGGATTTCCTTTCTTAATCCACGCAAATTTTGGGGATTTTACGTTGTTGTTTCGTACAAATTTTCAAAACGCACGAGCGGAGTTCTTGTTCTTGCCTATTAGATCTTTTGCTTTGTCACCTCCTCGTTTCCGTCGCTGTCGTGGTTTGCTAAAAGTGCCTACCTTAATTTGAATAACAATAGAAGCCAGGTGCACACAAGATGTGAGGGAACTGAGCCGAGGCCATAGATAGACCAGGAGAGAATGTATGTGCCCCATCTGTAATCAGATGCTTTATGGCACCAGTTAATCACTTTTAACAAAATGCCATAAAATCTGTCAACAGTATTCACGTTGGGCAAGAAAATTAGCTTGAATATTAGTTCGCGAATATGATCAGCCTCTTCGATTAGCAAACAGTTGTCTGCATTCGAAATTAGCCCATGTAAGTGGCGTTTTGCATAAAATGAGCCATGGAGCTCTTCCGTTTCTATCATTTTTAAGTCTTGGGATTAAATACTTGACCAAATTTGCCCTATTAGATATTTCCTGTAGACTTTCTCCCAGGCCCTCAAAGTCAATCCATTCTGGGATGTAAACTGGGAATAACACTACGTGACCGAACGAAAAAAAGACAAATAAAGCATGGATGGGGAAACAAAGAAACTCCAGAATGACACATGACTCTTACCTCAAACTTTTTCCAACTAAGTATCCAGATATGCAAACTCACTTTTCGAAAGTTGCTATACACCCAGTCCCCCCTTAGATACCATATTGACAGGTGTCTTTCAAGAAGCCATCGCGGCACGCTTTACTTATCTCCGCAGCCATTTCTTTTACAACACAGCCTCGCAAGAAGAGCGTCCCGATGGGGTACAGTTGCTTTCTCACAAAGCATCTGCACGGTAAATTTTCTCATATTTCTGTCGTTAAATTTCCATCACAATCCTCTAATGTGAAGGAACCCTCGCAAGATGGACAGCCTAGGAATGAAAAGCACAAAGGATAGCTCTAACTATGTTTTCAATTCATTACAGTCACTTGTTGATCGTTTGTTTGGACTTAAATATAGTGATGTATCGTTTTATTGCGAGAGTCCATACTTGCAGAAGGGGGGGTGGGAAGGTTGAAAACTTGTTTCTTTCACTACTCTTTCAAGTTTCGATGAAAATCAGCAGGCCCTTAAAAGCCAGTTAGACCCTGTCATAAAATAATATTACCAGATTCTAATTAAATTTTGACAGCCAGATCGTTCATTAGTGATTATCTGACGGTGTGGATAATTCTAATTATAAAGGAAAGGAGAAGTTAAGAGTCTGTCCGCGAGAGGACCGGGCAGGCGTAACACATGCCATCTCACCGATTTCTTTCAAACTTTCACAGTTTATGAGGATCAATAAGTTATTGAAGAATTCAGAGTGGTTTGGGCTCGCGGCTGATCCCTGAGGTATCCCTATTTAGAGCCCCCTCATCAAATTCCTAGGGTAAAGGCTAAAATTAGCTCAAAAAATGCACTTCCAACGAATTTCTTTCACACTAACAGAGCAATGGATTGTCCAAAGGTTGTTTGACCGACGAAAGAGAGACCAAACAAGGCGTGGAGGAGAGCTGTAAAAAAGAAAATGAGGGGAAGAGGCTGGATATGGGGTAGCTTGATGGATAGGCAACCAAAAGAAATCAGTGGCGTTTTATGACTGAGGCCCTATGTGCATAGGCGCAGCAAGAGGACCAATTAACATGCTTATGTCTGGTTACCAAATGTACAAGTTTTCCTCTTAGTTTAACGACACATTTCTGTTTTGCGTTCAGCTTTTATTCAGCTAGAACAATGTCTTTTCAGGTAGCGTGCAGTGTCTTTTGAAATCTCTAAAACAGGTGAACTGATCGGATTCAAATTTGCACCAATACACGGACACGTACCACAGGTGTAAGAATGACGAGTTGTTTCAATATAAATCAATTGGTAAACAAAAGAGAATCGCAGAGGATAAAAGATGTCTAAAAATTTGTTTTTCTTCTTATACGGTCTATAAGAAATGAAGTTTGCTTAGGGTTAGTCTTAATATAAGCTTTTCGATTAATCTGATCATGTTGATAGATGTTACTTTCCTAATTGTGATACACTTCAAGCAAGACAACCATTTGGTAACTATTCTGTTTTGTTATATTTATATTTTACTGTAATTACTTTTCTGATACGCTTACTATGTATAACTTATAGATTTCGAACAACGCTAACGAAGAATAAACAGCAGTTTGAAACTCATGGTTTTGGATGCGTATCACAACAAAACAGGTTGTCAAAAAAGTCGGCCAGGAAGGGCAAGACTACATATTAGAAGAGGGCAGACATTATCTGTTCCGAGATGCGAACAGTTTCCCGAGAGCGAAGCTAATGGAAAACTGTGAGCTCTGAGCTGCGAAGGATATTTTTCTTGTACTTGTCCTCAGTGGACAATATCTGTTTGTTGAAGCTCACAGTTTTCCTCGAGCTTTGCTCCAGGAAACGCATATTTTCGCATATTTTTCGCGCCAAATGGAGGCTATTGTCTCTACTTGATAATTTGGAATTTATGCATCACGTTTCACTGCGTGCGCTGCGAACACCTATTGGACTGGTGTACTCTTACGATACAAATTTCCTCTTAGTGAAACAACGCATTTCTCCTTTGTGTTCAGTCTTTATTCATTTAGAACTCTGTATTTCCCATTTAGCAGACAGTGTCATTCAAAATCTTCTACACCAGTAAAATGATCAGGCTCAAATTTCCTCAACAATTTAATCTCCCAAATATTTCAAGATGTATTAAATCCATCATCGTTGTAGTGTGATTGATACCCTGCAGTGCGATTTTTTCACAAATTTTTGGCATTGGTCGTAACTTTCTCTAAGGCAATGAGAAAAAACAACAAGTAAGATTACAGATTTCAGCGCTGTACGAATTAGGCGAGAATAAAAATCACACTAATTTCTTTTTTTTCCTTCTTATTACTTATCGATGTATTTATTAGTTTTATCGTTGATTATTTTGTTTTATTATAACGGAGCTCGTAGAGCGTAGCCCCGTAATTATACAAAATAGTAGTAACCCATCGAGCCGAAAAAATTTAGATGTACGACCGTACGACCGACCGTACAAAGTGCTACTTTTAACATGCGTGGTCAACTGTACTGCGGGCACGCCAACGCCACGGCTTTGTCCAGTAGTCCAGACCCTGTTTCTAGTCCTGACCGGGGCAAGGCGTTGTGCCCTCGAGACGTGCGGGAAAAAAAATGCGAGCTCTGCTTTTAGGCTTGGCTAAATCTATATATTATCAACTATGGTGTTATACAAGGAATTCCAGGTGAAAAAATACGAAAAAAAAAGTAATTTATCTTGGAGTCCCGCAATTTTGTCTAAAATCATACATTGGCACTGCAGCACGTTTGATTTTGAAATTGCACTTGGCGGAATTAAATTACTTCTGTAAACGTTTGGTGGTTTCTTCCATTTAAAAACCTTAATTATGTATTTCATTATGCAATTGCCACCTTTATGACAGTTGATTTGCCTACAAACACATGCGCATTGAAAGAGGGTCCATAAAGGTTTACCGTTAGCCGTAAACGGTTAAAATAATTCAGCTTTCAGGCTTGAAAGCTATCAGAGTTACACCGGTTGTCGATAAAAAAAAGCTAACTATAAATTTTTTTGTCAACTTTAACGAAAAGAAATTAACCGTTGGCCGTAGAATGGCTAAAACGTTTAGCGTGAGACGTAAAGCCCTTGCACTATTGTGACCCTCATGAACCCTTTTCATGAACACTGCATAGCCAAGATTACTTATGTACACGACCTAACGTGCGAATAAACACAAAGTAGAGATATATAGAGTGATTTTGGATTGAGTATTGTAGAAACAAAACGAAAATTAGAGGAAGAGTATTTATTTTTTTTATATATACAAGGAACTAATCAGAAGATCTCTCAGAACTGAGAGTGACTGTGCGAAATCGGTCTTAAGGGCGGGAAATCTCGGGTTATTTATTTTTAGTTTTGGACCTGATTGGCAATTGAGAGCCGGGATGGTGCGTGTCTTAAGGTAGAAAGTTCACAAAGCATAGTGTTGTCCAAAACGTGAAAAAGCTGTACCACGCCTCCTTATTAACTCACGGTTTATTCACTTGATTTAACGATTTTACTACAACGCCTCGGTTAACTCCCACTAACAACTCTCGGCTTATTCCGAGGAAACACACACAAAACGTCCCGTCGTAAGCAGGTGAATAGTGCTATATATGGGGCGATAAAACACGTGCCGCATACATGTTAGTTTGGCTATGTATAGATAAACGAAATCACTAATAAATATCAGTCAACTCAGATAAGAATAATTAACGTATCGTACAGTTTCCAATAGTGTGACGAATAGCGCAGATCTGTATATACTGCTTCGATGCTCAAATCAAAATTGCTCTTACTCTTGTGCGTTTTAATCATTTAACGCACGTAGATTTTCCAAAAGTCTCCTAGCGACGAGATGGTATCATTAGTCATGTCATCACAGAACCAGTCCCCATTTTCCCACATAGTACCTGTTTTCGTATCCCCAACTTTCACACTGTGCTGCCAGCTTTGAGTTATCCCCGTGCATTTTTTGAAAGGACCCGCATGAAGCAGGCACTACATTTGTCTGACCGCTGAAGTACTGAACTACAGCTTCGCCAGAGCTGTTAGCCACAGTGGCCACGTGGAACGTGCGTCCCTGTTTCTTACTGCAGTGGAATCTAAGCTGAGTGAAATTCAAGTGTGATCTGAGATCTCGCACCGCCTTTGTTGTAATACCCATTTTATTGCTAGAGAAGTTGCTGATCGATCGGTATGATGAATTTAAAGTCCATCTGGTGAATGAAGTAGAGCCATCAGTCACAAAGTTCGCGACGAGAAGCCATCCTCCTGAAATATAACAGAACGGAATTTAAAGTTCTTTTTAAGCCTATTTTCAATGAATAAAATCACTCAGTAAGTTTGATCGCTCGCTGTTACAAGGTGAAACTGTTGTAGAGGGTAAGGTAGCTATTAGCTGAGTTTTTCAAAAGGTTCATACTTGTCACGTGATTAAGATCAAAATGATGATGTGATGCATAAGTTTTACAGAAAGACAAGGTAAGGTGAAATTTGAATTTACCCTTTTAGATTTGTGAGGGGTGAAATACTCTTTCAAGTACTCGTAACGTGTGAATTTTTCGAAATGTTTAATGAAAACTTAGTTTACCTTGATCTAGCATTTATAGGACAGAATACTGATCGCTTTCTTGTGAATGAGCTGTTTTCATACCAAGCTTACCTCCTTCCGTTGTCATGTCACAGAAGACCTTCACAAGCTTGCAACTGTTCTCAGGGTCGATCCAGTACTCTCCGTCCCCAATGGAGTCCCATGAGTCCCGGATGTCCTTGCATGAAAGAGGAGCTATCAAAATATTAGAGTCCACACTTAAGCCTCAGCCGATAAACGCCCCCAGCTTCTGCTCAACTAAGAGCGAAAGCCACCGGGACATTACTCAAGAGAGAGGCCCATTCACTCTACCTTAATATATTTTCCCAGAGAACACCTCTTTACGTTCTATCTCTGAGAATAAAGAAATAAGCTTAACTACAAGAGGGAGTACAGATGGCGTAGTGGTGAGAGCGCTCGCCTCCTACCGCTGTAGCCCGGGTTCGATTCCCGGACCTGGTGTCATATCTGAGGCGAGATTATTGTCGTATCTCGTCCGAGGGTTTTTCTCCAGATCTTCCGGTTTTCTTCCTCCACGAAAGCCAACATTCCAATTTCCAATTCGACCTGAAATTAATTTTTTTTTCTGATAGCCACTTGGCTCCTAAATTCTTCAAAGTAGTAGCCAATTCAAAAAAAGTTGGTCGCCATTTTCAAAGACAAACAAAATCTTTCTTTACGCTGTCAGCGTTCTAGATAGACCCTCCAAAAGTAAATTAGGGAAAAGATCCTTAACGTGCTACAAAGTGGACACTAGGATGGATGATATACAACATTAAAGCTCATCTAAATCCAAGATGGCGTTTAGTTATCGATCGAGATTCATGTGCTACGTTTTTGAAACAAACTTAACGAGGAAGTTTACCTCGGATTTATCTTTGCAAATCTTTTTAATTCACTATATCTCTTGGTAAGGTTATGATGAAACGTTCTAGTCGCCAATTTGGCGACTAACTTTCAGGATTTGGTCGCCAAAGTGAAAAATTTAGTCGCATTGGCGCCTGTATTAGGCGCAATTTCACGCCCTGATTTTAACAGTGGACAAGAAGAGCCACCAGATTCTCTGCTATAGATCAAATGTTACGTAAATTTTACACTGAAGTTATAACAAATTCTAATCCACCAAACGACTTACATAGTCTAAATCACTAGTGCCTCAGGGCAGGTAAACAGCTCAGTTTGCTGAAAATCCTGCTTGACATGTACCATGCCAGATTTCAGCTTAAAAGAGATCTTACCATTTAGACATCTTTCTCCAGTCCAAGGAGCCTTGCACGAACATTGAAATGTCTGTTTGTTTTTGTCAAGAACGCAAGATCCACCATTGAGACAACAGGTCGTATCACATCCCTATGATTAACATAACAATGATAATCTTCAAAATATTCAAAATAATACAGCAAGATGTTTTGCGTCTTGTCACGAGCGGGGGACAAAGAAAAAATTCTGAGTTCCTACAAAGAATGGAACCTCAGACCTTCGGATTCCGCGCTGCGATGCTGTACCACTGAGCCACAGAGACTCTATGGTTAACGACGCCCATTATGAAGTTCATATGTGACACGCGTCCTGCATACTTCTAGGATCAGCGATGTCGATAGCCCCATGTCTATAAATATTTATTCTTATCCTGTTCAAAATAATGTTGCGAAGTCAGTGGGGAAACTGGTTGAGAGGCAGGTGCCAAGATCCTTGGATCACAACTGAGCTTTCTACTTCAAAGTAATATGTTTTGATGCTACATCAAGTCTGACTCTAAATCCAACCTCAAATACTTTCGAGGAACCCGTGTTGGTTTAGTTCACAAGTTCCTTGGTCGTTTTCCTTTGATGGCTTCTTGAAGTTTGTGGAAGAACGCCATGAATTCCTGAGGCAGGAATGGCTGCACGACGTTAAACTGGGTGAGTTAAGACTCTCAACAATATGGCCTTTCAAGCGCACGTTTTCCTGTGTGGAAATTATTGCTCTACGAGAAATAGGAAACTGTTTAGCAGCAGCGACGATTGCCAAATGCATCATTCCGCGAAGCAGAAAAAACTAAGTCTTTTTGGCTTTCATTTTTTTAAACAGAAATTCAAGAAACAGATGGAAAATGCGAATTAAAAAGGTTCATTCATATCTTTAACATGCCACTTAACGCATGCGCAAAGACCACTTTCTATGTCATTTTTGCCGATAAAATATAAATCTTTGCTTGTTTTTTATTTTGTTTTGTTTGTTTTTCTATAGTAAATAAAACTTGTCATTCGGCGGCGTCAGCTGCTATGAATATGTACATATATGTATGTGTGTGTATATATGGATCAGCCTCAAGAACAAAAAGTCAGAAAGTTTTTTCAGCGTTTTTCAGCGTTTTTTCGTATTCAAAGAGTACTTTAAACTGGTTGAAACTATAAATTAGGCATATTCACCAGGTTGACAGTTAACAAGAGCTTTTTTGACCTTTGCCTGTTATACAAACTTCTGATAAAATTAGCATTTCCGTTTGCGCACTTATTTCCAGCGTTGCTAACGATGAAAACAAAACTAGCGAGGCTTGAAATCCTCCACAGATAAAAGAACAACAAGCCTGGTTTCTAATGTATCATACCAAGAATTAATTACAAATTCATTCTTTTGAAAAGGACGACTTAGGACAAAGTTTCAAAATGCACGTGCGGAGTTGTTGTTTTGCCCATTAGATCTTCTGTTTTGCCACATTCTCGTTTCCGTTGCCGTCATGATTTGCTTAAGGTGCCTACCCCAATTTGAATAGCAAAAGGGACCGGGTGTACAAGATGTGAGGGAATTAACTCACGGCCATAGGTAAACCAGGAGAGAATGAATGTGCCCCATGTGTAAACAGATACTGTATGGCACCAGTTTATCGCTTTTAACAAAATGCTATGAAATCTACGTTGTTGGGCAAGCAAATTAACTGGAATATTAGTTCGCGAATATGATGATTAGCCGTTTTCGATTAACAAGCAGATGTTCGTATTCAAAATTAGCTCAAGCAAAAAGATTTTTAGACGGCTGAAATCTTTCTCTCAATGCACATTACTCGTTAATGTTGACCAATGACCACCATCTAACGTAATAGAGCTTGATTGAAGATGACATAGCTGTTAGCCTCCAAAGCCCCTAGGGGCCCGACCGCAGGCTGCCTGCAGTCTTTAAGCCCCTGCAATTTTACATCTCTTCTCCCCAGAATCGGTGGATTGCAGTGAATAATTAACTCACTACTTCATGGCTTGGTAAATATTCACACTAGCCATGTCCACTTCGAAGAATAATTTTTAGATAACCATGAAGTACTACATATCAAATATGCCAAGAGTTTTGCAATGTCTTGCGTTTTTACGATGTATATTATGTTTGAATGACCAGACGTAGGAAAATTTCTATGACGGTTACAACATGGACTTTCATTGTGGGACGGATAATGCCTTACATCTTCTGTCTGTTCTCTTCGAGAGTTACTACATCACGGGCGACGAGTGGGGGATGAAGAAAAGACCGACATACGAGTGGTCAGCGGGTAAACAAATTTAATACTTCATATAGAGACATATCAGTTATAGTTGCGGAAAACAATAGTCTTCTAAAGCCGAAATGTCAACAGTATACTTCGCAGAGACGTCGGGGGGCAGAGACACCAACACAACATTTCACTTGCCGTTCGCTTCGAAAGTTTTCATCCCGAGTTCATTTGTTAAATAAAAAAGAAAAAAACACTTCGAACGGAAAACAAAATTATTTTAACGCCTGGATCTTTTGAAAAAAGGTCTCCTAAACGAGTGGCCCTGATTATAAATATTTAAGCATGGCAAATACGTTAGCCTTAACTTGGCTGTTTCTCGAAGCTCAGTGTTTTCCTACATGCCTTTTTCACGTGAAACGAGGCGATTGAATATATATAAAAAAAAAAAAAGAACTACAGCAGATGGAAATTTAAAATTTCTTATCTAAGGGCTGTGGATACAAACTTATTAATGACTCTAAAAATATAAAAATCTGGAACGAAATATTTTTAGAGTTGCTTAGCTTTTCATTTTTCCGGAATCGAAAGTCGAGATTGCAAAATTCAAGTGAAAAGCAAACCGACTGTGATTAATGCCTTAAACAAGTCAAGATACTGTTTTTCGTCATACAACAAGTTACTTATCGTAAATATCATTCTTCTTGATGCCTTTCCCGGTGTCACCGATGCCTTTCCCGATGCCTCTGTTGGTTAATATAGCAGTAAAAATATTGTTCCAGTCAAAGCGTTTGGAAGAGTGCTTAACTTTTGAATCACCGAAGTATAACCTGGTAACATTTTGGCTTTACAACACGATTGTTTTTTGCGTGTTACAAAACGTAAATATAATTTTTCTTAGTGCCTTTCCGAATGCAACCGATGCCTTTCCCGATACCTGCATTGTTTAATATAGCAGTAAAAGATATATGTGCCATCAACACTTTTGAAAAATTGTTTCACATTTTATTGAGCGAAGTATACTATTCACATTTCGGCTTTACAACATTATTGCTTTCTGAAACTACAACTGATATGTCTCTATATGAAGTATTAAATTTGTTTTCCCGCTGACCATTTGTATTTCGGTCATTTCTTCCTGCCCCGCTCGTCGCCCGTGATGTAGTAACTCCCGTTCTCTTCGAAGCCGTTGTTTTGCCACATCCGTTGCCTGACAAACCAAACAAGAGATCAAGAGGGATTAATTTTTTCATCGGTGGATTGGTAAATTTACTAACTCATCGCAAGGAAGGGTTATTCTATACAGAGGGAAAAAAACCTGCCACTAAAGAGCATTTCCTCGATCTTTTATTGAAAACTTAACAGTGGAAGCAAATTTTAACACACAAAAAGAGAGACCTTGTTCTTTACCTATTGCTGTACTTCCACGATCCTGAGGGAAACTGTACAAAGTAAAAAAGAGCACATTATAGGATAGGAATAGAGTCATTGCATGATTGAATATTTCTGATATATATATCTGGCATGGCTTAGATGATTCCACATGTGTGAGATCACTTGGGGTGGCTATATGGCCTTACCTCCAATCTAGCATCAGCACTGCACTGATGAGGCCCAGAAGGCCGAAACAGTACTGTCTGCAGTTATATATATATATATATATATATATAAATATTATGAGAGGAAAAAACGACGCAACTACATTTCCTATGTAAGAATGGAAATGTAGTTGCGTCGTTTTTTCCTCTCATAATATTTATTCTGCTCTGCTTCAACGTATTGAGCACTGTTCCACGCGAAAATCGACTTGCAGACTTCCAATATATATATATATATATAAGTATAAATATATAAGTATATATATGTATGTATATCGACCAAGTCGGCCTTCGCCTCTTCCGTTTTTGTCCTATTTATGTCTTAGGATTAAACATGATATCCCCGAGACAACGTCATACCAGGTTTAATTAGGAAAAAGCCCGTGCGAAAAAACCATGCGAAGATGATTCCAGAAGCCTTTGGATTCCAATTAAATTTTGACAGCCGGGTCGTTCATTAGTGATTATCTTATGGTGTAGATAATTCTGAAGGAGAAGTTAAGCCCTAAATTTCAGACTTAAGAGGGCCATACGCTGCTGCAGTAAAAGCCAAATTTAGGCTAAGATACTACTCACTTTTAGCCGTCAGGACTAGGCCAAATGCACAGGAGACAAACACGAAAATCTTCCAATGCATTATGATCTTCACACAGTTCTTGTACTTGAATTCGTACTATGAAGAAATATAAAGTTAATTAAAGTTAATGTCTGCTCCCGAGGGAAACATTGAGGGAAAAAAAATTATTAGAACTACTTAAAAGGGTTTTTTTTTTATACATCTGGAGAACACAGAATAAACAAGCAAAAACTGAACGTTAACAAAAAATTTCACATTTAGTTCTTGTAACACTGGACAAGTACCACAAGTTCATTTCCTGATACGAATTTTTCGTAGTCCTTCTGCTCTCCTGGTTTTTTCGATTTCATCTCTCGATGAGGTAGCATAGCGCTCCTATTTAGTCTCAGGCTACTCAATTGTGTTTTCAAGAGCTATCGGGGAGCTGGGATAGAGGCTTCGCAAAATCCCTCAAACCAACGAGACCACTGCTCCGTGTGGGAATGTGGAAATGACCGCAGATGTCCCGAAGATACAAAGAGAAAAAAAGAATTTGCTAAGCTTTTCGGGCTGGCACTCGAAAGTTCTTTTACAAAAATTACTCCCAAAGGGGGTAAGTTTCTAAAGAAACTGTGATGTTGCGTAGGTAGGAGAAGCACAACAAGGTAATTTAGTAATATCAAATGAGTTGATAACGTAAATTAGCCACCGTAAAGACTTTCAAAGCTGACGTTTCGAGCGTTAACCCTTAGTCAATAGCTCTGACGAAGGGCTAACGCTCGAAATGTTTTAAACTCTTCACGATGGCCAATTTCAGTTATCAACTCATTTGATATTACCAAATTACCCTATTTTCTCCTAAGGGTTGCTTTTTGAACATTCTACTCTTTGGAAAAAGCATCTTTTGCCACCCTTGCAGCTCACATAATAAAAAAATTCCCTCCCCCTCATGTAAATGTACTGCTAAGGATATAACAACTTCCACATCATTGTGGCTGTTTCTCACCTGTTATTACTATACAGAGTACGCCAGGTGATGCCTAATCGAAGTTTTTCCTACCTTCAGAGAAAAAATATTTCCCCTCAGCTTTTTCTTTTATCAGACTCCGTGATTCAATGCTTTTGGAGAATTTCTTTGGTTTTGAAATTACTTCGCTCTATGGTCCTCAAAACTCAGCCGATCAGATTCCTTACTTAAACCTATCACGACTTGCTCTCCCGCATTTTCCCGCGCTTTGGGCATTTTGCTTGATTTTGCTTTGAGTTCTCATTGGCTTTTCAATGTACTTTCCTTTCTTCTGATAGGCCGTTGTAATTACTTTGGTTTTAATTTACGACACTCAATCGAAAAGCGATCTATTTACTAACAGATTTACAAGAATGTCAAAGGAATACCAAAATCGTA